AATATTATTTATTAAAAATGTAATTATATTCTTACTTCTCTTGGTATGAAACTTCTTACATAAAAAAATTCTAATTTTTAAACACTCAGTTTTCCACTGTAATTTCAGGTTATAACGTATGAGAAAGGAGGGAACTTCTTGTTCTACAATCCAAATAGATACTGTTTAACATTTTCTGTATTTCCTTCTGGTTCAACTGTTATTAAAAAAACAAACTATCTTGCCCATACTTGTGCTATTGTTCTTTTGACTGTTGACCTTTCCTCTGACATTATATTATTAAGTGTACTGACACTTAAGCCACATCCTTTTAAATCAAGAAGGAAACATTTTACTATTGTTCTTTTCAATGATTATGCTTTTAAACTATTTTCATATTATTAGATGATTTTATCCAATTTTTATACTATTACCAAAGAGTTACAACACTTAATTCACTTGTAAAAACAAGGTACCCAATGAGAAGTTCCAGAGGAAAAAAATGAGTCTGCCTCCTAGAAAAATGATTTTTCTTTTAAGAACCATATTTAACATTTACTAAGTTTATAGTTTTGCTTACTTGTAAAATACTTTTCTATTATAATGCTATCAATTGCGGGTACTTTGGTATCTTAGAAGATAAAAAAAAAAAAGCTATCAGCAGTGAAGTCCTAGGAGTGGTTTGAGGAAGAAGGAGGCACTGGACTCCAACACGTGCATCTACACCAGGGGGAAACATCAGGGGAAGCATTTTGTAAGATGTATAAATGTCTAATCACTGGGTTATATGCCTGAAACTAATACAACATTATATGTTAGCTGTAATTGAAAAATAAAAATTATTTAAGAAAAGAAGGAGATAAAAAAATCAGCAAGAGGAAAATAAGAGGAAGCAGCAAATGAATAACGAAAACTCTGGAATTTGCAGAAATCAAAGTGTACCAAGAAGGAAGAATTGATCAACTGTGTGTTGAATGTTCTTAAGAGGTCAATAAAAGGACTGAAAACTCACCATTGGATTCACAAAAGAAGATCATCAGTGTTCTTGACAAGAGCACACTTTGTGTAATGTAGTGATGGAATGAAAACTGAATGAGAATTGAATTAGTTTATGAGATAATGAGAGGTCAGGAAGTAGAGCCAATGAGCACAAGTAACTCTTTTGCAAAGTTTCACCATTAAAGGGAGCAGAGAAATAGGAAGAGACCTGAAAAGGTAGTGAGCTCAATGGTTTTTAAAAATAACAGCTTTACTGAGATATGGTTCAGATATCATAAAAAGTTTGTTCTATTTATTTCATTTTTAAAAGTAAGAACAAATAACAGGATGTATTTATACTGTTGGGAATAAGCCAAAGGAGGAGGGAAACCTTGATGATAGAGATGGAGATGAAGAAATTACTGGCATAATGTTGATGGATGGAATCCAGCACACAGATGGGAGGGAACCTTAGCCGGCAGTACAGAGAGTTCATCCGTGTTGAGAAAGGAAGCAGAGTACATGGTACAAATGCCAGTACATAGGAGTCTCTGGAAATGAGAGCTTGCAGACTTCCTTTTGATAGCTTTTATTTTATTTGGTAAAGTTGGAAATGAGGTAATTAGCTAAGAGGGAAGATTAGAAGGAAGTGTTGGATATTAGAGAAGACAGGAAATATGAAGTCAGAAGAGTGTGACAGCAAATGGACTAGAAAATATAATTGCCTGACTATCTAAGGGCACACTTGGGTAATACATTTAAGAGTTATAAGTTAGAACTATTGTGTGTTTTTACCCTGTTGTGATCATCCACATGGTATAGGTAGGGAAAAGGAAAAAAGGATTTAATTTAAGCCATGGTTGGGGTTTTGTCAAGAAAGTATAGAGAAGACAAAGGGAATTAGAGGTTCATGCAAGGAAATAATGCTAAATGATAGAATTTAAGTCAGAGAAGAAGGTGTCTGAATTGTTGAGAGGAGGGGGAGCCAGTAGATTGTTGGAACAAGTGATATGGAAAGCAAGAGGTTGTTAGTGTTGAGACATCAGGATATTTGAAATTGCAGTTGACTTTGTTCATAATGTATTTTCCATCTGGAATCCTTCCCTGATTCTGCATGTCCTAGTCCCATTTACTTTTCTTGCTTCAGTCCTTAAACTACCCCCTTCATTAAATTTTCCCTAATTCTCCCAAGATAAAAGAAATCCTACCTTACCTGACTAGACAATTCTCCAAAAAGGAGAAACAGATGGCCAATAGATATATGTAGAGATGTTCAATGTCATTAATCATCAGAGAAATGCAAATTAAAACTACAGGATATCACTTCACACTTGTTAGAATGCTATCAACTATAAAGGAACAAATAATGAGTGTTGACAAGGATGTGGAGAAATGGGAATCGTTTTTGTACTCTTGGTGGAATGAAGATTGCTGTAGTCACTATGGAAAAACAGTATGGAGGTTCCTCAAATAATTAAAAATAGAACTGCCTAAAAAAAGCCCTGGCTGGCGTAGCTCAGTGGATTGAGCATGGGCTGTGAACCAAAGTGTCACAGGTTCGATTCCCAGTCAGGGTACATGCCTGGGTTGCAGGCCATGACCCATAGCAACCACAAATTGATGTTTCTCTCTTTCTCTCTCTCTGTATCTCCCTCCCTTCTCTCTCTAAAAATAAATAAATAAAATCTTAAAAAACAAACAAACAAAAATTAAAAAAAAATAAAACTGCCTCATGACCCAACAATTTTACTTCTGGGAATATATCTGAAGTGCTAGTTTAAAAGAATACTTGCACCCTGTGTTCACTGCAGAGTTAGTCACAATAGGCAAGATTTGGAAGCAGCGCAAATGCCCATCAGTAGATTAGTGGCCAAAAATTTGTGGTACATATGCACAATTGAATACTATTTGGCTGTAAAAAAAAAGAAGAAATTTTACTCTTTGTGACAGCATGGATGGACCTGGAGAACATTATGCTGAGTGAAATAAACCAGCCAGAGAAAGATAAACCATGTGACTTCACTCATATGTGAAATCTAAGGAAGAAAATGAATAAGCAAAACAGAAATAGACTCATAGAGAGCAGGCTGACAGCTGTCAGGGGGAAGGGTGGTTGCATGGCTGGGTGTAAAAGGTGAAGGGATTAAGCAAAACAACAGCAACAACTCACAGACACAGACAACAGTATGGTGATTGCCAGAGGGAAAGGGGTTGGGGAACTTAGAAGAAGGTAAAGGGGTTATAAATCATGTTGGTAGGAGAGACTTGACTTGATGCAGGGTGGTGAACACACAATACAATATACAGATGGTGTATTATAGAATTGTGTATACATCTGAAATGTATATAATTTTATTAGCCAATGTCACCCCAATAAATTCCATAAAAGAGAGCAAATTGTGGTAAGAATCAAAAAATTGGTTTTCAAAAAGCAGCCTTATGCTGGATAATTATAAATCAGAGGGATTAATGAGTCCAGGATGCTGCTAAATGGGGCATTGATAGACCAAGCTGAGCCAACCAAGTATTTCATGGACAATAAATTCAGGAGCATGCTCTGCGCCTAGTTTCCAGACTGTTGTCTCCCCTTAACACTGCACTCTGATGCTCATTCCCATTTGTCTCTTAGAAGCTACTTTTGGATATGTTTACTTCTTTAATTCCTGAAACAATGGACTTTGAGACTAAGAATAATTATAATAATTGGCTGCTAAGAATGCAATTTCAGAGTCTCATTTTTTAAGTTGTTTTTGTGTAATTTCAATTTGGTTTGGTTGTTGCCTTCCGCAATGTTCACAGCACAACTGAAGTCTTTAAATAAAAATCTATTTATTTTTAGCAAGAAAGAAAAAGAAACCTCACATTCCTGGAACAAGGAGCCCACAAGCAAAAAGCATTTAATATGTATTGGTGAGGCCCTCTGAGAAGGTAAGCATCACTTACTTCCTTGAAATTAGTCAAGAAATGGGTGATTGAAGACAGGGGGAAAGGGTTGTTGATCTTTATATATCTTTTTTCCTTTCCTGGCATTCTTCTGCTTTCCTGGAGGGAATAAACTGAGGATTGCTTTCCATTTGGCTACTGAAGTCTTTTCTTGGTAGTGACTGGTAGCAGAAGTGAAGCAGATTACCATCAAAGCCCGGGAGTTCGCCTTTCTGTTTTCCAGATCCACCTGGCTGACTCCTCTGTTACTCTTCTCTGCCTTGCTTAGCACAGACCAGAACTTTTCCTCTTACATCCTAACTTGAACTTCCTCCCTCCACTCTAGAATACCTACACATAAAATTCACACATGGTATTTTCTGTTTGATTTTACTTTTGTCACAAAACATTCTTTTTCTGATGTAACATTCATATCTTGTACTTATTTATATATTCAATTGTACAGTTAATGATAAAAATGTATCGCATTGGAATATTATGTATCCTGTGAGTAATAAAGCTATTATTAGAACCATGATGCATTTGTATATCTTGGTACGCCCATACTTACACCTATATCGACATGACAGTTATATATTTCTCTAGAGAAATACCTATTGACATATTGATAAATAAAGAGTTCTTTGTTACAACGTAAGCCTCATGTTTAAAATACATTTGTTGTTAAGGGAGAGAAAATTGAAATATTTAATTACAATATTTGAGTTTCTTGAGGCATTAAGACTTTTGCAATGATGAATAGGATACAGATACATGTATATTATCAGCATGTTTGGTGTTTAATCCTGAGGCTTTCAGTTCCTGCCTTTGCTGTTTGCCCAGGGCGGCAGGAAGGCATGGTCTGGGTTTGGCATGAACTGGACTTGGTCCAAGATAGAAGATGTCACATAAATAAAACACTAAATGGACTTGAAATGTGTTTCATCTTTGGCATGCTCTGATATTTATCTTTGTTCTGTCATCACTAAGTTTACCACACCTAACCCATGATGAGAAACGGTGGTGTATGAGTAGGTATAAAAACTCTCGTTACAGGATTCCTTGAGCATCTGTTTCTCCAGGATGACTTGTCTCCATTTCTAGGTTCCCAAATCATTACCATGAAGTTGACCTCTTTGTACTTGGTTGTGACACTTTGTGTCTTCTGCAAAGGTAAGGGACTAATGGAAAGAACCCTTTCTCATTTGATAGACCCATGGGTATATGTTCTCATTTGGTGTTGTCTACTTCCAACATTTTTCTCCTTAGAAAATCTTTCCTACATTTCAGAGTAGTATAATCAATGTAAAAAAAACACTGGAATTTAACCCTGTAGGATGTTATTTCAACTTTAACAAGCCTGTCTTAAGGAGATATATATTTATCTGCTTAGAAGTGTCAGTGAATAGGTTACTCAAGGTGCATATAGTGCTATTGTTTGTTACTCATTTTCATCATGGTTCACCCTTTAATGGCTATGTTGGAGTTACATCCACATTAAGACTAAAGACCAGCACTGTTAGTAATTTCTGTTGTCACAAATCATGAAACTATATCTAAAGGACTGGTGCATCCCTGAAAATATTTTTTGTAGGGAAAATTTCTTTAACGTCTTTCTCAGATATTCCAGTCAATTAATTTCTGAATTTAATTGAAAAGTAAGACATTATTAATTAATTTTGTTAATTAAAAATTCAGAACAATGAAAAAAATCTTTAGTTTCTGAATGGGGCAGAAGAACAAAAACATCCAAACAAAGGAAAAAGGCCTGCAAAAAGAAGATTCATTCTACATCTACTCTTAAAATCTATTTTCTAAATTTAGGGGTAGAGTATAATTTACTTCTCTCTAAGGAGCCAGAATAGAGGGGACTACAATTATTTGTTTTAAGAGAAAATACATCTATTCTTAAACTAACTACCTGGGAAATCATCTGATGGACCATTAGAAAATAGTTACTTTTTAAATAATGGTGATTTTCATAACCTTATATAGTATTTTGCTATATATTTTGCTTCTACTTTGCAAAACTTAAAATATTTTTTGCCTTTACCTAAATGTATCTCTTATTTGTTAAGTAACAGAGTAAAAACACATTATTTTCAAAGAAGTTATTAAATAATATATCACAATAAAAATGTTTTAAATGTATTTGCCCAAGTGTATTAAATTCACCAGAGAACTAGAGAATGCTTCTAAAATAATTTCTCAGATATCCATAATCATTCTAAGAAATGATTACAAGTATTTCAATAGAAATTTCATAGATTGGTGATTTACTGACAAAACTAAGAGTTTTTATGTATTTATTTATAAGCTTATTGTAGGAGACAGGAAATACCTGGAACTGCTCCTCCCAGAAACTCCAAGTGCTTTAGCTAAGGTGACTTTGTATTGCCCTTCATCAACGGGGCCCATGTGACAAACACAGATGTCTTTCCTTTCCAGTAGGTGACAGGACGGAAAGGCTTGAGAGCTGGAAGGGGAAGAAGGCAGATATTGAAGAGGCACCCATATAATCAATCAGAAGAAAAATTTGTATTGTTGAACCAACCATAACTGTATAGAAGAAAAATAAAAACAGTTCTTTGACTAATTGGAAAAACTAAAGTGATATGAGATATAGTTTGACATGAAGTAGATAAGGATATTTAATTCTTATTTTCCCCAGGATATTCCATCATCTCTCTAGATTAAAATCTATACAGTTGATTTTCTTTTTTCTTTTTTAAATCAAATTCACTATTTATAAACACATTAACTAGAAAATGTTTAGGGAAAATAAAATCAGGCAAAATTTAGATAAAAATACATTTTAGATTGAAAGCTGTAAAAGGTTTTAATAGTGTAAAAAAGATTGAAGTACTGATAATATTAATTTGTGGCTTTAATTTACTTGACCTTTTATTTCTAAGACTGAGTTGACACTGAAAACTTTCATTTAAGTATGTTAACAGGAAAAATGTATTACTTAGATCTATTTAGATGTTATTTAATAAATAAAAAACTCCAAAATAATAAATTAGTATTGAAATGTAACAATTATTTGGTACAAAAAGTATATGACTTACACTGAATTTAAAAGAAGAATGAAAACAAAAACATTCTCATTGACGTAAAAATATGCTATAGAGAAGTATAAAATGATCTGTTTCTACTTTTTTCATTTTTTATAGATGGTGAAGCCTCATTTAACAGCACAGAATCAGGTCAGTACCTTTCAGAAATTAATCTTGATTTAAAGATATCAAGGAGGTCTCTGAACCTGCTTTTGGAATCCAGAAGTATGTTTCCAGCTACACTGAGATATAATTGACATACTATGTAAGTTTATGGTATACAATGTGATCGATGATTTACTCTACATATATAGAGAAATGATTACTGAGTTAAGGTTAGTTAATACCTCCATCACCTCACATAATAACTAATTTTTTTGTGGTGGGAACGTTTAAGATCTACACTCTCTGTGACTTTTTAATATATAATACAGTGTTGTTAACTATAGTCACAATACTGCACAGTGGATTCTCCAAACTTATTCATCTTATAACTGGACTTTTTCACTTTTTATCAACATGTTCCTCCCCAACCCCAAAGCACTTGGCAACTACCATTCTAGTCTTTGTTTCCATTGAGTTAGATGTTGTTAGATTTCACCTATAAGGGAGATCATACAGTAATTGTTTCTCTCTGTTTGACTTATTTCATTTAGCATAATATCCTCAAGGTTTACACATGTTGTCACAAATGACAGTATTTCCTTTTTTATGGCTGAATATTATCCCATTCTTTTAGCCATCGTCTATCAATGGTCACTTAGGTTTCTTCAATATCTTGGCTATTGTGAATAATGCTGCTATGAACACTGGGGTACAAATATCTCTTTGGGATAGTGATTTCATTTTTTTTGCTGGGTCATATGGTGGTTCCATTTTTTATTTATTGAGGAACCTCCAAACTGTTTTTCATAGTAACTGTGCCAATCCATATTTCCACCAACAAAGAATACAGAAAATTTATGTGTTTCACACACACCTGATTTGTGAGTGAATTATCAGGACTCCTTGCTCATTTATCACACATAATTGTACACTCCTCAGACAGAATTTTGATCAATGTTATTCACTCTGTATTCACTATGCTGAGAACAGTGGCTGCAATGGGACAAGCAGTCAGTGTACACTTGTTTTGAATTAATAAAATAATTTGGAAACATAGGTATGACTTTTTATGTATATCCAAATCCTTTACAAGGTATACTTTCCGAAATGAACCAGAGATATCCCATCTTACCCAAAAAGACAAGGGACTTCTAAACATAGTTTAACTTTTTTTTGAGGACATCAAAATGAATACCAATGATCATATTACGTATCATGCAGTGGTGCGCTTGGAACGTACTGATGCGTACAAGACAGTTGGTCCCTACTCGAGAGATGGTTTCTGAGTTCCTGCATGTGCTTTTGAGTTGACTTTCTGCCTCTCTTAAACATACAGCTTTATGTGCTCATACGATCATTATGTCTACTTTTTTTTTGTACCCAACTCCAATTCTTATTTCAGTCTGTTGCGGTGAGAACACCATTGATCCAAGCTTATTAACAGTGTTTGTGATAAGAGAGTGTACTTTGAGGGAGGCCCTGTGAAATTGTTCCTGATGGGTAAAAATTCATCAGTGGGCTTTATGATAACTTTGTTTGTTGCAAGAGGATTTGAGGAAGATTTTGATTGCAACTTATATTTTAGAGAGAATCTTCCAGGTATTTAATCTATATGGAGAATATGTAATTGTACATTTTTAAGAAACATTTATATTAAGTGTCTCCAAATCATATTGCTAAGCCATTTCTTCACTCTCTGACAAAATGTGTATGCATGTACTTGTGTGAGTAAGTACATGCAATTTGGTTTTGGTGACAATTGATTAGCACACACAGGAAACCCTTTATCTTTTAACTGGCTGTGTTTCCTGTTTGTCTTAATTTACACCAATAGGTCAGAGATAGGTTTGCTGACCATAAATCCTGGATTTTTCAGGACAGTTCCAATAGTTAGAAATTTGTCTTAGTATCCAACCATATGCTGACTTTCTACTTCAATAATATAATCAGTTTGGGTTTAGGAAATTTGTAGAGATTATAGAGTATGGAGAAACACTAAAAAAAAAATAACCAACGGATCTGCAATCCATTAAGTCCTAAAATAAAAATATTACCCAAAGTATTTTTTGAAGTTTCTTGAATATGTAATCAATATGCAACTTTATACAAAATTCTATTACCATACTTAAGTAGTATTTAATTTCACATAATTACTAAGAAGATTCTTTTGAATACTAATGCTTTGATGTTTTTAGTAAAGTATCTTTATATCTCTAAATCTAATTTAAAAGTGTGCTTATATGTAAATTATGTTATGTGTTGTATTTACTCTTATTGTGAATCTTTGACTCAGCTGTATGTACTATATAGCTTGACAAGTTTGCAAATGTATATGCTATTTATTTAAACATGAAAACGATTCACCTTTATTCATAATAATAACCCTTAAGTCATTTGTAAGCCATGTGTATATTAATTTTATGGGATCCAACTGTAAAACAGCAATTATGGCCATCTGTTTCAAATTAAGTAAATTTAGTTCTATAGTATTTTTGTCACATTAAAAAATCCTTTAATTAAAACATCTGAATTTCACTAACTGAATAATAATTAATGCTTTGAGGTACCTTTTCAGTTATCCCAGAATTACTGTATTTTGCTGTGTTCTAATTCATGCCTCTAGGCTGTGCTCCACACTGGCTGGAGGACAGGCAGAGGTATTCCTTTTATAAGGGTGCCCTGGAGGGGTACAAACATACCAGGGTCAATGGGTAATTACATATTCATGCCTGAGTACTGAATTCAACGAGCACATCTGTGGGAGCACCTCCCCAAAACAAGAAATGGCTGTAATCAAGACTGACTTTCTCTTGGAAAATCTGTCAATGCTCTGCTAATGACAGCAACTCTCCCCCCCACCCCCTTCTTTCTTTTCAGATGATGAAATAGCTCAAAGCAGTTCAGGTAAATTTCTTGCTTTTCTTTTCTTAAACTGTTTATACTAAATAATAATAACACAGCAATGGTACTTTTCTTTGAAAAGAAGGAATGTCTTCCTGGAAAAATCAAAACATTTAATGAAATATTCCTTATTATTACAAAGAAACATACTCTAGTGTATTTTTGTATAATTTGGATCCAACATTTTAATATTTAATTGGTTATTTTAAAAGATGGTGGCATTTGAAATGGAAATTTGCTCCGGTTCCTAGCTTTTCTACAATCACTCAAACCCCTAAGAGAAATGTGGATGTACATTTTACTTCTACTTTTATTAACAGAACGTGCTTTCATTCTGCATGCTGGGATTAGTTCCTTAGTGATCTATTTTAGTTAAAACTGAACTAGCCCCGGTAGCTTTATTACTGATTCCTTTGGACAATTGAATATCACTGAGTATTATCCACTATTTTATTTCCCTGCCCATCAAAAGGAAAAGTAAGCCACAGCAAATCAAGACTGCTTTCATGGAATTTTTCTTAACTCTAACAATAGTATTTTTTTGCTAATGTCAACATAGATTTAATTTCATTCCAGTCTAATGTATACACTAATTAAAATAGCCCAAGATTATATTTATACATTTTTCTTACAGTGTATTTTATATCTCTGTGTCTTTCTACAACCTAAATACAATAAAAGATAATTGCAAGATGTTTTCATTGTGGTGAAATGCAAGCAAAGAATAAGCAGCAGGTCCATTGTCCTGTGTAGACAGTGATCACTTCTCTAGAACCACACACGGACCTCACAGGTTCTCTCAACGCGATATAGCAACCGCTTGTCTACTTGAAAGCTGATTGTTAATTAGAATAATTTGAGGCATATGAGTCTTTAGCATTCTCCTAAAAGTCTTCATTCAAGAAATTAGAGTGAGGCAAGGGAGCTCTTGGAATTCCATTTTCTCCACGGGGCAAGGGTGGAGGAACAAAATCATGTCTATTTCTCTTTTCTAGTCCATTTTATGATCCAAAGTATAGGCTAACTCTTCCAAAAATTTGTCAAAAGTGTGCAAAAGTAGTATGACCTTACTTTGAAATGTACAAATATATTCTACTTCTCTTTGAGATATGAAATAGAGAAACACATTTTATTTATTTTTAAGCATTGTATAGACAACCTCTCTTTAAGCAAAGTTAAGGCAGTGTGCATCTTGCTTGAAAAAAGAGTTTCTTGGCAGATTTTACCATGTGATCTTGTGCAAGTTATTCCACCTCTTTTAAATGCCAGTTTTCAGATCTACAAGTGAGAAACAATAATAGTATCGGTACTTACCTCATAAGAGAGTTGTGAGGATTAAAGGGGTTAGGCACGTAAAGGAGGTGGTACATACATGAAACCTACTGGCCATTACTACTAGTGGCTCCAGTGGCAATATTATTTTAAGCAAATTTTATATAATAAAATCAAAAGGGATAAAATGGTTGATAGGAAGAAATGTGGCAATGGCCAAAATCAATGGTCTGGCTAAGATTCCAGGCTATTTATTTCAACAATAGAATAAATAAATTCAGAGGAAATGTTGGCCTAACAAAATGAAGGATCTCTCTGTGGGGTTGAACTCAGGAGAGGTGTGGTAAGTGTAGTGAATACTATAGTGAATTTAATAAGTGAAACAAAATACTTCTGCATGAGTTTGATTTTACAAGTTTGGTGAGGAAAATGAAATATATTAAAAGATACTGTCTTTCCAATTGAATATTAACTATGTGCCAAAACTGCACTAGGTGCTCTCATCTCATTTAATTAATAACCATATTATGAAATATTATCTTATTCACATTTATTTTATAGTCTCCATTTAATAGAGATAAGGAAATTTGGATTCAGAAGTATTAAATAATTTTTTCAAAGCAATCCAAAGGCACAGACAGGAGCAAGAATATAAGTGCAGGTCTACATAGCACAAAAAGTTTACCAACATTTCAAAGAAGTAGAGAAACAACTCACAAGTTTTCTAAAGTAAATAATCTTAAAAAAGAAGAGGGAGTCTCTTTTCCTTTATTTTCAATAGGAAGAATTAAGTCTTATTTTTAGTTGTATTTATTTTTACATATTCATACTTTACTTACAAATCATGCATTTCATTTCTTTGTCTAGTCAATGACCAAAATGCATGTCCTTTATAACTTTACAGAAATAGTGTTTTAATTAAGGCATTATTACTTCTAAAGTATTTTAATTTTATTCTAGAGATTTAAAAAAAGTGTCAATGGTATGACAGAAGGCATAATACACCTCATGGAATGTAGTATATATTACTTTAACAAGAGGTTTTCATTGATGAATGAATTTTCTAAATAAATATCAGTTGGGGGTCCTCTGTGGTTTAGGCACTGTTCTAGACACCTGGGATGTCTCAGCAAATAAACCAGGCAAAAGAAATGTGAGTTTATGGGGCTTGAAATGTAAAAGGAGAAAGGTATATGACACGGTGATGAAATCTGGAACTAAATCATGTAATAATGATTAGGAGTGTGAGAATGGGGGTGAGTTTGCAATTTTAAATTTTCAGAGTATGCCTCATTGAGATGGCTTTTTAGCTAATGCTTGAGGTGAATGCTACAATTAATTTATGCGTAAATACTTTATAATTTTTTCTTTGAAAAGGTAGAGAAAAGAAAATTAGGTATGTTATCTTAATATTACCAGCTATTACTGAGCCAAGGACAGTGTGGATCCAACCCAACATAGTATGTTGATGGGGAAGGCTCAATGCTGAAACTTGGCGCTTGGTAATAGAGAAGGACGCAGACGGGGAATTCTCTGCCCGTCTGTGAAAAGAATTTCTAGGACACACCAGTTACACCTTCCCAGCTCTATACATCTTTCTTCAAGTCTTAGAACTAAGACAAAAAGATATGGATATGGCAATTATGTCATTCAGTCATATATGTTGTTTTGAGTGCTGCCGGAATAACTGGACTTATACAAAATGAAACCCGGCTTTTCATAGTGTCACAATCAAATCACCTTATTGCATTAGTAATGCTGTCTTCAAATAAAATATCCTGTTACTCACATTAGGTGACTTACCGGTTGGAGGTTTGTCTTTTGATGACTCAAACAGAAGAAAGAAATCTCTTGTGGCTTCACTCTTTATCACTAAAATGGTTCTCCAGGGAAGGCTGAAGACAGGTGGACAGACCACTGTGATACCGAGAGTTTAGAGTTAGACAACAGCCCAGCAGGTTGTTGGGCAGTTTCTGTTGGAGAAATAGGCTTACCTAAGAAACCAGTGGTTTTTTTTCCTCATTTGGGAGAATCTGATAATCTTTTACTTGCCGTGCATGGCCTTAATAGTAACAGTGGAATTCTAATAACCTAAAGTCACTAATTCCAGTGCCATCGAAGCTGATGAATTCCATCTCTAGAGAATTTTGGCAAAGATGTTTCCATTAAACTTAAGTTTTCCTGATACTTTTTTATTTATTTTCTCATCTTTCTACCTAGTACTATTATGATGGTGATCAGTCATTTTTATAATGTATCAATTACAAATTTGAAAAGATTCCTGGACCCAATTTAGTGCAGTGTCTTTCTATTCAAGTTTCTGTCTGCAACCAAAAATCATGTTCTATACCAGGACTTTATCCTTAACCTTGTTAGTCAGTTTGCTGAGTAATATTATAAAGCAGGTTTCTAAACAGTTTGAAGTCTAGCAATTTTGTTTTGTCTGGAAAAAAATTAAATTTCTCTAGGTGAGGCATATCCTTTCTGGTTCAATATACCTCTCCCTACTGACCAATTTAAATGTTTACTTTACCTGCCTGGTCCCTGAAATATCTCTATTTCATATCTCTACAAAAATGAGAAAGAATGAGTTCCAGTGAGGAAAATAACTTCAATATTTCATATGAAAATTTAACATTTGAGTTTGGTTGCAGATAACTGAAAAGGGAGAAACAGCTTTGGGTGTAGGGACGCAGTTGAAATATTTTCAGGAGGGATGCAAAGTTTCCTCTCTGCCCAGTCATTGGTTTTGGGACTGACAAACTGAGTATGACTGATAACTATTTGCTCTTGTTTACAACACTGAGATGTTTAATTGTTTGCTCATGTTATACAAGACACAGTGAAATGTTATCTTACATGTCCACACTGCTTCAGTTTTCTCATGGAATTCTCTCAAACCTCATGGTACCCTGGTTTCCATGCACACCCCTGATTACAACTGTGCGGAAGTATATATGGGAAGATATATGGAGAGGAGGGGGAATATACATTTGAAATATAGGCCTTGTTTGACCAGTGTATAGAGTATAATTTGTTGAATGATATGGATGACTCAACTTTTCCCTGATGGTGATTGTATTTTTGTGTGGTGAAGGAGACCAGTGCAGCAGGTGGTCTTGCCAACAGTGTGTCTGGTGGTATGGATTTTGGTTGCACTGCTTCAAATCAAAATGAAATTGGTAGCAGCCCATCTGGCCCACATTGATTTGATGTGAGTGCAATAAATGGATTATCTGACTCTAATTCTGCTGTCAGTGGAAAAGATATTTTAAGGTGGTCCTTAGTTTCTTCTTTGGACAGAAAAATCATGAATTAGTAAAACAGGGATTGGTGGTGGTGTTTTTGACAAATACAGACATTGTTAGAGGAATTCATAGGAAAGATTTTTGAGTTATCTTTGATTCTTAAGGGATCTGTGTTAACTTCAGTAGCAATTAAAACATTTTAATAAAGAGACATGTAGATTTAATACTTTTATGAAGGAGTGTGGACCTGGAGGAGAGCTACCCAGTTTCTACCGTCAGTGTTTCCCTCTAACCTTCTGTGGACTTTGGGAAAGAAACTTAAAGTCTCTTGTTCCCAAGTTTTGTCATAAGAACAGAAACATTTTAGTCTCATGTTTCTCTAAGACTTCTGCAAGGCTAACTTTGTAAATGCTGTTACTCATATTTTAACTAGTTTCCTTGAAAAACAAAAGTCAGAAAAAAGATTTACTAAAGTGTGGATAAGTAGAAATTTATATTCAAAAATTAAAGTGGGTAAAAAAGTATGAACAATAAAGTACAATAAATCTAGTTTTTTGTGTGTGTCAGAGCTATTTATCTGAAAAGATGTGGAAATTGGTGGAAACACAAAGAACAGCAAGAAGTTCATTGGTGAATCCGTGGGCTCTGGCTCCCATGACAGTGGCTCAGGATTTCTGATCCAGACTCTGTGAAGAAAAAATACAAACCATTTACATCCTTTGCTTCATGCTCTTGATAACATTTAATTTTCCATTTGCCTTTTGATTTTGGACTTGGTGGTAAAAGAAGGGTGAATTTGGATTATGTGGAACTGGCGTTAGTGGTCTTGAACAAACAGGTTGTGTTTAAAAATGAAATAGGGAACACTGGAAAATCAGTTTGCAGTGATTACTCTTCAGGCTTGTGTACAAAAAAATTAACACAAAAACAGCTTAATCATTTTGTATTAAATACCATATTTCACCATGTATAATGCACACTCACATTTTTGTGCTCATTATACACAAGTTATTATACCCTTTATTATACTCATGGTATGTAATCACTGTACCCATGTATAATGTGCATCTTTATTTTTCTTTGAAAAAGTTGGGCAAAAACATGCCCATTACACACAGCAAATACAGTAGGTGTCACGAGCTCACCTGACTGCAGTACCTCTGCACCTCTCAATACTTCAGATAATTTAGTTCATTGCTTTTGGTGTTGGAAAAGTTTATATATATAATAACATATATAAAATATATATAGAAATTTATATATAATATTGTCTATTTCTATATATATATTCCCAGTAAATCAATAATATTTCCTTATGTGTTCCATACTGAATAGAGCTTCTAAGTGCTTCTTCTCTCCAAGTATTAAAGTTTAGGTGACCAACTGCATATTTGAATCATTTTCATGAATAAGAGCAAGTAAATTATATTTCAAGACAACTTGAATAAAATATAATGCAACTTCTTTATCATTTAGATATATTATTTTATAATTACTTTATAGAGTTAAATCTATTTGTACTCAATCCTAGTGAAGATAACCTGTTGCAAAGAGAAATGGCTTCATTTTAAGTAAATGCCATTGTGAAAAAATATGTATAAATTTATTTCAGAATATTTACTTTTGTTATTGTTGTTATTGTTTCATTCTGCTCGCTTGTAGATCTTTCTCTAAGATTTCTTATAAATTCACTTGGTTACATAAAAGGGTCAGTGCATTAGAAATAAAAAATTGTGGGAGACAAATGTTAAAGTCTACAGATTTTTTCTCTTTGATCAGAAAAATTAAATTTTCTTTGTAAGATAATTAAATTACTAATATTATATAGTAGATTGGTTTGATATAATCTACCTTGGACCTGTATTTGTACATGATTCAAAATGTATAAGCTCTTAATGATTTTTGAACCTACTGTGGCTGATAGTTCCAAGAAAAAATAAGGATTTCAAAGACAATCATGTATGTGACCTTGGAAAATCATAGCTCTCACAAAATGAAGCCATATATTCAGGATAAACAAATGCTCATTTATGGTTTTCAATACTAACTTCTAAATTCTCATATAGATGTCCAAATATCTTGTATATTTAAAATCAGTTTGTGTTCTGAAACTGAAATAATCTACTCATTGTGTTAAATAGAAAAAGGATCTCATATTCCAGAAGCAACTCCAAAATACTCAGAAACAGATGCCATTATTGGTAAGTAAAAATTATTCTGATTTCTATCCATATTTTTATGACCAAGCTACTCAGTATCTAATGAAGACAAAGTAACCAAGATTTGAAACTATAATAGTTTAAAAAAATTGCCCATTATCTATCTATCTTATCATTATATGTTTGAATGACATCACATTGGTGCTATTTTTACACAAAGATACATACATTCATACCATATACACATAAATATGTATGCACATGCATATATATGTTTGTATACATGCATATATGTATAGAAATAAATAATGGAATTCATTATACCCATTTGATATGTGGTAACCTATTCAGACAATATTAGAAAAACTATCAGCACAAAAAGGAAAAGCAATTAAACAGACCACAGCTTCCCTCCATAGATCCCTCCCCATAGTAAGGGCATTTTCCCTTTCCTGAGGGGAACAAGATTTTTTTGGTTACATCTATTTTATTTTATGCCATTATAAATGAGAACTACAATAAACATCTTTGTACATACAGTCTTAGAGTGGCTATGAAATAGATTCCCCATAGTGAGATTGCTGAGCTAGAAATATGTATATTTTAATTTAAATTTTAATAGACATTATAAAAATCCCTTCCAAAAAGGTGTCAATAATTCACATTTCCAAGTGCAATTTCTCTGCATCCTCACCAGTAGTAAGCATTAGTACTTTCAAATTTTAGCCTTATCCTACAGGGTACATGAAATCTGTAAAAGCTACTAGAACTACAAAGGGAATTACAAGAAATAATGAATGAATGCATAAATCGTGGAACAGAATGTTTTTTATTCCTGTTTTGTTTTAGCCAGATAGCCAGCTTTGGGCATTCCCAAGGACTCAGGAACTGCTTTCAGAGTATTTGTGCAGTATGTGAAAAAGTCAAGTGCTGAATGAAGGGGGCGACTGTGAGGATAGAATCTTCCAGTCATTTTTCTTATCTTGGTACATGAACACATTAAAAAATCAGAACTACAGAGTACATTAATTTCTTTAAATAATTATGAGTATTCTCCAAATATCTTGTAGGTGAAGCTTCCACTTGGGGCAAAGGAGCATACAAAGCTTTCAACGGCCGCATCTTCTCCTTTGAGTCGTCGTGCGCGTACACTTTCTGCCGCCACTGCGCTGACTCTGGAGATTTCAATATTGAGATCAAACGGGGCAATGAGAGTGAGATTGAAAAAATAACGGTTATGATTGACAGTAATGACGTCTCTATTTCTGGCGATGCCATCTTAGTTAATGGAGAAAGGTAAACATCACAGTGTTTGGATAAATGCTATAGAATTATTTAAAGTAAACTGAGGGAGGAGGTTAAATGAAGAAAAGATGGTGAGAGATGGTGCACTCTCTTCTTGTTTTAATGCTTGGGTTGATATCTTTAGTAAATTTCTGGAAAGGAGTTTGGTAAATATATAAGACTGAGATAGATGTTGGATCATAAGATATATTTACTTCTACAACAAGGTGGAAAAAAGGGTGATTCTGCTGTTTGACTATTACGAGCATCCTGATTTTGGTCAACATGCATATTCCATAAAACTGTTGAAAGAATATTTCAATTTTCATTTGTATGTCTAACATTAAATATAAATTTGAGATTTACAATATATTGGGCTAAGATTTTCAGACATAGAGATTCATGTTTGGAAGGGATAACACATTTGAATATTTACCAGGCTAATAAAATGTGGCATGATAATTTACTTGCAAACATTTCAGATTATTTCATCACTATTTTCTTATACTGAACCAATGTTTGCTGTTGTTATTGTTGTTCATTTCTCCAAAGTCCCAAAGATGTATTCATTGTTCTTTAGAAGTATTTCCAACATTGGGATGAGAACCATGCATCTCTTCTTCTGCAATGATATAACAAATAAAACTTTAATATTTATTAGATAGCATTTCTAAATATAGAAAAATGAATTATCAGATAAACATGCTATAATATTTCTGACCTGTATATATATTTGTGTTTCATACTTTTCAGTGTACAGCTGCCATATAACAATAAGCTGATTCACATTAAAAAATATGGAGAATATAATATCTTGAATAGCCGTAGAGGAATTTTGTCTTTAATGTGGGACAAAAATAACAAGCTCTCAGTAAGTTTATGTATGATTTTCTCATAATCTTGTGCCTTCTGTTCTTTGCTCTTAATTATAAAAAAAGTACATTAGAAAGAAAATAAAAGCTAAAGTTTATTGAGAAATATCTATGTACTTGTCACTGTACTATCCATTATCTTAATATTGAAATACATACTATTAATCTCATTTTAAAGATGATGGAATTCAGGAGACTCAGGCTAGTGAAAGTTAAATAACCTGCCCAAAGGTACATAGGAAGTGCTGGAGTCTGACTTATTTCAAATCTAGAGTCAGATCCTTCGAGGGGAAAATACCCTTTAGTACATCCCTAAGTAACCAGCTTAGATAAAATTAAATACAAAGAGCCATGTTTCTTGGTTTGGGTAAATTTTGTCTTGAGATATTTTCAATATTTTAAAATATATACACATAAATTTCTTTTAAAGCTCACTCTTCACAAGCAGTATCCAACCTGTGGTCTTTGTGGTAATTTCAACACCACTCCAGGTAAGATTTCAATGTATTATGTACAAGAAAATTGCTTCTCAAAAGTAAATTATAAAGTAATGGCTCATATTTGAATAAGTGTAACAAAATTTGCATTTTTGAAAAGAATGAAAATTTGTTAAAATAAATATATGTACATATTTCTCGAGTCTATGTTTATCTTGAAAATTATGTGTATATGTAATGAATATTGTGAACCAGACATTGCTTTCTTTTTAAGGAGAAGATATCAATGAGCACATTGCCAATAGCAAAATTACTGGTGATTGCCCCAAAGCTCTTAGTAAAAACTATGAAGTTTGTGAAGATGGAGTACAGGTAAGGAATTAATATTTCATCAAGTAGCAAATTTCAGCAATATTCCCCTTGGTTTTAATTAAGATAGCCAGCATCCTTTCTAAGCACTCATATCTTAATCTCGGAATTCTGCAACAGCTTCCTCTCCAATGTCCCTGTAGTTTGTTTCTCAGCTTTAGTTTAACTATAGATGATAAAATAACTTTTTTCCTATAACATTATTAGTGTGACAGTTCTGATTTCTTTGCATAGTTGCCACGAGTAAACATCCCACAATATAGTTTTTCCTATAAGTCAGTCTACAACCTTGCTCAGGTCCTCTGACCTGGGTCTTAGGAACCGAAAACTCTAGGCCACCTCTATGGCCACCAGCCCTACAGGTAATGCCAGCACCAAGGAATAACAGTGAGTCAACACATGTGACTCTGCTATTCATTCAGCTTTTACTGATGCAAGTTCAATCTCAATCAATAACAATGGATCAACAGCAATAAAACTCAGAAACAATCAGTCATAATATCATACAAGAGAATTGGGGGATAATGAACCTAAGTCTCAAGAGTCCAGATCAGGTCCAGGTCTGGGAGGCAGTGGGGTGCTCCACATCTTGCAAGGCAGAGTCAGAGGGTTGGGGTCATGGTGAGTTCTTCCTCCCAAGGTGGAATGTGCGGGATGTCTCAAAGTGACTCACTCTTGGGATGGATTGCCTGTAGTCTGAAGTCCTCTGCTTATATACTGTTGTATGATGCAATGTTGTGTCAGCTTCTGATCAACACATGTGGTTTCATGCAACCTGGATAGGCACACGTGGTTTATGCTGCTCTACTGTGCATGCTCTGAGAGGGGGTGTTACCCTTCAGATAAACACATATTGTTTACCACATTGCACTGTGCACGCTCAGGTGATTGCATTATCACTCTGAGTAGTTACTCTACTGTGCAAGCCATAAACATGGCTTGCCTCAATGCTATCTTAGTTGACAGGACTGATGCCATCTTAATTCAGTCTTGCTCTCCACAGTGGTATTTTAATTTGTCCATAAATTGACAAGCTTTACCTCTCCACTGTTACCTCTTGATAGGTACTAACTTGACTCTTATAGTTTAGAAATCCATGAACCGTGTCACTAAGAACTAATTTCTGCACTTGCTTCTTTACTTTTGCTCCAGATAGCTAATCTCAATTGTCATCCTTTGTATCCTTTACTTTCTTTAAGAAAAAGCTTACAGGTAGCCCTGACTGGGTGGTGTGCTTGGTTGGAGCATTGTCCCCTACACCAAAATGTTGTGCGTTTGATCCCTAGTCAAGGCACATGCAGGAGGCAGTCAATTGATATTTCTCTCTCTTTCTCCTTTTCTCTTCCCCTAAAAAATTAATAATAAAGAAAAATATTTATAGGTAATCTTTTTGGTTATAACACTTGAAAATAATCATCACTTACTCTGAATTTTCCAACCTCGTGTAATTCCATTATGTAGAATTTGATAGAGTTATTTGATGACTGAATGAATGTTCACATATTCCTGTTTCAATCTGGAACAAAATTCTCAAGATCAAGATATGTGCTGATAGAAGAGATTTTTGTTTTAGAGAAAATGGGTGTTACATCTATAATCATCTTGTAGCAAACCAAATTAGGCCATGAGATTATATCAATGTAAGATCATCTACTATCTTCCTTTGAAAACTTCCCTGATCTTTCCAGTTAGAATGCCTTCTCTTTCCTTTGTTACCCTATGCCACTCACTGGCACTTGTGGTAAGATACCATCTATAATAATTTCCCATGTTTTTTCTCATATGTTTTCTATAAGATTATGTATGAGTTCTGTAATCATGTCTTAACTGTTGTAGTAGTTGCATATTTTGGGATAAGTTACTCCTTATTGATTTAAAATGTTAGCTGAATACATATATAAATTTGTATTAAGCCCATAAAATAGAGTGATATATCTTGATCTAAAGGAACCTATAATCTAGTGAGAAAGATATGCAAAGGACAATAGATGAAGAAATAATCTTCAAAGATTTTATTTTGGTTCATTTTATAGAGTTTACTTGGTGCAAATTGTGCATTTTTTTTTTTGGCAATAGCTTTCCCATTTCCTGAAGAAGAAAAAAAAAGAGTCCATGGTTAAAATAGAAAACAGTTATGCGGTATTTAAAATATACTGAATTTTGAACTTTTGGTGTTAGTTAATATGTCTTTATTTCCTTAACCAACATGAGAACAAATATGTTGTTTCCAGAGCAAACTCACATAACCCACACCAAGTAAAACAGAGTCACTGTGTTTTACTGTCATCTGTTTACTCATCAAATATAAGCAGACAAAACAAATGGCCAACGTCCTTCTGTCTACTGTGGTTTCAATAATTTATCATCCAATTTCTGACATTTACTGATCTCTCCTTTTCTCACCTCTTATTCTTTCTCAATTCTAAATTTCATGTCACCTTTACAGAATTTTAGATGAGTTCAGGTACCATTTTTGAAGTTGTTTTATAGCAATCCAAATGCCAGAAACTAAGTATCCTTTTAGGAGTAACTGTACCAACTGTAATACTTCAAAACCCTTCACTTCAACCAGCAACCAACAACTCCCTGTCAAAGTGACAGGGTATTACACAAACAAAAAGTGCTCCTGAATTTATCTCTTCTGAAACATTCATTTGACTGCCCATTTTCTTATGATTTAGTAAAACTTTGTTTTATTTTACAGCACTGTAACAAAATTATTGGAGCCTACTTTGAGAAATGTGGAAAGGTTAATGCTTTGTCCAGTGACTACAAAATGATCTGCATTGATGAATACTGCCGACAAGGAGACAAGAAGTCCACATGTGACACTTACTCAGAACTGTCCCGTCTTTGTGCCGCAGATGGTCCTGGCACCTATGAATCCTGGCGAGAAGATTCTGATGTGGATTGTGGTAGGTTTGTCATTTTATTGTAGATTCCAAATCAGAGAGTACTATACAGGGATGAGCAAAAGCAGGTTTACATTGTCTGCCCATGAAACACAGTTTATTCTTATATTATTATTAATTATTGTATTATTTTCCATATGAACAACTATAAACCTATATTTGCACACCCCTGTATAGTGCTTATAGTACAAGTATAATATCAATTTCAAAGTAGAATTAAATGATATTGTGGATGATATACATTCTTTCCATATTAAATTTTGTATCATTAATAATACAAATATAAATATTGGCATAATAGATTTGTACTGAGTAGCTTTAAAGACTAATGTCTTGAAAATTAGACTCAAAGGATCCCATTTGAGAAGATCCCCATTAGAATGTTATGCATTTATTATATTAATTTTCCTCTAAGATTCATGCATACATATTTCTATATTTCTCCAGAAAAACCTAGATGCCCAGAAAAACATATCTACAAAGAGTGTGGCCTCGCAAACCCTGCAACTTGTTCTAATGTGGCTCCTTTTCAAGACAGTGAATGTGTGAGTGGCTGTACCTGCCCAGAAGGTAATATTTACATCCAAACATCTGAAAGTGAAGTGACTCAACTATCGTGGGGTCTTATCCCTAACAAGATATTTAGTGTATTTACCTATTCATAGTCCAGCCTTCTAACAAACTGCAGGTGAGGGGTAGAGAGAGAACTTTAAAGTCAGTGTATATTTCAAGCAGTACAGCACCTGAGGGTTATGAAATCCCACAGATCATCCTGTGTATTTGGCTCCATAAGACTGGTCTGTAGCTCAGAAAATTATATGCTTGCCAGTTCTCAAAGAAGTAGTAACTGCTTAAATACGAATCACCACTTTAAGTGCATGTCAGCACTGAAAAGAATGAGCTCAACAGTGATTTCATAATATACTGCTTGAGAATTTACTGATGTTTATATGGTTTTGAGATTAACCTTATATAATATATTCTAGGCTATCTATTGGATGATATTGGAGAGAAAGGGAGATGTGTATTGAAGGCTGAGTGTCCCTGTGAGTCTAATGGAAAAGTCTATCCGTCCGGAGAAGTCCGGAAAGGACCCTGTGGTTCTCAGTGGTACGTGTGTGCTTTTTGTCCACATTTTGCTGACGGTAAAAAGTACTAATATTTTAATCTTATTTGAAGTGATCCCTAAATCCACCTTAAAATAAACTTTTCCCTAAAAAAAAAGTGGCCTCATTGGATGTTCAGTGTTGATATTTTATCTTTTAATTTTTGAGGAATATTTAGTGTGCTATTTGTATAAAATGTGTGAGTGTGTGACCTTCCTGTGTATCTTTCAAAGATAATGTTCTTCACTAACTTAAATGGTGTTTTGAATAGTGATCCAGGTGGTGGTTGCAAATACAGAGCAAAGAATAATACACAAGTATGGTTACAATAATGGAATAGTAATTGTGCTAATTACCAAGAATAGTTAATAAAATGTACAATCAGAAACAACCCAACACTTCTCAAATAACTTCATATGAGGCTACATCGGTGAAGATATGTTTCCCAGAGTGGATTTGAATGGGCCAAAAGTTAGGGTAGATTATTTCTCTTGAATAATTAGCTTGATTCTTCCTTTTGACTGCTGCAACAATTTGCTGACCAGAGAGATTTCCTCATTACTCATTATTACTTTTCTCTGAAATTGCAAGTTTCTTCAGGACTCCAAAGAACTTTTTTAGCTATAAGTAATATCCCTTTGAGGAACTAATTTGACCCAATGAAAACCAATCTGTTATTTATGGTATAATATTTCCCTAAAAGTAGGAAATGATTTATTGGTGTGGTAATAATTTATTAGTGATAATTATGAATAACAATAGCTATGGTTGATTAAATGTCTGTAAAAATGCTGTTCAGGAGAAATATAATTTGAGTTACAAATGTCACCCACATAGGTAACTAATACTTTTTAGTTGATGCATTTAAAAAACAAACATGTGAAATTAATTTTCATCTTATTTTTTATATATCTGAAGTATTATCATTTCAACATAAAGTTAGTATACAAAGTTACAAAGGATTTTACAAATGTTTTATATCATCTTCAATGGCTGTGCATGTTTCACTTACAGCAGATCTCAATCTGAACTAGCCACATTTCAAATAATCAGTAGCTATATGACTCTATACTGTATTGGGCAGTGCAGGTCTACAATGTGGCAAGTAGCATGTGTTTTAATGATAACAATGAAATATGTCCTATATAAACAAACCCTCTAAGTCCAGTTTACAAGTGTTTGTAAGTTTAATGCAGGCAGATGTTATTATCTTATTCAATGGAATCCAAGTCTTTTAAAATACCGGGATACCACCATCAGCGAGGCGTTTTATGAGCTGAGATGTTGGGTGGAGAATGCCTATAGTCTAATAAAGCTCAACTAAGCATCTTAGTGTAAGTTGTAATTTTTTAGAACACGATTTCTGATCTTTAACATAACTATTTTCTTTTAACAGCACATGCCAGGAAGCAAAGTGGTCTTGCACCGAAGCACTGTGTCCTGGAAGATGTAAGGTGGAAGGAAGTTCAATTACCACCTTTGATGGTGAAAAATATAACCATCCTGGGAACTGTCACTTTTTGGCCATCCACGTATGTACTAGCCTGGAGCACTTGAGAAAACTGATTCAGGCACCAACCTATTTTTTAGCCAATCTTCACCTCCAATTACTATTTAAAAAATAAAAACCAAACAGACCTTCAATTCCTGGCCACATATTCCTGTATCTTCTGCTCTGTCCTATTAACATTGACAACCAGTACTACCTGTGACCTTTAGGAATTCCTACTTTACAAAAAAAGCCCCTTTCATCACTAATAGTTTTCTAAATACATTGGGAAATTATTTATTCTTTTACTTTTTTTGCATGTGTTCACTAGTGACTCAAATGACCCCACCTTTATATTTTATGATGCATTTTCCTCTTTCATCATTATTCTTTTACACTTACTTTTAGTTTTTATGATATGATATATCAGTGTGGTAGAGGTTGTCCTTATATTTAAATTCTCTTCAGTATTAACATTTTAAGTAATTTGAACTGTAATAAAAGGGGGGATTTCTTTTTGTAGTTTCTGCCTTTTAACTAGCAGGAGAACAAGTAATTTTATTTAGTCTTCCTGATAAGAAACAAAGTGAGCAAAATCTGTGACTCCTGAAGTGTGAGATGTCCAGTAATCTAAGAAATGTAGTGGCTGCTGCTAAAAGTCAGTTTTCCAAATTTGTTTTCTTTCTTTCTGTGCTCCTCATGTAATCCATGAAGATATGGGATAGAAAAAGTGAGACAGAATGTTCCAAAATGTACAGAATATTTGCTTCTTATAGTTTAGAGATTCCTTGATCTTAAAAGGAGAGCTGGAAGTCAATGTTCAACTTGAATTATATTACAATTTTACAAATTAAATATCTCTCACATTGGATTTAAACAGACATTGTGGATTGACCAGAGAATAAACTAAGTTGCCTCTAATTCCCCTTAGTCTCCATAATGCATCATGGTTCCCTTGAAAAAGAAGACAAAAAAGTAAAGATAAAGAAAAAGCAATCACTATAAAAAACCACCCATCATAGACTACACAGGTGTAGCTGATAGAAGATACTAGGACAATCTGTAAGCACTTGGCCAATTTTAGAGTATGCTGTGGACTAAAGTAGGTTTCTGTTTTCAGAACAGAATGACTGTAGGTAAGCATTGTGCTGATGGAAGGAGACTAGACTTTGGGTAGTGAGCACATAAGGAATATACAGAAGTTGTGTTATAAAGCTGTACATCTGAAATGTATATGTTATTAATCAACATTACCACAATAAATTTAATTGAAAATAAAATGCTAACATGCATTGTGAATGAATCACATGGTAGTAACATATAATCAATAACATTGTAATAAACACTTAAATGAAATGCAATTTTTTTAAACAGGATGAAGATTGGTCTGTTAGTATCGAGCTTCGTCCATGTCCAAGTGGTCAGTCAGGCACGTGCTTAAATAGTGTTACACTCCTCTTGAATTCGGTAAGTTATCAGCTTTCTAAAGTTATTAAGAACACAATCAAATCAATTCACAAATTCAAAATTTGAGGGGTTGATGAAGAGAGGCTTTACTATGTAAATTAAAAACACAAATAAGATTATACAGAAATTGGTAAAGTCTCTGGGAGCTGGATAGTTCCAAGGATCCTTAAGTATATAAAAACTACCATAGGTATACAACTGATGTTGTAATTATATTGCAATAGAGCAACCTTATGTGCTTATAAAATTATTAAATTTGGTGGCCCATTTAAAAATGCAGTTATATTTGTATAGAATTTTATGTATGAGAAACTAACATTTTAAGGGAAAATAGACCTAAGTGAGGAGAGAGAACAATTACCCTGGTGTTTGGCCCTTTCAAGCTATTTGGCCTTTGAGAATCCAGCTAACTCCTGGGCTCTTAATTACCTCATCTATGTATTGGGAATGAAGCACCCTTTACAGTCTTCCTCAAAAAGTTGGTATGAGAAACCATGAAGCAAAGTATGAAAAATGCTTTAATTTTTTCTATATTTTAGAGATTTATAAATTAATCCAAATTAAGCATGTTTTATGGGACAAAATTTCAAGTTCATTATTACAATTTCTATATTTTAGAGATTTATAAATTAATCCAAATTAAGCATGTTTTATGGGACAAAATTTCAAGTTCATTATTACATTAAAGTGAAATTATTTTGTAAATGAACATGAACTAATGATGTATTTTAAATTTTAGTCTGGTTCAGTTGACAAATATATATTCAGTAGAGATGGAACAGTCACAAATGACAAGATTGGAGATAAAAATTACTACTATTCAGGTAAGTTTAATAGTACCATTAGTAATACCATTTAAAAATAAATGTAAGAGGCATTTATTTATTGAAGTGTTAATGATATTACGGACTTCCGGCAAGATGGAGGAATAGGTGGACACATTGTACCTCCACACACAACCAAGATTAGAACAACAACAATTTAGAGCCAGAATAACACCCAGAACTGATAGAGGATTTATTTGAATGGAAGTAGGACAGCCAAGAAGTTGAAGTAGACCCATTCATCCAGACCGGTAGGAGGGGCGGAGGACGAGCCGGGAGGGCACCGGTCGGCAGCACAGAAAACTTGGCACGAACTGGGCCCGTAAGCCATTTGGAGCGTGCAAGAACATAGCGGTGGACCCTGAGTACTCAAGCTGTGGCTGGCAGACCCAGTGAGGCGGCGATTGTGGACCAGGGCAGAGCTCACAGACCAGGATCCCAGAGAAGGGACTCAGATCTCAGGAGAATGGAACTACCGCCATTGTTCCCTCCCATCCCCGCTCCCGCTCTTGCCCTCACCCCCACATATAACGTCACAATCTAGCGACTGGGGTGCCCAGCCCCGGTGAACACCTAAGGCTCTCCACCACCCCCCCCCCCAACCACCGTAACAAGAGCGACCAGACTGGAAAAAAAAAAAAGAAAAAAGAAGGAGAGACAGGGAGAGACATGTTTCCAACAGAAGAGCAGATCAGGCCCCCAGGACTCATCCTTTTGAGCGACTAAGAAATAGCCAATCTATCAGATGCACAGTTCAAAACACTGGTGATCAGAAAGCTCACGGAATTGGTTGATTTTGGGCACAAATTAGATGAAAAGATGCAGGTTACCATAAAAGAGATGAAGGAAGATGCACGGAGGAGAGCCAATAGTGAAGGGAAGGAAACTGGGTCTCAAAACAATACAGTGGACCAGAAGGATGATAGAATCAACCAAGCAAGAAAGCATGAAGAAATAAAAATTTAAAAAAATGAGGAGAAGCTTAAGAGCATCCAGGACATCTTGAAACGTTCCAACATCCGAATTATAGGGGTACCAGAAGGGGAAGGGGAAAAGCAACAGATTGAGCATGCATTTGAACAAATAATAAAGGAGAACTTCCCCAATCTGGCAAAGGAAATAGTCTTCCAAGAAATCCAGGAAGCTCAGAGAGCCCCCAAAGAAGTTGGACCCAAGAAGAAACACACCAAGGCACATCATAATTACATTAGCCAAGGTAAAAATGAAGGAGAGAATCCTAGAAGCAGCAAGAGATAAGGGGACAGTCACCTACAAAGGAGTTCCCATCAGACTGTCAGCTGATTTCTCAAAAGAGACCTTACAGGCAAGAAGGGGCTGGAAATAAATATTCCAAGTCATGAAAGACAAGGACCTACATCCCAGATTGCTCTATCCAGCAAAGCTCTCATTTAGAATGGAAGGGAAGATAAAGTGCTTCTCAGATAAGGTCAAGTTAAAGGAGTTCATCATCACCAAGCCCTTATTTTATGAAATGCTAAAGGGACTTATCTAAGAAAAGAAGATAAAGAAAAAAACATGTATAGTAAAAGGACAGCAAACTCACAATTATTAACAAGCACACCTAAAGCAAAACCAAAAGAAACTAAGCAAACAACTAGAACAGGAACAGAACCACAGAAATGGCAGTCACACGGAGGGTTAGCAGCAGGGGGGTGGGGGGAGGAGAGAGGGGGAAAAGGTACAGAGAATAAGTAGCATAGAAGGTAGGTTGAAAATAGATAGGGGGAGGGTAAGAATAGTATGGGAAATGTAGAAGCTAAAGAACTCATAAGTATGACACATGGACATGAACTAAAGGGGGGGAGTGTGGGTGGGAGAGGGCATACAGGGTGGAGGGGAGTGAAGGGGGGAAATGGGACAACTGTAATAGCATAATCAATAAAACATATTTTTAAAAATCCTAAATAAATATGAGCAAAAACAATCTGGCATTATATGAAAATAATAATTCATCATGACCAAATGGAGTTCATCTCAGGAATGTAACAATAAATTCAACATTTTTTGGAAAAAAAAGAAGTGTTAATGATATTAAATGTTTCTGTTTTAACATCTATTAAAGAATAAAAGCACTTTAAGAAATTAAAAACTTTAATGTGTTAATTATTACTATTAATTTTAATTATTTTAACAGACAAAGTACAGATATTCAAGCCATTTTCCTCATACTTGCAAGTAGAAACAAACTTTCACGTAAAAATGCAAATACAGATTCTTCCCGTGATGCAATTATATGTTTCCATGCCACCCAACCAGTTCACAGACACAGTGGGTAAGTGCTCCACCTATGCTTTTATATCTAAGGCTCTAGAAATAAATCATGTGATCATGATTTATTATAATTTTCAATTGCCTGTTAATGACATTAAACCATTAAGCATTTTTACTTAACCTACCAATCTTCCTTTTCATATTGCAGTAAAATAATTCCAATTTTCTTTTTATAGTAAGTACAATATTATTTATTACAAAATATATCCCCAAATGGATCTCAAAAGCTTAAACATTTTAAGGTTTTAAATTAAGGCTTTTGTTAAGTGTTATTTGATAATAAGTTATGTATCATTTTGTTAATTATTAAGGTTTTGATCTATAGAAGACTAAATGAAAGTATTATGGATATAAATCTTTTTGAAAATCATGTTTCAAATGCATCATATCTTCCAGTGAGGTTTTTCTCATTACAGAAATCAGCTCTTACATACTATCATTGATATCAAGCAAAACAAAACAATTATGGCAAATCCTATGGTTACTTACATATATACAAAGACCAATCAAGACACTCTCTTAGATAGCTTCTACAGTTTTGATTTGAACAAAGAACCGAATGTGAAGCTAGGGTATGAGTACAAACAGTTGAGTAGATAAAGAGATGTTCAACTTTGTCCTGTGCCCTTTTGCAGGGCTCTGTGGTTCCTACAACAACAGAGCTGAGGACGATTTCATGTCAAGTCAGAATATATTGGAAAAGACATCACAGGCATTTGCTGATTCTTGGGAAATGAGGTCCTGTCCTAAAGGAAACCCAGCTTCATGCATCAGTATAGAAACAGGTAAGGTTAATTAAATGCCAAATTCTAATTAAATATTAGGTGCTTGGGATTATATACGTATTCTGGTAATGATAAGAGACTAGCAAATAACACTGGTTTTAACTAGTGTTTGCTGTGCTGTCCCATGATTAGAGGAAACAGCAGAGAATCAGTCTGTCTGGTTGAGAGTATTCCTAGTAAACACATCTTTCATAGGGTTGCGGGTCATCTCAATTGTGTTTTCCTGTAGCTGTTCTTTCTTCCTCATACTGTTTTCTCCATAGCTATAGAACAATAAGGTTAGAAGAGACATTACAGATTATTGAGTCTATTATTCTTTTCTTTTAATTTAGTCATGGAAGTTATCATTGCTTGAAATAATGAGACTCACTCAAACCAATGAACCACTTAACAATACAGCTTTAGCTAGATTCAGGTCTCCCAGTCACTGCTTTCAAATAAGCATATTAATTATACCAAACTCCACATTTACATCTTACTAAGGAAGCTGTACACTTGGGTGGCAGGGGTGAAATTATAGTGGTGGTACGGCAGCTTCATTTACCAACCTGTCAACACAGACGCAAGTCAATATTTTAAATTAAGGAGCACCTAAATAAATAATCTGGTTCCCTTTTACCATTTATGTGTTTAAATTGCATTTCAGAAGAAAGTTAGCTGATTGAATACAAAAGTCCTAATAAAGATTGTGCCTCTGTGATTTAAAGTATTTCTGATTATATCGTGCTAGTTTTTATATAGTGATAGAAATTCAATTCATGGTAGCAAAACACTTTAAAAACATAATTGCTTTTATAAAGACAAAACTCTGTTAAACATTTATACTTTGTCTTTCAATTAAAAAATATGACATCGTTAATACAACTTGTGGGTGACTTAATTTTCTCCCAGAAAAGTTTGCTGAAAAGCACTGTGGAATTCTTCTTGATTCAAGTGGGCCTTTTGCTTCCTGTCATGCAATTGTGAATCCTAAACCATATCAGGAGGTATGTGAGAGTCTAATATTAATAACTTTTTGGGGAAATAACTTTGATTATATCAAAAGAGGCATGTAGCTATTACAATTTTTTTTAAAAACAACCATCGACAGTAGATTAAGACATATGTTTTTATTGAACATTGGATTCCACATTTATTCAATTGTTATATATACCAACTTTAATTTAAAAACTGGGACAAAAATGAGAAAAAATCTTAAATGATTTTCTCTTTCTGTGTTTTCTAAGTTCTTTGCAAACTCCATGGATGATTGCCTTGCTGTTTTACAAATTTTTGAAAAGAAATATTTCCAAAAGTTTCAGAAATATTGTTTTCAAGTAAAAGGAATAGTTATGAAGTAAAGCATTATACTCAATTTATCTGTTCATCTGAATATTTTCATAATATAATACAAATTTGTTTCTTATCTTAAAGGAATGCAAAAAACACACATGTACTTGTGAAAATAGTCAAGACTGCCTGTGTGCAATTTTAGGCAACTATGCGAAAGCATGTGCCGAGAAGGGAACATACATAGTGGGGTGGAGAACTGGACGATGTGGTAAGAAGGATGAAGGCGTGGGATAATTTTACTTCCCTCTCAATTTTGCTATAGTGTGTGTGTTGTGTGTGTGCTGTGTGTGTGTTTAGGCCCATATATTTACAAATCTGTCCTTGATTCTTTCAAAGAGGATCTTCTGTTTCTGACACAGAACATATTGTTAGTTGCCAGAGGCATGGCTTAAAACAATCTATCTCCTGGTCCTGGGAAGGGGAGGATGAGCTTCAGGCACTAGTGCGGCATTTTGGAAATCGGTGTGACATTAGGCAGTAGGAACGATAAAAATCTTCATCCTCCCTGATACTGCATTTATACTTTTAAGGATTTATACCAAAGAAAATAATAATAATGTACATTTCTGTTCCCCACTTATATTGATTACTCAAGATTCACATCCTCTTTCTTTTTTGTAATTAAATTCTGATGTTCCTTTGGGAATCTGCCCCATCTTCATTGAAGTAAATCTTACTAGAACTACCAATCAAAGCAACCCTCCCTCCCAAAGGGCAAGGGATTAGCATGCGATTTAAATAAAGTCACTCAGTGCCCATATATGTAGATATCTTTGAACAATCTTTGCATTTTTACTTCTTGATATAATTTTTGTGCATTTTTTCTTGATATAATATGTTAATATTTAATAAGAACAGAATATATATGTATATATATATATTTATGTATAAACATATGTTTCTGTTCAATTATTGTATGGTGAAATTTAAATAATGTTCTACTTTTACTGCATTTCTAAATATTAGATATATTAATAACTTGTTTATTAAAAACCAAGTAAAAATCAATCAGGAAACTAGAGACTCAATGATCATAAAATTTTGTTTTAAAATATGTATTACACTATTTGAATACAACTTTAGAAAATACTTGATTTACAAAAATAATACTTTGCAGAAAAACACCCCTTATAGATCAAACTTAATACTTCATAGGCCGGATCCAGTCAATCAGTAAGTTCTGTTAAGTTTAACCTCCCAAATTTCTCTAAAATCCATTAATACCTCTTTATCTTTATTGCCATCAACCTAATTCAAGAAACCATTATTTTTTCTCCTGGGTGACTTTAATAATCTCCTTCACTATCTCTCTTAGTTGGTTCTCTTTAATCCAGTTTCTACTGAGAAATCAGTGTAATCTTTAAAGTAAAACCAAATAAAGCTAACCTAATTGTGTGAGACTCAGTTTATACCAAGGCAGTGGCTTGACAAGGCTCTAAAAGACCAAACTGAGTAAGAAGGTGCTGTGAGTTCCAATTGCTGACTCTGTCTCTGGGTTTACAGCATCTATTCTTTTACTTGCTCTTTAAGAGAATTTCCCTCTCTTCTAACTTAGGCTGTTTCCCAGGCACAGAATTCCATTTCTCTAGGCTGTCTTCATGCTGTCCCTCCTCTTCACTGTGTGCAGGTCCCCAGTTGTACACACTTAAGAGACTTCTGTCTCGCTTCTTATAGCAGGTAACACATGTCCTCCCCCCAGGAATATAATCTGCTTGAGAGAGGTGTATTACCAGTCTTGTTGATGGGCTATAAACCCCATATTCCCCTATATTCCTATAATCCCCAGCAGGCTGTGTAAAGATATACTAGGGACTCAATATTGATGGAAAAACATGAAACAAAATAGGCATTTTTTCTTCACTAAAATTTCAATTATGAATAATTTACTATAATATCTATAAATATCAAGTTGAAGTAAAGTTGCTACTTTTTCTGGAGATATATACATACTTGCTTTTTTTTGTCCCTATACCAACAGATTACTCTTGTCCAAGTGGCCTAGTTTTCAAGTACAATGTAAAAGCCTGCAATAGTTCTTGCCGATCATTGTCAGAAAGGGACAGAAGCTGCGATATAGAAGATGTTCCAGTGGATGGATGCGCTTGCCCTGATGGGATGTACCAGGATAGTGAGGGAAACTGTGTTTCCAGATCTCAGTGTGACTGCTACATAAACGATAAGGTCTTGAAACCAGGCAAACTCGTCCATATTGAAGACAATAAATGGTATGGAGATGACACGTATGTTTGTTACAGCCTTGCATCCAGGGACTATCCTTTTCAGAGAAATAGTCTTTTGCTAGTTTGATGCCTTCTTTAGATCTGCCATATCCTCTATTTTATATTTCTTACTAAGATTGGTTATCATCCCCTTTGACCAGGAGTTTTCACTGCATCATGGCTATAACTGATGTATCCTCTTGTTTGGTTTTAAATACCAGTAGGAGAATATTTTAGCAGCTCCTGCATGCAAACAATGCAAAATAATTTCCTATTCAGACAATGCTTTCTAGTTGTCTCTCAACATTCATCATTCCACAAAGCTTATTAAATAAATATCTACCATGTGCCAGGCCTCGTGATGAGTGCAGGAGTGCAAAGATAAGGGAACATTATCTTGGACTCACAAAGTAAGCAGGGTGCTGCCTATTGTGAGGAGGTTTGTAAAGTATAACATGGGAGTAGGAAGGATCAGCTGCTACCTGAGGAGATGGGAAAACTTCTCAGAGAAGACCAGCATTTGAGTTTTCCAAAGGGATGGATATTTTCCAGATAAAATTCTGCTGTAAAGAGTGATTTCTAGTAGAGTAAACAGAATGCACTAATGTAGAAAATGCTTGACAAAGTATTGCACACATAGGTTATTACTGCATAGGATTGGGCTGGAAAAGCAGACAGTGGCCAGGCCATGCTCAGTAATTTAAACTTAGTTCCTGGGCAATAGAAGGGGTTGAAGAATTGTTATTTAGTCATGGGTATGGAGGTTGTGCTTTCTGCAAAGTGATTTATCCACATGTCTAATTCCAAAGAACAACATAGCAGTTCTTAACAACATAACTGCAAAATGAAGTAGCCATTCCAAATGGTTTGGATGGACCTTCTCCATGTTCTTTACCTCCATGAAACATTCATTTAGCAATAATGATATTTCTTGGCCATTTAAAAGTAAAGCATAGATAACACTTTTTTTTAATCCTTAACTGGGGATATGTTTATTGATTTTAGAGAGGAAGAGCAGGGGAGAGAGAGAAACATTAATGTGAAAGAGAAACATTGATCAGTTGCTTCATGTATGTTCCCTGACCAGGGATCAAACCCTCAACCTTTTGGTGTATGGGATGATACCCCAACCAACTGAGCCACCCAACCAGGGCTAAATAACATTTTTTCCCATCAAAGCACACAAATCACTTGGTTGAAGTTTGATAATGATACTTTCTCTCTAGATGGTGGCAAATTAGCAGATTACCTTTTTAATGAAACTTAGGCTATCACCAAATTATGATTTTCTTCAGCATTACCCCATTTCAGGCTCCCATGAACTCTCTCTGGCACTACTATGAGAGCTAACTTTGTTGTTCTTTGCCCTGTACCTCTGTCTCTGGCTCATGTTCCCTGCACTAGTGCTAGAATGTCTAACCTAAATTCAGATTGTTTCACGCAGCCACACAGAAGCTTTATTGGTGACAGAATAGAATAGAATAGAAGAATAGAAACAAACTTGAATGTTATTTAAGATTATTGGAAATCTGAACCAATTCTCTTTTACCACTTCCCCCTATCATGCATCCTACCTGCTACCCAAAGAAATTACTAGAACATGCCTTGTTCTTTCCTGCATCACAGCTTTGCATCTATCTTGTCAGCAGTATCTGTTGAATCTTACTCACCCATCAAGATCCAACCATCTCTTCTATGAAGCTTTCTTTGATGCCCATAAAACCTTGTTGGTACATTCTCATACTACATACAAGGCTTTCTCTTGTAATTCGGTACATTTGCATCTTCTGGGGACTTTGTCTCATTCGTACTACTATTTGTGATAAAACAGGGGGTTCATGAATTAGGGGTTAAAGTTGCTATAACAGTGTATTAAGATGTTGTCATTGAAATTTGATGTTCAAGGTGAAGGGATTAGCTGAAGAACATATGTGGATAACCCACAGACACAGACAACAGTGTGGTGATGGCCAGGAGGAATGGGGAGTGAGGGGAGGTGTGGGTGGACATGGGCAAAGGCAAGTGGATGGGAATATCTATAACAGTGCAAACAATAAATAAATAAATTAAAAAGTAAATATATCATTTTTTTTTAAATTTCCAGTGTCTGTGAGGATGGAATTATTCTTTGTCAGACTCCCATTGATTTAATCCAACGTAAGTGTCAAAATCACAGTGAAGGTTTAAAATACCTACTTTGGTTAAAACAAACAAATAAGCAAATAAACAAATAAACAAAAACCAGTCCAAGAGGCCCTTGATTAACAACTTTCTTTATCCTGCAGAGAATTGCTCTGGAGGGGCCGAGTATGTTGGCTGCAGTGATCCTAAGGCAAAGAGAAGAGTTGACCGTACATGTAGCACTCGGAACATACCTAATTTTGATGTAAGTAACATGGCATCATAGTTTAGTTCTTTAAAACTTTTTTTTGTGGTTTCATGGTAGAAGTAACTGAACTGCCAATGAAAACTAATGAGGTCAGATTAATCATGTGTTATTTTGACTTTGCCAGTGTTGACACTAAGTGCATACTTGGTATATTTATGTACTGCACATTAATGTGGGTAAGGGGTTGTGCTTAGAACAGTGCCTTATGTTGTATATGTTGTATTTATTCCTGAAGGAGAATTTGTCTTGCAAACGTGGGTGCTATTGTCCGGAAGGAATGGTTCGAAATTCTAAAGGGCAATGTGTCTTTCCTGATGACTGCCCATGCTCCTTTGGTGGACGAGACTATGACCAAGGAAGTGTCACCTCAGTAGGCTGCAATGAATGGTACATAATAAAGGATGACTATTTTATTTGTTTTGGGCATTTGAAAGTGTACAGTCTGCTCTTATTTTCATGGGAAAGAAGTCATGCTTTGGGATATTTGAAAAAATAATGGTCACATATATTTAGGAAAAATGCTGTTTCTTTAAATAGAAATTTTATAACATGATATATGATGAACATCATCAAATATAATGCAGAAAACTGCAAAATTTAAATCAATATGACTTTTTTGTGCTTTTTAAATAAAAAAAATTAATTTTAATTTTATTTTCTCCTCACCCAAAGACATGCTTATTGATTTTAGAGAGAGGGAAGGAGAGAGATGAGGAGAGAAACATCAATGCGAGAGAGAAACATAGATTGGTTGCCTCTTGCATGCACCCCAACAGGGATGGAATCTGCAACCTAGGCGTGTGCTCTGACTGAGAATCAAATTCGTGACTGTTTGTGTTTATGGGATGACACTCCAACCACTGAGCCACACTGGCCAGGCTGTTTTATGCTTTTTTACAAAATCAGCACGAGTATATAAATCTTGGAATAATATAATTACCAGACTCCATTTTTGCTTTCTTTTAGTACTTGCATAAAAGGATCTTGGAACTGTACACAAAATGAATGTCAAACTACCTGCCACATCTATGGGGAAGGTCATGTTCAAACTTTTGATAGAAAAACTTACAGCTTTGATGGCCTCTGCCAGTATTCATTTGTTGAGGTAATTAAGTGTTTTACCTAGTTTTTCTGTATTTCTTATTTATTGTACATGAACTCTGGAGAATTTTATTCTCAAAATATTTTTTTAAAACCCCTTATATGTTTCTCAAAGGCAGTAAAATGTAACACAAAGTAGTGCTGACTCTCGAGACAGTCGACCTGGATGTGAATCCTGGCTTGACCATTTTTCAGATGTGTGGCTTTGTGCACATTCCTTAGCCCTTCTGTGTCTCAGTTTCTTTATTTATAAAACAAGGGTGGACAAAGCCCCAACTTGAAACCAAATTAGGAAAAATATTGGCATACATACTAAGTGCTTAATAAATATTAGATATTATTTTTTCAAGAACAGCACTATCAATAATGGTGATGGCATTTTATGAGTGCTTCTTTGCCAAGCAAACATATATTTTATTCATTTAATCATTACAATACTAAAAGGCTCATGATAGTATTTCTATGATTCAGGTGAAGAAATAAAGGTTAGTGAGAATAAACTATGCAAATTACTAAGTAGACAATGCCATATTCAAACCTGATCTACCTGATTTCAGAGTTTGTTATATAAAATAAGCTCGTTCCTCAACACCAAATGGGTGAAATTTGGATTGTTTTATATTGATGCATTAGTCTTTGATTGAATATTAAGTTTTCTATAAATCACTGAGAAAAAATTGATCCTTAGCTATTTATAGTGCCCAGAAATACATTTATGATTATAAACTTATATAATGTAAATACTTGCATATCTATGGTATAATTCTAGACCTGTGTGGAAGCACTGGGAAATGCCTGAGTCAAAGTGAGTTAACCAGTTTGGACTCATCCAAGGCTGCCGTTGTCTTTGGAAATTATATAACAAACTACCAGCGTATAGTTATTTATTCAGTTGAAGATGTCACTGACTAGGAAATAATTAATACAAATATTGTAATTGAGTTCCATATCCTTGATATTAACAAACTTATCATAATTTAATTTTTATAGGATTACTGTGGTCGTGAAAATGGCACATTCCGTATTTTAACTGAAAGTGTCCCATGCTGTGAAGATGGGCTCACCTGCTCAAGAAAAATCATCGTTGCCTTTCAGGTACAGTACCACTTCTCTTTAGTTACTCCTTCTCTCGGGCAACGAGTAGCCAAATAAAACTGATCAACTTATAAATATACCTTTTTAATTTACAGGATCAGAATGTCATCTTGCATGATGGTAAAGTAACAGCAGTCAAAACTACAGAAAGTAGGGAATGTGAACTCAATGGAAATGCATACTCTGTACATACTGTCGGCCTGTACTTAATTCTGAAATTTGTCATTGGAGTAACTGTGATTTGGGACAAAAACACAAGAGTGTCTGTTATATTGGATCCACAGTGGAATGTACGTACATCTCTAATAAGTAATTAATTGGGAAGCAAAAGTGTGTCTGTTACTGGGAATCATAGACATATGCATAGGTAGAAAGTGGAAGAATGCTGGTCTCTGTTATAGAACAAGCCTTCCACATCTATCCAGCCTTTGCAAGCAATATGAAATATAATTAAAGATTATAGAATCTGGTGAAAAATAAATGCAGTAAACCTGAGACATTCTAGTTTAACCATATTTAATTATTTGAGATTATTACATAATTCATTTTGAGGTAATTGGTGTATATATATAGAATTAGCTGTAGTCCTGAGAGCAAATATTCTCAGAACCTAAGAGTATACTCATATATATTTTGAAGCTAGTGAATATAATTATTTTTTTAATTCTTAAGGTATTTACCTTAGTTGATACTAGATCATTTTATGATATAGGATGTCTTGGATTAAATGAGAGCAGAATCTTATCTATGGGTTATGGTTTCCTTTCAAAATTTGAAATTTAAAATAGATTGATGATAATATATGTAATCATTATTTATCTATCTCTCTCTATGTATGTCCCTATTACCGCTCACTTTTAACTTTCTGATCTCATCTCCCTATATACATTTACATATCTATGTCCTTGACAACCTACTTATTAGTTTTCTTTTCTCACCTGCATAGGGCAAAGTGTGTGGTCTTTGTGGAAATAGCAATGGTGACCTCAAAGATGATTTCACAACACGACACTCATCAGTAGCCACTGGAGCACTGGAGTTTGGAAACAGTTGGAAAACTACTCAAGAATGTTCAGACACTGTAGCTCAAACTTTCCCATGTGACTCAAACCCATACTGCAAAGCCTGGGCTGTGCGGAAGTGTGAGATCATCCGGGACAACACTTTCAGAGACTGCCATAGCAAGGTAGCACAATTCCCAGAGCGACAACCCACACACATGGTCTGTTCCCCAAAACTCAAGCTCTGTCCTCTGCCTAGGTGGACCCCAGTGCTTACTACGATGCATGTATCGAAGAAGCCTGTGCATGTGACATGGAGGGGAAGTACTTGGGATTCTGCACAGCTGTGGCTATGTATGCAGAGGCATGCAGTGCAGTTGGGGTCTGTGTCACATGGAGAAAACCGGATCTTTGTCGTAAGTGAATTCCATAAATCATTCTTGACAATGTAATTAGATAGAATCATTTTGTTAGATAAACAGTCTTCCTCTCATTTTCTATGGAATATATCTTCTTGTACTTATAAAGGCTTAAAAACCCAAATAGGTTATGATGGAGAAAATACTTACTTTTAAAAACATAGCACCTGGCATACAATGTTAAATTTTGTTGTAGTTGCAAAAGTTTTTTTGTTCACAGGAGAGAAATTGATACTGATGGAGTATATCTCATTAAAACTCAGATGAACAATAGAATGTTTACTTAACTTGTTATAGTCATACATCCTTAAGAACTTTATATCACTTTTGGTTGAAGTACTCACTCATTATCTTGAAAACTTTTATAGAGCCCTAGCCAAGATGAGCTGTAAAATAAATGCAAATTGAATCTTGATATATATGGAAAGTGGTAACTTTAATAGAAATCAGTCAACTCTTCCTTTTAAAGGAAGGTATTGTGAGAAGGACGACAAATGACCAATGTTAAAATTGAATCCTCATTTTACTCAGCTTATTATGCTCAGCATTATAATATATTGAAATCTTTAGTTGCTTCACTTTGGTACTGCTATTTACATATTTTAAAAAGACAAATTTCCTCAGAGATTTATTTTTCTAATTTAAGTTTAAACATTAAAACCATAAATCTAGACTATGACTGAAACTATCTCAAAATGGGAAAATTGATGGTTATTTTTCCACCTCAAGCCAACATGCATGTGAGATTTCAAAGAAAGTTCTATTTTGATTTTATATGCTTTCCCCTTCTTTTTTTCTGAGTTATTGTTGGCTTATATAGCAATTGAAATAAATCCAAAGGAAGTCAGTAAGACAGAATGATATACTTTAGTTCTGCTTATTGTTAATATTATTCAAAATCCCTTTTAAAAATTCTTTGGGAATTGAAAGGTGAAAATTATTACATAATGAAAGGAAGTAATCTGATATAATCCCATTACAGCCGTCTACTGTGATTATTACAATGCTCCTGGAGAATGCAGCTGGCACTACGAACCTTGTGGGACAGTGACAGCAAAAACATGCAAAGATCGAGTTATTGGCCAGAAATTTTCTGCACTTTTAGAAGGTAAGACAAATTTTAATAATATTCATGAAATACTGCAAATTATATTGATATTTTAAAACTGGAAATTGTTATTAGTTTCTGACAGTTCAGGGTCTTTTTGTAATTTAACAAATAGTTGTCCTTATAATGACATTAATATTTCCACACTGGGGCCATTTTCTCTAGACATAAATTATCTGTTTAATGAGAGAAAGAGAGAGAGAGGAGATGCAGTGCTGCAATCTCATTGCCCATTGTCATTCTCAAGAATGTGGTGCCATTTTGCTATTATCAACTTTAGTTCATGAAATCACTTAGGTAACTTTGCAAATATATAATCAGTTTCAGTAAGTAGAGACGAACTAACGGCAGGTCAATTTTACCCACAGGCTGTTATGCTAAGTGCCCAGACAGTGCTCCTTATCTGGATGAGAACACCATGAAATGCGTCAGTTTATCTGAGTGCAGCTGCTTCTACAACGACATCATACCAGCGGGTGGAGTGATCCAAGACAACTGTGGGAGAACCTGGTGCGTTCTCTGCTGACTTTCTAAAAGAATAGACAGTATATGTGTATAATTTTTGACTTATTTCTAAATGACAAAGTCAGCTTTAGGTTTAGTATTATATCAGGTTAGTTAGTTATTTTGTATTTTCAGTAAACCCACATATCAGCAAATGCTTTGTTATATTTTATACTGGATAATGCAGAAGACAAGATGAAATGTCACTATGTAGTTTTAAGTGAAAAGGAAGTTTGAATTCTATAAATGCGGGAGCATGTTTAGAGCTATTCAGACAGTGACATGGAAGCAAAGAGGTGCCGCCCACACTAGAGCAGCACAGCCATCATGTAACATCATGTTCAGAACTGAGGGAGTGAGAACGAACTTCAGAGACTGACTGCAAAGTGTTCCCTTACGTCCCAAGAACTCCTCAGTGAAATCATTAAAAATAACAGTATGTGAAAAAACCACAAGCAATTTGAATCAATAGCATGCTTTTGGGGAACTATTGACTGTTCTCTAATTTGGTTCTGGTATGATTTTTGGTGTTAGACAACTTGCTGTTTTAAATTAGGGAGATGAATGTCACTAGGAGTTAAAGTTTCAGCTCATTTCTTCTTCTTTTTTTTAATTTAACTTCCAGCTATTGCATCGCAGGAGAGTTGGTGTGCAGTGGTGAGTCATTGCATTTTACTCTAATTGATTTAGCAAAGATGAGGTAAAGGGTCTGGGATCTTTTCAGCATCCCAGTCCAGCAACAACAGAGAAGTGGGTACTTGGTGCTTTAGACTGCCCCTCCGTGAACTGCGACTGTCCCGTGCCAGTGTATTCATTGATACTGGGTCACTTCAAATCCAGTGCTGCAAAGGCATTGCAGAGACTGGCATGTGGGCAGTTTTCCTGCTGCATGTGTGCCCCTGCCTATTTGTAGGTTCTGGGAATTAAAGGGGTGAGCCATCAGCCAAAACAGTTTAATAAAGGGGTGGAGTGGAAGGTGAGGGTTAATATATATAGAATTAAATAATGGAAGAATTGCTGAGCAACACATCTCAAAAATAAATTCAATGAGCTTCAGGAGAATATATGAACTACTTTTTGTGTTAATAACATAAAAAAGAGACAAATAACTAATAGGCAACTTTAGATTAATTATTTTTAAGTTTTTGCATTAATGATAGTAATTTATGATTATTTCAGGAACTCCGTCTCCAAATTCAACATCTACAGGTGAAATCATCATTATGTTTTAAATATGCATTTCTTTTATTTTTTCATGGATAATTTTTTATAGTATCACATGAGTCTCTGCTAGTAAAAGGTATGCTGTAAATCTGCTAATACAAACCTTTTAGATTAAAATGAACAGTTACTAGAAAGTATATCAAGATATTTCATTATACTCCTGTGATAAAGTTAGGAATATGATTAGAACATAAAATAGGTATGTATACTGATTAGCTAAATATCATAATCCAAATCTTGACACTTAGATAATAATTGGAATAAATGGAATGACAAAGAAGTAAATTGGTCCTCCAAGAAGTACATATTTTAAAATCATGATTACACTGGGAGATCATTTGAAAACAGAAATAAAAAGTTAATTCCTTTTTTTTTAAAGAAAACTGTTAAATTTTATTTAATCCATAAATACTCCAACTTGTTTGAACACAGAATTTTTGCTTTCCTACATCACATATTAATATGTGGAAGAATTAGTGTTCTATAGAACACATCTGAGTTTTGTAAAGACTATCTTAAATAGAACTGAGTGGGTACATTCACGTCAAGTTTCTCAGGGTGTTTCATTTGCTACTGTGCATCAGGCATCCTCCAGTTGGGGTACAGTATATGGACCATGTCCCAAGCTTGTTTATGTAAGAACCATTTTTCAACCAGGCATACTGGGAAATATTAGTTGAAGTTGTAATCATTTTAATTTTCACAATTTTTTTCTTTCTTTTTTTTACTCACAGAAGGTCATATAATTTCTTAATGTATGTATTTTCTGTAAGCTGCAAGGGCATTTTAGTTACGTCCATTCAGGAGAGTGGTGGGCGGAATGCAGTTTCACTGTAGTCTGGGGACTTCTCACTTCCTGGCGCTCGGACATGCTTAGAGTGGCTGCAGAACATGGTTCTGGTTTCATGTGATTCAAGGGGTGGGGTTTGTCTCCTGTTGGCTGATTTTTTAGAGATAGCACGGTAAGTTAGAAACCTAAGGTTTTGATAATGTACTTAAAGTCATGTGATCATCTGTAAAGTCTTATTTAAATTTTAGTTATTGGTCACATACTTAAAGCTAAAGTATTACATATCAAGATTCTGAGCCTTATTTCTTGGCCAATATATAGAGCTTATAAAGTTCCTGTGAGATTTTGGTTAAGTGGTACTAACTGAAAATGATTAGTTATTTTTGGTAGACATGCAATAAGGATACAGACTTCTTTTGATTTAAATGAAAGATTGTTTTGTCACTTAACCTGTGCACATAATTTCACAAAATTTTTATTTGATTAATGGCCACTGGTTTCTCAACTAAATTTCCTAGCAAAAAGTATTCAAGTAATTTATTTCCATAAATATTGTCTTCTCTAAACAGTTTCAACTACAACAGCTACCTCCATATTAAGCAACGAAACAGGTAAAAATAAACGCTTATTTGTGTTTTGGCTTCTGAATTACCAGCAAACTGAATCACCTATTCAGACATTTTGGCCCTATTTTCAAATGTGTCATCCTCTATTGAATTATTAATTTTTTTTATTTTGCTTTCTTTAGTTTTTATATTGATTTTTTATTAATTGTTGTTCAGTTACAGTTGTCCTCATTTTTCCCATTGCTCTCCCCTGCCCTCCCCTCCCCCATCTCCCACATTCAGTCTCCACCACCACCCCGCCCCCGCTGTCTTTGTCCATGGGTTCCTTATACATGTCCTTGATGCTTCCCCTTGTTCCCCCCATTGTTGCCCTTGGACTTACATCTAACTTGTAATGAGTAAAAATCTTCTCTATTTGAAGATTATGTGTCTTAAAAAGAATACTCCACATACTACTAATTTGGAGAAAGTGGTTACTGAAGAAAATTCTACGTTAAATTCTTTGAAATTAAGTTATAACTTATTTTTAACTAACATCAAAGAATTTTAAATTTAATTGCATGGTTTGCAACTAAAGTAGTTACCAGTAGGGTACAAAAGTATATTAAAATGTATGAATATCTGAAAAATGAGTTTAACTGTTATATATAGTCATCTGTTTGCATTCTAGAGTTATGTAAACATATCCTTTGATACCATTTTAACATACATATCCAAATATTTGTCTCCTCCTTTCTATAGCAGTCCCACTGGTAACCAGTAGCTCAGGCACAGGTAAGCCAAATATCTGACCACAAGTTAATCAAGGGGGCATTAAAAAATTCAAAACTTCCCTTTGCTGTAGCTTACCTTTACAGTGGCATACTTAGGGGAAGTGCATTTTCCTTTGTTTTATTTTTATGAATGTCTTAGAGGAAGACTTTAGAAAAAATGTCATACAAAATGTTTTTTTGACCCTTTATTTCTGTTCCATGGGTTTTGAAATTTTAATTTCATATTTTAACATCTATTCACCAATATAATCAAATTTTTGTGAAACATTTATTTTGATCCATATTATGTATAACCATAGATATTCTCAGCTATACAATTTCTCCTCTACACAAAACTTAATTTTTTCAATTTTTTCTTTAATTCAGCATCTTCCATTTCAGGGAGTACAACATCAAGCAGTGAAACAATAGGTAAGTGAATTAAGAAGGCCTCTAGAATGGCAAAGTTTTTTAAATGTATTAAAATTATTTTATTTCAACTAATTACAATTAACATACCCAATTTGCTATATTTAGGGCCTTATCTTTCCCCAGCTGAACACTTTCACTTTCTCCTATTCTTTTTTCTGTCCAGTATGTGTGTGTGTATATATATTTAAATCCATGATATTTTTATGGAAGTATAATTGACAGATGACATTATATTAGTTTCAGATACACAACAATGATTTGGTATTTGTATATATTGAGAAATGATCACTACAGTAAGCCTAGTTAGCATCCTATACATCACAGACCACAGATTGCCATTGTTGTGTTCCCTATTACACCTAGTCCCAATCTATATAGTACTTAGCTTTCAGTACTTTTTCTAGAATAACAAAGACTAGAAGAACAAGAAATTTACTGGTATGGAGTTAGAGAGAAATCAGAGTTGTTTGAGACTTGGAGGGGGGCAGCTTCTACTTCATGGAGGGGGGCAGTACAGGAGGGTAAAGTACTTTTGATCAAATACTAGATTAAATACTTCACTGAATTAAGTACTTTCCACTAGTCACTGGTTTGTTTGTTTTACCAAAACTTGAAAGGATTAAGAAAGTTATTTTAAATTCCTTTACATAAATTTAACAGTATGGAGATTCCTTAGAAAACTAAAAATAGATCTACTATATGATCCAGTGATTCTATTACTGGGTACTTATCTGAAGAAAACAAAAACACTAAATCAAAAAGATATACACACCCTGATGTTCACTGCATCACTATTTACAAAAACCAGGATATGGAAGCAATCTAGGTGTTCATCGATAGATGAATGGGTGAAGAAGATGTGGCCTATGTATACAATGGAATCTTACACACCAGTGAAAAAGAATGAAATCTTGCCATTTGTGACAACACAAATGGACCTAGAGGGTATTATGCTAAGTGAAATAACTCAGACTGAGAAAGACAAATATATGGTTTCACTGATATGTGGGACCTATAAGTAACAAAACAAATGAACAAACAAAACCAAAACAAACAGAAAAGAGACCAAAGGGATGGCTACAAGAGGGAAGGGGATGAAGAAATTGGAGAAAAAGGTGAAGAGCAATATAGTCAGTAATATTTTGTGATAAGTTTGTGTGGTGAAAAATGATGACTAGAATTAGTGAGGTGATCTCACATTGTAAAGTATAAAAATGTTGAATCAGTATATTGAACACCTGAAAATAATATAACTAATATACTATTGTGTACTAACTATACTTAAAATTTTTAAGGATACGAATGAAACCTGTCTCCCAGAATAAGCAAACAAGCAAACAAACAAACAAACAAACAAATAAATAAAAGCTAGCCAACTTTTCTCAGATGGATCAAAGGCATTACTGCCAGACAGGAGAAATAACTAAGTCCTCAAAAGAGGATTGATGATTTATTTGACTTTACACTGGAGCAGCATGGGTAGAAGTTGAGGTAGAATTTTATTGTTGCACCTGTCATTGAGATAAATAGTGTAGGAGTAAAGTGCACTTTTTACAAATTCAGAAAAACATTACAGAAAACTTTAAAAGCTTAAGGAAATCAATATACAAAACTTCAGCTTTTTTTTCATGCTCTCTGTATTTGTTTTCTTTCCTATGCAATAAATGTTTCAATGGGTTCAAATACTATGAGAGATGCCTAGCCAACAATTCCAATTGAATATTATTTTTTAGAAAAAATATGGGCCCTGGCTGGCGTAGCTCAGTGGATTGGGCTTGGGCTGCGAACCAAAGTGTCGCAGGTTCAATTCCCAGTTAGGGTACAGCAACCGCACATTGATGTTTCTCTCTTTCTCTCTTTCTCCCTCCCTTCCCTCTCTAAAAATAAATAAACAAAATCTTAAAAACAACAACAACTTTTGCCCTGGCTGGCGTGGCTCAGTGGATTGAGTGCGGGCTGCAAACCAGGCATAGCAGGTTCGATTCCTAGTCAGGGCACATGCCTGGGTTGCAGGCCATGGCCCCCAGCAACCGCACATTGATGTTTCTCTCTCTCTCTCTCTCTCTCTCTCTCTCTCTCTCTCTCTCTCACTCCCTTCCCTCTCTAAATAAATAAATAAAGTCTTTAAAAAAAAAACAACTTTTGATCTCCAAAAAAAAAGAAAAAAGAAAAAATATGTAATTATGTTTTTTCCTATTTGCATCTACTGATCTTGACACAGAACTAATGTTTACTGAGCACAGTTCTTAATTTGTGACAAATATTATCACATTTCAGACAGAAAACTCTATGAAGTGGGTCCAATTATTTTCCCCAATTAACAAAGGAGGAAATTAAAACACAAAGAGGTTAAGTTATGTGTCCAAGTCACTTGTTAATAAGAAGCAGAGAGAGGATTAAAAGTCGGGACATCTTTCCTATATTCCACTCTAATGCTTCTGTCTTTTGATATTTAAGAAAGAGAATAAAGTTGGATTTAATTTAAATGCATTATTGAAGTAGCATATCATTACAGATTTTAATTTCAAAGTGGAAATTGTGTTATAATTTATAATGTATTCAGTAAGTTTGTATTAAAACTAATTAAAAGTCATTGATTATATGGTATACTGATTCATAGAATTAAAAAGTAGGTTTCTGTTACATAACAATTTGATATCTTAAAACTCATTTTTTCTCAAAAATTTAAATTTCAAAATGATATAACTATAGGTTATATAGAATTTTTTAATTTTCTTTTTTGTATGATATGCTTATTCTAAAATAGTACCAATCATAGAAAGACAATAATTACATCAGGCTATTACAGACAGCCAGCTGAGTGTAGAGGGAAGTTAAAGCAAAAATTAAGACTCTGAATCCCTTTACTTCTACTTACTAGCTATATGACCCTAGCTTAAGTCCCTCAACATTAGTTTTCTCATCTGAAGTGGGAAAAATGAAATATCTACATTATAGGACTTTAGAGAAGAGTAACTGTTATTGTGCAGCTTAGTGTAATACATGGTAATACTCAGTAATTTTATTACTAGTAACATTTCATAAAGAATAATTCATTATATATGTGAATTTAAATTTTAGCAGAGACAGTTAATATTTTTCAGTAATTAATCAGAAGCATGCTGCATCCTGAATTAATAAAAAGTTTATAGATTTTGATTTTTTCCCAGAAATAAGATATTTTACAAAACTGTAAACTCTGCAGTGCTGAATTTGTTTATTAGGAAAAATCTTATGGATATTCCTTTAAGCTTATCTTTCAGACATTTATATTAAAAAAAAAGAGTGCATTGAAGGAAAATGGAAAAATAATTGTTCTATAAAATTAAAATGGTTCTCAGAAGGAATAAGAAAAACTTAGTAGTTACTGGAAAATTAATTGCAAGATTTTATTTTAATTACCATATTTCACCATATATAATTCACGGTTTTTTGCCCAAATGTTTGAGGGAAAAATAAGAATGTGCATTATATTTGGGCAGTACCTGAAATACATTTACCTGATCTTGTGTTTGTAATTATTCATTATATAAAAGTTCTTGTACCATAAAATATTCAAAAATAAATGCTAAAATTCCTTTATAATACAAAAAAACAAGTATCTAAATATAAATAAATAAATAAATAAATAAATAATTGAATTAAAAAATTAAAATGAAAGATTGTTTTCCTGAAAGTTTGGGCTAAAAATGTGGGTGCACAGAATACATGGGAGCACATTATACATGGCAAAATATGGCAATAAGTTTATCATGAGGTGGAAAATAAATAAGATTAAAATAATAAAATAAATTATATTAAGTTTGTCATGAGATAAAAGTAAATGAACACAGGCACTTTGAAAATGTTTAGGGTGGATGACTATCTTACAATGCACAGAGCTGTCAGTATTTTGGTAAAGGCCTCTCTTCCCTTTACTGTTTATGCTTGGTGACAAGGACAATGACAGACACAAAGTAATGCAGAGCATCAAGTACATTATCATGCATGCTCATTTGCTAGTAATGGAAAAAGCAATTGAAATTGTAATAGTTATGGATGTCAAAACTGAGAAGAGTAAGGCTTTATCAGTTTCAGCAATTGAACTAGGAAGAAAAGTGGATTCTTAGATATTCCTATAAGTAAAGGCTTATCCTTACTGTGTTCTGTCAACAATTTCAGACTTACGTCTTTTGAAAAAGGGAGCATTGTTAGAGTAGCCTGACTGGTGTGTACTTTAATCTGTGACTAGTTTAGTTAACTCTTATGGCCCTAATAAAAGATGAGACCTTGAAATCCTCTTTGGAGCATGTTGCCATGTTAACTACACCAATTACATGGAAAGGTCTATAAATAGGTTTTCTCATTCATATGCTAAAAATATTTCTGATTTGTTCTCTACCATTTACGGTGTACTACTGTGTTCCCCATAACTCCGTGTTAATAGGAGCATATTCAGGTGTGGAAATTCTGGAGAAGATTTTAGTCCATGTGATGATACTGCTTTTAATTAAGTGTAATGTTTTCAATTTGAAAGAGCTAAAATTGGGAGCATTGGAAATCCTTGGAGGTTAAATTTGTCCTGGGAAATGGAATCTGCACTAAAATTTGAAGCCTTGAAAGCCTTTGTGGACCATAAAGTAGTAGTCTTTCTATCCTATCCTTGCATCCAGATCATCAAGACATTTTAATTCAAATGTTTGATTTTGTGTTCATTAGTGAGAACAGATATCAAGATCTGAATTGGAGTCTGCTTGATATGGATCTAAAAATTCTTCATAATTAAAGCTTGCCACTAATTTTGACAATTTACACATAAACCTTCCCTCAAACTAATTAACATTTTGTGAAGTAACCAGAGGAGATATGATATTTTATTATGTATTTAATATATTCTATAATTCTAGTCTAATTTATAATATTACTATTCATATTGTAAGTGGGCAATAAAAAACAAAAATTGCAAGAGATGGTACATCATACATAGAGGCACCACTACATAAAAAGCTTCATGCATCACAGTCCTAGGTACCAGGTGACTTAGATTTTAGTCCAAGTTTTGTCACTGAGTACCAGTGATCTTCATTAAATAAGTTCCCTTTTGTGACTCCAATTCTGTATAGGTAGAATAATTATAAGTTTCTCCCTTCTCTAACCCCAAACTCTTATAGACTGCTTTATAGAACTGCTGCTTTACAGGAAAATATTGGAGGCTCAGATAACCAGAAGTAGAGTGAAGTCAAAGAAACAAACTGCAAAATCAGTCTCTGCTTAACAAAGAATTACGTAACTTTGTCATTGTTAATATACAGGGGTAAGCAAAGGAGGTTAATACTAATAATAATGAATAATACAATAATAAATAAATAAATAAAACAAGAATAAACTCTGTGTTTCAAATACTGGCAACTATAAGCCTGCTTTTGCCCACTCCTGTGTATTTATTCCATTCCCTCTGTATTTAGCAGAATTCAGCACATATGTATGTGCATATTTTATACACACATACATTGAAAAGCATATTATAATGCCACTATTTAAAAATAACATAAGTTATTATTCTCAACACTAAATATATTGCAAACTGCCAGCTACTAATTAACAAAGGAATAGTCTGTCTGTATTTTCCCTTGAGGTTAGAAAATTCATATCATTTCTCATTTTCTTATCAGAAACAACTTTAAGTCTACCAACTGAATCTTTGACAACAGGTTAGTATATTAGTTCCTGGTTTTATATGTTAAAAATAGATAATAGTATAAATTATTAGTAACTCTGGGTTTCTAAGGCAAAATTATATGAAAAATTGTCTTTGGAAAAATATTTAAAACAAGTAGCTTACTGTTTTATTTCCATTGGTTTTTAAAATTTTAAAAATGAATTTAACTAGTTTTTGGCCAATTTATATTTATTGGCTATAATATGATTTCCAGTTTTATTTTTTCCATATTATTAAGTAGTTCAGTATCTATAGCAGTACTAAATGACATTAAGCTTAAAATGTTTAAAAAGACCATAGGATAAGAGAAAATATATATCTAATGATACATTGTGTTCTTTTAGGTGTTTTAAGTATAGAAGTAGCAATTAGCTCCTCTATAGGATTTCACCCTTGTTACAACCAGTCCTGGTTAACAATATAATTAAGTTCCATTTTTTTGAGAGTAACCATGTCAAAACAAAAGCACAGAAACTTAATGTGACCCCATTATTGATACAAAGAACATGGCTTTGTTTAAAAAAGTTAGCAAGGACTAAACCAAAACTTAGAGAAAAGTGTAATCAAACTAGCCAAAAGAGAGTTCACACTCACCTGTGTGCAGCGAGTCACTGAGAACCAACACCAGGTTTTGCAGTGAAGATAAGCTGTTTTATTGAAATGACACCACCCAAGAGAAGGGGAAGCTAGAGCTCGAAGTCCCAAGTTGCCTATGGCTTACAGAAGAGAAGCTTTATTGAACAAAAGTCATGAGTAATCACAAGTAAGGGGCTTGGGGTCATGCGACTTGCTGATGGGTCCTAGATTTGGTCAGCAGTTTAATTCTCATCTTCCAGTTGTCCTCTAGTCTGGTTTCAGCAAGACTGTGGTGGGGTGGTTGTTCAACTTTGTGGGCTGAAATACATCTTAATACATCAATAGGTTACCATGGTGTGCAAAAGGGAAAGCTGTAAACCCTGTGATCCTTACTCATTGTATGCTGCTATTATATCAGCTGATTTGATTAGGTGTTTTAGCAAGAGCCTAACAGGTCCTGGGCTCAGCAATTTCTATAATGGTTGTCCAGGTGCTACATGTTTCCTTCTTGTGGCTGTTAAAAGAGCTTACAATCCTATTGTGTATTAACAGTATTTTTTTGAGGGTATGAACTCTGTCTTCAAACACAAAATTAGAAAAATATCATAGGGAATTCTGGGCAAAAAGTCACTGGGTTTTCAATCCTATTTTATATAGTGGGAACTGAGGGACCAGTTATGTTAGCCATGGTAACAAAGCTCAAGATTACTTGAGATGAATTCATTTTCTATTTTTCTCAGGTGTTACAGGAACTCAGTTTCCCATCACTATCACAGCTGGAAGTGCAGGAACGACAGAAGTAGTGGGTCCCCTCTTCACCAGTCCTTGGCATGTATCAGGTATGTGAAGTTCAAAACAGAGTACACAGCCATGTCTAAGCATGTGCTTTCAGGCAATGATGTGCAGTGCAATGCTTTACAAAATAAAGATAGCTGACTTAGGTGTAACAATAGATGTAGGCGTTCTTTACATGTAATTCAAGACTAGAGTCTTTGGTTTTCTCACAGTTTGAATCCATAAAATTTATCATGTTGTTAGAATTATACGGACCCATTACCTGGAGTGTTGATAGTGCCTGTGAACTTGTTATTAGCATGCGTTTGTTTTTCCTTTGCCTTCATCAGGGACCACAGGAGCATCAGCAGATGCAACCACAGAAGCCAAAACCAACATTACAGGCAACACAGGCTTCAGAGATGGTGAGAGAAAGAAATGAGTCAAATGATATTTCTCCCACAGCTGCTTCTCACAGGTCATCCTCTGTTCCACTCAGAGCCACTATACCCTGAGTATGGCATTAGATGCCAGGGTGGAGGGGGGCAATGTTTGCATCGAGTCACCTGGCCATTTTACAAAAATATTCAATAGTGAGTCTTCATATATTAATAAAATTTTAGTGACATATTTATATAGTACACTAAAATGTCAGAATTATGCTCAAATTTATAATGCAATTTAATCCACATTAAAACCATGTAGTAAAATCAATGTATGCTATTAAAAAGAGAAAAATAAAAGATTTCAAGGCTGACAGAAGCAGGATTAGAACACAGAACCCTGAGTCTTCTCTGTAATTGTTCTACTCTTCCTATGCATAAGATCTATGCATAAACCATAGATCTTAACCACTTTCCCCACCCCGCAAAAAAGCCAAATGAAGATACGCTTGCCCTTGTGCATCACTGGCTAAATTTTAACTATTGTTAGTTTTATGAATAAAACATTATTGTTCTTTCTTAAGCATAGATAACTTTGATTAAAACAAACATGATGAGTTCCCCCTTGCCCCTTATGGAGTAGTGAATGTAAGTACCTCTTGCATTTTCTCCTCTGCATCACATTGGCTCTGCTTGCGCTCACCTGTTAAACATTTTCCGCTCGTCTTGGCAGTGGTCTACCCCACTCCCCTTGCCTTCACACAGTGGTCATCAAAGTGTGCTTCCCAATCCAAAAGCATCTACTTGTCCTGACTGAGAACATTTCAGAAATTCAACTCTCAAGGTCCACCTCACTAGAATCAGAAGCACTTAAGAGTGGAACCCAGCACAGTGTGTTACTTAACAAGCCCCTTTAGCAACTGGTGCTTATTAAAGCTGAGAACATTTCCATTCTCCACTTCTTCCCAGTTTAAACTGTAGTCAGTACCCCAGACCAGAATGGAATGGACTCAACTGTCATCATGTCACCCCACTACTTAAAATCCTACAGTTGTTCTGATTGCTGTTAGGGTTAATAAAATATCTTTGCATACCACTAAAAGCCATGTCTTCAGAGTATGCATGGGACTTCTCTTTATGCCTTAATTAATAAAATCAGGGTCTGATTTTGTTAAGTAATATATCATCTGATTTTGTTTATATACATTTATTTTTCCTAGCAAATTTCTTGACCAAAAATTTATGTCATACACTATAAGGAATAAAATAGTTTATAAAAATGTGTTATATGAGAAAATCAACAGTACCACAAATTAAGAAACTGGTTTCAATTATGTCAGTAACCTGACTGAAACATCAGGGTGATGATGGTTTAATTTACATTTCCTGAAATTTGAATCAAAATTGTTTGGGTAACAATGACAAGTTGGTCTGTTGTTGTTGTTGTTGTTATCAGGGAGTAAGTAGATTTAAACAAGGGTGCTGTAGGTTTTCTCCAGAAGTGAGTGCCATCCAGAACCGTTTGTACTGCTCCATGATGAGAGTATGACTGAAACAGAGAACAGGCCTTTAGAAACAGCAAATTTACCTAGGGATTTTATATCTCTTAAATAAAAGCATATGTTTTAGATGATTTGATTTTAAATAATTTTATTTCTCTATGTTATGGTGTTTTCCCAAAACATCCATCAGGGCAGATGGAAATGTTTACAGTAAGGCTCCTTTACTACAGGTCATGTGAGAAGCAAAGTTTAGAGCAGGAACTCTGGGACTAGACCACCTGGATTTGGCTTCTGCATGTGCTGCCAATCAACCCAGTGACCTGGAGATGTCACTCCACCATGACTGTTAAATGGGAAGAATAACATTACCTGCCTCAGAGGATTCATGTAAAACTAAATGAGTAGATTCATGTCTAGGGTATTTTTTAAGTGCTATATATATTTTTTACAGCTGGATCAGGGGCCCCTACTGCACCAGTGATAGAACCCAAAGAAGACACTACGCCCAGAGAACCAAGCACAGGAGCAGCAAGCCCAGGAAATTCAGGCAAGTCAGGATGCACACCTTCGTGCCCATTACATGGTACTGAATGTTTATAGGTTGAGCTAAAGATTAAGATTTGTGTAAAATTACGTCATCTAGGTGCAGAAATCCTAGGCACCATTTTAAGATTTGTTTTGTATTAGAAACCTCAATTCTTCTCTGGCTGGCATGGCTCAGTGGATTGAATGCCGGCATGCAAGCCAAAGGGTTACTTGTTCTGTTTCCAGAGCACATGCCTGAGTTGCAGGCCAGGTCCCCAGTAGGGGATACATGAGAGGCAACCACATATTGATGTTTCTCTCTCTCTCTCTTTCCCCTCCATTCCTCACTAAAAATAAATAAATAAAAAAATTTAAAAAAGAGATCTCGATTCAGTCCCATTAGAAGAGTGGCAGGTAGAATCCTCTACCTCTAGAAGTAATGTCTGTTCCTCGCTGTTATGTCAGGCACCTAAGGAGAATCAGAGGCCTTCACAATAGCAGCTGGGATCGAAGGCACCACTGGAGGCTCAAATGCCCCAGGCACAGCCTCTGGAGGCAGGCAGGTGGGGACATGCGGGGTCTGAAGCATCTTCATACTGATCTTAGGGAAGTCACGAGCAGCTTCACTAAGTTATTACTTATTGGTTAATGCACATATTCATGGCTTCACTACTACATAGTTTGACTGTAATGGCCTCCTATGACACATATACATTCATGGTCTAGTCTGTTTCTCTAACACATGTATCCCATTTCATCCTGATAGCTTTTGCAGTGGCTGTTCCCACCACCTACAATGATAATTCCCCAGAGTTTCACATACCTGTTAGCTTCTTTTTGTCAAATCTTAAAATAAATGACATCATTCCAGAGAGATATTGCTAGCCAGAAATAAAACTTCAGGTGTTGAATATTACCTCTCTTTATGTTAGTGCTTTAACACCTTATTGTTTGAAAATTTCTTTGTTTGGTTGGATAGTAATGTTATTTACATGTCTGCATGTCTCTCACATCTACTAGAATTCTATGTGGGATCAGAGAACTACCTGCTTAACAGCTATATCTGAGAAAATGTATGCAAACTATTTTTAATTTTTGCTTTATAAAATGGGAAGTAATACTATACATGTCATAGTGTTGTTCTAATGGTAAAGTGAGGTAATACTTCTATATTGCTGAGAATTTACATGACATGTAAGATATTGAAAAATGTTGAATGAGTAAAGAGTTAGAAAGAAGTTACCCCATAGAAAGATAAAAGGTGTGAAATAGGTGAGTTGGTACTGGGATTAAGATGCATGAAACTTACAGTATTGAAAAAAAGCAGCATACGCTCTTAGGTTAACCAAGACAACTCTAAACCACTGTATTCTTACTACATATTTTCATAGGGACAACTGGACAATCAGCTGAAGGATCGGGTGCTACAACAGTACCGTACTCTGGAGTGACAGGAATATTGGGACCAACATCTGGTGGACCAAGAAAAACTGAACGACCATCTGAAGTAACTGGGACTAAGGAAACAATAGCGGAAATGACAGGGACAACAAGGACATCACTTGGGAAATCAAGAACAACTCAACAATCTGCTGAAGGATTAGGAACACTGTCATCTACAGAATTAGGAACATCTACAATATCAGCTGGAGTGCCAGGAAAAACTGTCCCATCAAGTGGAGGGTCCAGGAGCACAGGCTCATCATCTGGATCAAGAGGAACAACGAGATCATATGTTGCAGGTTCAGAAACAACTGGACATTCATCAAACACAAACGAAGGAGCAAAAGCAATGCCAGAGATAACTGGATCATCGTCTGAATCATCATCAGCAACTAAACCACAAACTGGAGGAGTAGAGACAAATGGATCACCAACAGAAGAATCAGAGACTACAGAACCATCTACTGTAGAAGCAGGATCAGCAAGAACACTATCCATAGGTTCAGGAACCACTGCATCATCAACTGAAAAATTAGGGACAACTGGACCATCAGCTTCAGGTGCAGGAACAAGTGGTCCAGGAGCTAGAGTGTCAGGAAGCCCTGGAGTCACACCTGGAGGGTCAGGGAGAACTGGTACAGCTGCTGGAAGTCCAGGCACAGGTGGGTCAACTCAAGCAGGATCTGGAACACCTGGACCATCAGCTGGAGGATCAGGGACCACAGGACCATCTGCTGGAGAAACAGGATCAGCAGGAACACCTTCCATAGGTTCAAGAACCACTGCATCATCACCTGAAAAATCAGGGACAACTGGCCCATCAGCTCCAGGTTCAGAAACAAGTGGTCCAGCAGCTGGAGGGTCAGAAAGCTCTGGAGTAACACCTGGAGGGTCAGGGACAACTGGTTCAGCTGCTGGATATGCAGGCTCAACTGGGTCAAATCAAGCAGGATCTGGGACACCTGGACCATCAGCTGGAGGATCAGGGACCACAGGACCATCTGCTGGAAAAACAGGATCAGCAGAAACACCTTCAATAGGTTCAGGAACCACTGCATCATCATCTGAAAAACCAGGGACAACTACACCATCAGCCTCAGGTGCAGCAACAAGTGGTCCTGGAGCTGGAGGGTCAGGAAGCCCTGGGGTAACACCTGCAGGGTCAGGGACAACTGGTTCAGCTGCGGGATTTCTGGGTACTACTCAGTCAACTCAAGGAGGATCTGGGACAACTGGACCATCAGCTGGAGGATCAGGGACCACAGGACCATCTGCTGGAGAAACAGGATCAGCAGGAACACCTTCCGTAGGTTCTGGAACCACTGCATCATCATCACAAAAACCAGGGACAGCTGGACCATCAGCTTCAGGTGCAGGAACAAGTAGTCCAAGAACAGGTGGGTCAGGAAGCCCTGGAGTCACACCTGAAGGGTCAGAGACAACTGGTTCAGCTGCTGGAAATCCAGGCACAGGTGGGTCAACTCAAACAGGATCTGGGACACCTGGACCATCAGCTGGAGAATCAGGGACCACAGGACCTTCTGCTGGAGAAACAGGATCAGCAGGAACACCTTCCATAGGTTCAGGAACGACTGCATCATCATCTGAAAAACCAGGGACAACTGGACCATCAACTACAGGTTCAGGAACAAGTGGTGCAGGAGCTGGAGTGTCAGGAAGCCCTGGAGTAACACCTGGAGGGTCAGGGACAACTGGTTCAGCTGCTGGAAGTCCAGGCACAGGTGGGTCAACTCAAGCAGGATCTGGGACCACTGGTCCATCAGCTGGAGGATCAGGGACCACAGGACCATCTGCTGGAGAAACAGGATCAGCAGGAGCACCTTCCATAGGTTCAGGAACCACTGCATCATCATCTGAAAAACCAGGGAAAACTGGACCATCAGGTCCAGGTGCAGCAACAAGTGGTCCTGGAGCTGGAGGGTCAGGAAGCCCTGGGGTAACACCTGCAGGGTCAGGGACAACTGGTTCAGCTGCTGGAATTCTGGGTACTACTCGGTCAACTCAAGGAAGATCTGGGACAACTGGACCATCAGCTGGAGGATCAGGGACCACAGGACCTTCTGCTGGAAAAACAGGATCAGCAGGAACACCTTCCGTAGGTTCTGGAACCACTGCATCATCACCTGAAAAATTAGGGACAACTGGACCATCAGCTTCAGGTGCAGGAACAAGTGGTCCAGGAGCTAGAGTGTCAGGAAGCCCTGGAGTCACACCTGGAGGGTCAGGGAGAACTGGTACAGCTGCTGGAAGTCCAGGCACAGGTGGGTCAACTCAAGCAGGATCTGGGACACCTGGACCATCAGCTGGAGGATCAGGGACCACAGGACCATCTGCTGGAGAAACAGGATCAGCAGGACCACGTTCCATAGGTTCTGGAACCACTGCATCATCATCACAAAAACCAGGGACAGCTGGACCATCAGCTTCAGGTGCAGGAACAAGTAGTCCAAGAACAGGTGGGTCAGGAAGCCCTGGAGTCACACCTGAAGGGTCAGAGACAACTGGTTCAGCTGCTGGAAATCCAGGCACAGGTGGGTCAACTCAAACAGGATCTGGGACACCTGGACCATCAGCTGGAGAATCAGGGACCACAGGACCTTCTGCTGGAGAAACAGGATCAGCAGGAACACCTTCCATAGGTTCAGGAACGACTGGATCATCATCTGAAAAACCAGGGACAACTGGACCATCAACTACAGGTTCAGGAACAAGTGGTGCAGGAGCGGGAGTGTCAGGAAGCCCTGGAGTAACACCTGGAGGGTCACGGACAACTGGTTCAGCTGCTGGAAGTCCAGGCACAGGTGGGTCAACTCAAACAGGATCTGGGACCACTGGTCCATCAGCTGGAGGATCAGGGACCACAGGACCATCTGCTGGAGAAACAGGATCAGCAGGAGCACCTTCCATAGGTTCAGGAACCACTGCATCATCATCTGAAAAACCAGGGACAACTGGACCATCAGGTCCAGGTGCAGCAACAAGTGGTCCTGGAGCTGGAGGGTCAGGAAGCCCTGGGGTAACACCTGCAGGGTCAGGGACAACTGGTTCAGCTGCTGGAATTCTGGGTACTACTCGGTCAACTCAAGGAAGATCTGGGACAACTGGACCATCAGCTGGAGGATCAGGGACCACAGGACCTTCTGCTGGAAAAACAGGATCAGCAGGAGCACCTTCAATAGGTTCAGGAACCACTGCATCATCATCTGAAAAACCAGGGACAACTGGACCATCAGCTCCAGGTGCAGCAACAAGTGGTCCTGGAGCTGGAGGGTCAGGAAGCCCTGGGGTAACACCTGCAGAGTCAGGGACAACTGGTTCACCTGCTGGACTTCCGGGCACAACTGTGTCAACTCAAACAGGATTTGGGACATCTGGACAATCACCAGGAGGATCAGGGACCACAAGACCATCTGCTGGAGAAACAGGATCAGCAGGAGCACCTTCCATAGGTTCAGGAACCACTGCATCATCACCTGAAAAATCAGGGACAACTGGCCCATCAGCTCCAGGTTCAGGAACAAGTGGTCCAGGAGCTGGAGAGTCAGGAAGCCCTGGAGTAACACCTGGAGGGTCAGGGACAACTGGTTCAGGTGCTGGATATGCAGGCTCAACTGGGTCAATTCAAGCAGGATCTGGGACACCTGGACCATCACCTGGAGGATCAGGGACCACAGGACCATCTGCTGGAAAAACAGGATCAGCAGAAACACCTTCTATAGCTTCAGGAACCACTGCATCATCATCTGAAAAACCAGGGACAACTGGACCATCAGCTCCAGGTGCAGGAACAAGTAGTCCAGGAACTGGAGGGTCAGGAAGCCCTGGGGTAACACCTGCAGGGTCAGGGACAACTGGTTCAGCTGCTGGAAATCCAGGCACAGGTGGGTCAACTCAAACAGGATCTGGGACCACTGGTCCATCAGCTGGAGGATCAGGGACCACAGGACCATCTGCTGGAGAAACAGGATCAGCAGGAACACCTTCCGTAGGTTCTGGAACCACTGCATCATCATCACAAAAACCAGGGACAACTGGACCATCACCTCCAGGTGCAGGAACAAGTAGTCCAAGAACAGGTGGGTCTGGAAGCCCTGGAGTCACACCTGGAGGGTCAGAGACAACTGGTTCAGCTGCTGGAAATCCAGGCACAGGTGGGTCAACTCAAACAGGATCTGGGACACCTGGACCATCAGCTGGAGGATCAGGGACCACAGGACCTTCTGTTGGAGAAACAGGATCAGCAGGAACACCTTCCATAGGTTCAGGAACGACTGCATCATCATCTGAAAAACCAGGGACAACTGGACCATCAACTACAGGTTCAGGAACAAGTGGTGCAGGAGCTGGAGTGTCAGGAAGCCCTGGAGTAACACCTGGAGGGTCAGGGACAACTGGTTCAGCTGCTGGAAGTCCAGGCACAGGTGGGTCAACTCAAGCAGGATCTGGGACAACTGGTCCATCAGCTGGAGGATCAGGGACCACAGGACCATCTGCTGGAGAAACAGGATCAGCAGGAGCACCTTCCATAGGTTCAGGAACCACTGCATCATCATCTGAAAAACCAGGGACAACTGGACCATCGGTTCCAGGTGCAGCAACAAGTGGTCCTGGAGCTGGAGGGTCAGGAAGCCCTGGGGTAACACCTGCAGGGTCAGGGACCACTGGTTCAGCTGCTGGAATTCTGGGTACTACTCGGGTCAACTCAAGGAGGATCTGGGACAACTGGACCATCAGCTGGAGGATCAGGGACCACAGGACCATCTGCTGGAGAAACAGGATCAGCAGGAGCACCTTCCATAGGTTCAGGAACCACTGCATCATCATCTGAAAAACCAGGGACAACTGGCCCATCAGCTCCAGGTTCAGGAACAAGTGGTCCAGGAGCTGGAGAGTCAGGAAGCCCTGGAGTAACACCTGGAGGGTCAGGGACAACTGGTTCAGGTGCTGGATATGCAGGCTCAACTGGGTCAATTCAAGCAGGATCTGGGACACCTGGACCATCACCTGGAGGATCAGGGACCACAGGACCATCTGCTGGAAAAACAGGATCAGCAGAAACACCTTCTATAGCTTCAGGAACCACTGCATCATCATCTGAAAAACCAGGGACAACTGGACCATCAGCTCCAGGTGCAGCAACAAGTGGTCCTGGAGCTGGAGGGTCAGGAAGCCCTGGGGTAACACCTGGAGGGTCAGGGACAACTGGTTCAACTGCTGGACTTCCGGGCACAACTGGGTCAACTCAAGCAGGATCTGGGACTCCTGGACCATCAGCTGGAGGATCAGGGACCACAGGATCTTCTGCTGGAGAAACAGGATCAGCAGGAGCACGTTCCATAGGTTCAGGAACCACTGCATCATCATCTGAAAAACCAGGGAAAACTGGACCATCAGGTCCAGGTGCAGAAACAAGTGGTCCTGGAGCTGCAGGGTCAGGAAGCCCTGGGGTAACACCTGCAGGGTCAGGGACAACTGGTTCAGCAGCTGGATTTCTGGGTAGTACTCGGTCAAGTCAAGGAGGATCTGGGACAACTGGACCATCAGCTGGAGGGTCAGGGACCACAGGACCTTCTGCTGGAGAAACAGGATCAGCAGGAGCACCTTCAATAGGTTCAGGAACCACTGCATCATCATCTGAAAAACCAGGGACAACTGGACCATCAGCTCCAGGTGCAGGAACAAGTAGTCCAGGAACTGGAGGGTCAGGAAGCCCTGGGGTAACACCTGCAGGGTCAGGGACAACTGGTTCAGCTGCTGGAAATCCAGGCACAGGTGGGTCAACTCAAACAGGATCTGGGACCACTGGTCCATCAGCTGGAGGATCAGGGACCACAGGACCATCTGCTGGAGAAACAGGATCAGCAGGAACACCTTCCGTAGGTTCTGGAACCACTGCATCATCATCACAAAAACCAGGGACAACTGGACCATCACCTCCAGGTGCAGGAACAAGTAGTCCAAGAACAGGTGGGTCTGGAAGCCCTGGAGTCACACCTGGAGGGTCAGAGACAACTGGTTCAGCTGCTGGAAATCCAGGCACAGGTGGGTCAACTCAAACAGGATCTGGGACACCTGGACCATCAGCTGGAGGATCAGGGACCACAGGACCTTCTGCTGGAGAAACAGGATCAGCAGGAGCACGGTCCATAGGTTCAGGAACCACTGCATCATCATCTGAAAAACCAGGGACAACTGGACCATCAACTACAGGTTCAGGAACAAGTGGTGCAGGAGCTGGAGTGTCAGGAAGCCCTGGAGTAACACCTGGAGGGTCAGGGACAACTGGTTCAGCTGCTGGAAGTCCAGGCACAGGTGGGTCAACTCAAGCAGGATCTGGGACAACTGGTCCATCAGCTGGAGGATCAGGGACCACAGGACCATCTGCTGGAGAAACAGGATCAGCAGGAGCACCTTCCATAGGTTCAGGAACCACTGCATCATCATCTGAAAAAACCAGGGACAACTGGACCATCGGTTCCAGGTGCAGCAACAAGTGGTCCTGGAGCTGGAGGGTCAGGAAGCCCTGGGGTAACACCTGCAGGGTCAGGGACCACTGGTTCAGCTGCTGGAATTCTGGGTACTACTCGGTCAACTCAAGGAGGATCTGGGACAACTGGACCATCAGCTGGAGGATCAGGGACCACAGGACCTTCTGCTGGAGAAACAGGATCAGCAGGAGCACCTTCCATAGGTTCAGGAACCACTGCATCATCATCTGAAAAACCAGGGACAACAGGACCATCATCTACAGGTTCAGGAACAAGTGGTGCAGGAGCTGGAGTGTCAGGAACCCCTGGAGTAACACCTGGAGGGTCAGGGACAACTGGTTCACCTGCTGGAAGTCCAGGCACAGGTGCGTCAACTCAAGCAGGATCTGGGACCACTGGTCCATCAGCTGCAGGATCAGGGACCACAGGACCTTCTGCTGGAGAAACAGGATCAGCAGGAGCACGTTCCATAGGTTCAGGAACCACTGCATCATCATCTGAAAAACCAGGGACAACTGGACCATCAGGTCCAGGTGCAGCAACAAGTGGTCCTGGAGCTGGAGGGTCAGGAAGCCCTGGGGTAACACCTGCAGGGTCAGGGGCAACTGGTTCAGCATCTGGATTTCTGGGTACTACTCGGTCAACTCAAGGAGGATCTGGGACAAGTGGATCATCAGCCGGAGGATCAGGGACCACAGGACCATCTTCTGGAGAAACAGGATCAGCAGGAGCACCTTCCGTAGGTTCAGGAACCACTGCATCATCATCTGAAAAACCAGGGACAACGGGACCATCATCTACAGGTTCAGGAACAAGTGGTGCAAGAGGTGGAGTGTCAGGAAGCCCTGGAGTCACATCTGGAGGATCAGGGACAACTGGTTCAGCTGCTGGATATGCAGGCTCAACTGGGTCAATTCAAGCAGGATCTGGGACACCTGGACCATCACCTGAAGGATCAGGGACCACAGGACCATCTGCTGGAAAAACAGGATCAGCAGAAACACCTTCTATAGCTTCAGGAACCACTGCGTCATCATCTGAAAATCCAGGGACAAGTGGACCATCAGGTCCAGGTGCACCAACAAGTGGTCCTGGAGCTGGAGGGTCAGGAAGCCCTGGAGTAACACCTGCAGGGTCAGGGACAACTGGTTCAGCAGCCGGATTTCTGGGTACTACTCGGTCAACTCAAGGAGGATCTGGGACAACTGGACCATCAGATGGAGGATCAGGGACCACAGGACCATCTTCTGGAGAAACAAGATCAGCAGGAGCACCTTCCGTAGGTTCAGGAACCACTGCATCATCATCTGAAAAACCAGGGACAACTGGACCATCAGCTCCAGGTGCAGGAACAAGTGGTCCTGGAGCTGGAGGGTCAGGAAGCCCTGGGGTAACACCTGGAGGGTCAGGGACAACGGGTTCAGCTGCTGGATTTCCGGGCACAACTGGGTCAACTCAAGCAGGATCTGGGACTCCTGGACCATCAGCTGGAGGATCAGGGACCACAGGACCTTCTGCTGGAGAAACAGGATCAGCAGGGAGCACCTTCCATGGGTTCAGGAACCACTGCATCATCATCTGAAAAACCAGGGACAAGTGGACCTTCAGGTCCAGGTGCAGCAACAAGTAGTCCTGCAGCTGGAGGGTCAGGAAGCCCTGGGGTAACACCTGCAGGGTCAGGGACAACTGGTTCAGCTGCTGGATTCCTGGGTACTACTCGGTCAACTCAAGGAGGATCTGGGACAACTGGTCCATCAGCTGGAGGATCAGGGACCACAGGACCATCTGCTGGAGAAACAGGATCAGCAGGAACACCTTCCGTAGGTTCTGGAACCACTGCATCATCATCTGAAAAACCAGGGACAACTGGCCCATCAGCTCGAGGGGCAGGAACAAGTAGTCCAGGAACTGGAGGGTCAGGAAGCCCTGGAGTCACATCTGGAGGGTCAGGGACAACTGTTTCAGCTGCTGGAAATCCAGGCACAGGTGGGTCAACTCAAACAGGATCTAGGATACCTGGACCATCAGCTGGAGGATCAAGGACCACAGGACCTTCTGCTGGAGAATCAGGATCAGCAGGCACACCTTCCATAGGGTTCAGGAACCACTGCATCATCATCTGAAAAACCAGGGACAACAGGACCATATTCTACGGGTTCAGGAACAAGTGGTGCAGGAGCTGGAGTGTCAGGAACCCCTGGAGTAACACCTGGAGGGTCAGGGACAACTGGTTCAGCTGCTGGAAGTCCAGGCACAGGTGCGTCAACTCAAGCAGGATCTGGGACCACTGGTCCATCAGCTGCAGGATCAGGGACCACAGGACCTTCTGCTGGAGAAACAGGATCAGCAGGAACACCTTCCATAGGTTCTGGAACCACTGCATCATCATCTGAAAAACCAGGGACAACTGGACCCATCAGGTCCAGGTGCAGCAACAAGTGGTCCTGGAGCTGGAGGGTCAGCAAGCCCTGGAGTCACACCTGGAGGGTCAGGGACAACTGGTTCAGCTGCTGGAAGTCCAGGCTCAACTGGGTCAATTCAAGCAGGATCTGGGACACCTGGACCATCACCTGAAGGATCAGGGACCACAGGACCATCTGCTGGAAAAACAGGATCAGCAGAAACACCTTCTATAGCTTCAGGAACCACTGCATCATCATCTGAAAAACCAGGGACAACTGGACCATCAGCTCCAGGTGCAGCAACAAGTGGTCCTGGAGCTGGAGGGTCAGGAAGCCCTGGGGGTAACACCTGGAGGGTCAGGGACAAGCTGTTTCACCTGCTGGACTTCCGGGCACAACTGGGTCAACTCAAGCAGGATCTGGGACTCCTGGACCATCAGCTGGAGGATCAGGGACCATAGGATCTTCTGCTGGAGAAACAGGATCAGCAGGAGCACGTTCCATAGGTTCAGGAACCACTGCATCATTATCTGAAAAACCAGGGACAACTGGACCATCAGGTCCAGGTGCAGCAACAAGTGGTCCTGGAGCTGGAGGGTCAGGAAGCCCTGGGGTAACACCTGCAGGGTCAGGGACAACTGGTTCAGCAGCTGGATTTCTGGGTACTACTCGGTCAAGTCAAGGACGATCTGGGACAACTGGACCATCAGCTGGAGGGTCAGGGACCACAGGACCATCTTCTGGAGAAACAGGATCAGCAGAAACACCTTCTATAGCTTCAGGAACCACTGCATCATCATCTGAAAAACGAGGGACAACAGGACCATCATCTACAGGTTCAGAAACAAGTGGTCCTGGAGTTGGAGGGTCAGGAACCCCTGGAGTAACACCTGGAGGGTCAGGGACAACTGGTTCAGCTGCTGGAAGTCCAGGCACAGGTGGGTCAACTCAAGCAGGATCTGGGACCACTGGTCCATCAGCTGCAGGATCAGGGACCACAGGACCTTCTGCTGGAGAAACAGGATCAGCAGGAGCACGTTCCATAGGTTCAGGAACCACTGCATCATCATCTGAAAAACCAGGGACAACTGGACCATCAGGTCCAGGTGCAGCAACAAGTGGTCCTGGAGCTGGAGGGTCAGCAAGCCCTGGAGTAACACCTGGAGGGTCAGGGACAACTGGTTCATCTGCTGGAATTCCAGGCACAGGTGCGTCAACTCAAGCAGGATCTGGGACCACTGGTCCATCAGCTGCAGGATCAGGGACCACAGGACCTTCTGCTGGAGAAACAGGATCAGCAGGAGCACATTCCATAGGTTCAGGAACCACTGCATCATCATCTGAAAAACCAGGGACAACTGGACCATCAACTCCAGGTGCAGCAACAAGTGGTCCTGGAGCTGGAGGGTCAGGAAGCCCTCGGGTGACACTTGGAGGGTCAGGGACAACTGGTTCAGCTGCTGGAAGACCAGGCACAGGTGGGTCAACTCAAGCAGGACCTGGGACCACTGGTCCATCAGCTGCAGGATCAGGGACCACAGGACCTTCTGCTGGAGAAACAGGATCAGCAGAAACACCTTCCATAGGTTCAGGAACCACTGCATCATCATCTGAAAAACCAGGGACAACTGGACCATCATCTACAGGTTCAGGAACAAGTGGTGCAAGAGGTGGAGTGTCAGGAAGCCCTGGAGTAACACCTGGAGGGTCAGAGACAACTGGTTCAGCTGCTGGAAGGCCAGGCACAGGTGGGTCAACTCAAGCAGGATCTCGGGACCACTGGTCCATCAGCTGGAGGGATCAGGGACCACAGGACCATCTGCTGGAGAAACAGGATCAGCAGGAGCACCTTCCGTAGGTTCAGGAACCACTGCATCATCATCTGAAAAACCAGGGACAACTGGACCATCAGCTCCAGGTGCAGGAACAAGTGGTCCTGGAGCTGGAGGGTCAGGAAGCCCTGGGGTAACACCTGGAGGGTCAGGGACAACGGGTTCAGCTGCTGGATTTCCGGGCACAACTGGGTCAACTCAAGCAGGATCTGGGACTCCTGGACCATCAGCTGGAGGATCAGGGACCACAGGACCTTCTGCTGGAGAAACAGGATCAGCGGGAGCACCTTCCATGGGTTCACGAACCACTGCATCATCATCTGAAAAACCAGGGACAAGTGGACCTTCAGGTCCAGGTGCAGCAACAAGTAGTCCTGCAGCTGGAGGGTCAGGAAGCCCTGGGGTAACACCTGCAGGGTCAGGGACAACTGGTTCAGCTGCTGGATTCCTGGGTACTACTCGGGTCAACTCAAGGAGAATCTGGGACAACTGGTCCATCAGCTGGAGGATCAGGGACCACAGGACCATCTGCTGGAGAAACAGGATCAGCAGGAACACCTTCCGTAGGTTCTGGAACCACTGCATCATCATCTGAAAAACCAGGGACAACTGGCCCATCAGCTCGAGGGGCAGGAACAAGTAGTCCAGGAACTGGAGGGTCAGGAAGCCCTGGAGTCACATCTGGAGGGTCAGGGACAACTGTTTCAGCTGCTGGAAATCCAGGCACAGGTGGGTCAACTCAAACAGGATCTAGGATACCTGGACCATCAGCTGGAGGATCAGGGACCACAGGACCTTCTGCTGGAGAATCAGGATCAGCAGGCACACCTTCCATAGGTTCAGGAACCACTGCATCATCATCTGAAAAACCAGGGACAACAGGACCATATTCTACGGGTTCAGGAACAAGTGGTGCAGGAGCTGGAGTGTCAGGAACCCCTGGAGTAACACCTGGAGGGTCAGGGACAACTGGTTCAGCTGCTGGAAGTCCAGGCACAGGTGCGTCAACTCAAGCAGGATCTGGGACCACTGGTCCATCAGCTGCAGGATCAGGGACCACAGGACCTTCTGCTGGAGAAACAGGATCAGCAGGAGCACATTCCATAGGTTCTGGAACCACTGCATCATCATCTGAAAAACCAGGGACAACTGGACCATCAGGTCCAGGTGCAGCAACAAGTGGTCCTGTAGCTGGAGGGTCAGCAAGCCCTGGAGTCACACCTGGAGGGTCAGGGACAACTGGTTCAGCTGCTGGAAGTCCAGGCTCAACTGGGTCAATTCAAGCAGGATCTGGGACACCTGGACCATCACCTGAAGGATCAGGGACCACAGGACCATCTGCTGGAAAAACAGGATCAGCAGGAAACACCTTCTATAGCTTCAGGAACCACTGCATCATCATCTGAAAAACCAGGGACAACTGGACCATCAGCTCCAGGTGCAGCAACAAGTGGTCCTGGAGCTGGAGGGTCAGGAAGCCCTGGGGTAACACCTGGAGGGTCAGGGACAAGTGTTTCACCTGCTGGACTTCCGGGCACAACTGGGTCAACTCAAGCAGGATCTGGGACTCCTGGACGATCAGCTGGAGGAACAGGGACCATAGGATCTTCTGCTGGAGAAACAGGATCAGCAGGAGCACGTTCCATAGGTTCAGGAACCACTGAATCATTATCTGAAAAACCAGGGAAATCTGGACCATCAGGTCCAGGTGCAGCAACAAGTGGTCCTGGAACTGGAGGGTCAGCAAGCCCTGGAGTAACACCTGGAGGGTCAGGGACAACTGGTTCAGCTGCTGGAATTCCAGGCACAGGTGGGTCAACTCAAGCAGGATCTGGGACCACTGGTCCATCAGCTGCAGGATCAGGGACCACAGGACCTTCTGCTGGAGAAACAGGATCAGCAGGAGCACATTCCATAGGTTCAGGAACCACTGCATCATCATCTGAAAAACCAGGGACAACTGGACCATCAACTCCAGGTGCAGCAACAAGTGGTCCTGGAGCTGGAGGGTCAGGAAGCCCTCGGGTGACACTTGGAGGGTCAGGGACAACTGGTTCAGCTGCTGGAAGACCAGGCACAGGTGGGTCAACTCAAGCAGGACCTGGGACCACTGGTCCATCAGCTGCAGGATCAGGGACCACAGGACCTTCTGCTGGAGAAACAGGATCAGCAGAAACACCTTCCATAGGTTCAGGAACCACTGCATCATCATCTGAAAAACCAGGGACAACTGGACCATCATCTACAGGTTCAGGAACAAGTGGTGCAAGAGGTGGAGTGTCAGGAAGCCCTGGAGTAACACCTGGAGGGTCAGAGACAACTGGTTCAGCTGCTGGAAGGCCAGGCACAGGTGGGTCAACTCAAGCAGGATCTGGGACCACTGGTCCATCAGCTGGAGGATCAGGGACCACAGGACCATCTGCTGGAGAAACAGGATCAGCAGGAACACCTTCCATAGTTTCTGGAACCACTGCATCATCATCTGAAAAATCAGGGAACAACTGGCCCATCAGCTCCAGGTTCAGGAACAAGTGGTCCTGGAGCTGGAGGGTCAGGAAGCCCTGGAGTCACACCTGGAGGGTCAGGGACAACTGGTTCAGCTGCTGGATATGCAGGCTCAACTGGGTCAATTCAAGCAGGATCTGGGACACCTGCACCATCAGCTGGAGGATCAGGGACCACAGGACCATCTGCTGGAGAAACAGGATCAGCAGGAGCACCTTCCATAGGTTCAGGAACCACTGCATCATCATCTGAAAAACCAGGGACAACTGGACCATCAGCTCCAGGTGCAGCAACAAGTGGTCCTGGAGCTGGAGGGTCAGGAAGCCCTGGGGTAACACCTGGAGGGTCAGGGACAACTGGTTCAGCTGCTGGACTTCCGGGCACAACTGGGTCAACTCAAGCAGGATCTGGGACCACTGGTCCATCAGCTGCAGGATCAGGGACCACAGGACCTTCTGCTGGAGAAACAGGATCAGCAGGAGCACGTTCCATAGGTTCAGGAACCACTGCATCATCATCTGAAAAACCAGGGACAACTGGACCATCAGCTCCCAGGTGCAGCAACAAGTGGTCCTGGAGCTGGAGGGTCAGGAAGCCCTGGGGTAACACCTGCAGGGTCAGGGACAACTGGTTCAGCAGCTGGATTCCTGGGCACTAGCTCGGGTCAACTCAAAGGAGGATCTGGGACCACTGGACCATCAGCTGGAGGATCAGGGACCACAGGACCATCTGCTGGAGAAACAGGATCAGCAGGAACACCTTCCCATAGGTTCAGGAACCACTGCATCATCATCTGAAAAACCAGGGACAACTGGACCCATCAGCTCCAGGTGCAGGAACAAGTAGTCCAGGAACTGGAGGGTCAGGAAGCCCTGGAGTCACACCTGGAGGGTCAGGGACAACTGGTTCAGCTGCTGGAAATCCAGGCACAGGTGGGTCAACTCAAACAGGATCTGGGACACCTCGACCATCAGCTGGAGGATCAGGGTACCACAGGACCTTCTGCTGGAGAATCAGGATCAGCAGGAACGCCTTCCATAGGTTCAGGAACCACTGCATCATCATCTGAAAAACGAGGGACAACAGGACCATCATCTACAGGTTCAGAAACAAGTGGTGCAGCAGCTGGAGGGTCAGGAACCCCTGGAGTAACACGTGGAGGGTCAGGGACAACTGGTTCAGCTGCTGGAAGTCCAGGCACAGGTGGGTCAACTCAAGCAGGATCTGGGACCACTGGTCCATCAGCTGCAGGATCAGGGACCACAGGACCTTCTGCTGGAGAAACAGGATCAGCAGGAGCACGTTCCATAGGTTCAGGAACCACTGCATCATCATCTGAAAAACCAGGGACAACTGGACCATCAGGTCCAGGTGCAGCAACAAGTGGTCCTGGAGCTGGAGGGTCAGCAAGCCCTGGGAGTAACACCTGGAGGGTCAGGGACAACTGGTTCAGCTGCTGGAAGTCCAGGCACAGGTGGGTCAACTCAAGCAGGATCTGGGACCACTGGTCCACCAGCTGCAGGATCAGGGACCACAGGACCTTCTGCTGGAGAAACAGGATCAGCAGGAGCACATTCCATAGGTTCAGGAACCACTGCATCATCATCTGAAAAACCAGGGACAACTGGACCATCAACTCCAGGTGCAGCAACAAGTGGTCCTGGAGCTGGAGGGTCAGGAAGCCCTCGGGTGACACTTGGAGGGTCAGGGACAACTGGTTCAGCTGCTGGAAGACCAGGCACAGGTGGGTCAACTCAAGCAGGACCTGGGACCACTGGTCCATCAGCTGCAGGATCAGGGACCACAGGACCTTCTGCTGGAGAAACAGGATCAGCAGAAACACCTTCCATAGGTTCAGGAACCACTGCATCATCATCTGAAAAACCAGGGACAACTGGACCATCATCTACAGGTTCAGGAACAAGTGGTGCAAGAGGTGGAGTGTCAGGAAGCCCTGGAGTAACACCTGGAGGGTCAGAGACAACTGGTTCAGCTGCTGGAAGGCCAGGCACAGGTGGGTCAACTCAAGCAGGATCTGGGACCACTGGTCCATCAGCTGGAGGATCAGGGACCACAGGACCATCTGCTGGAGAAACAGGATCAGCAGGAACACCTTCCATAGGTTCTGGAACCACTGCATCATCATCTGAAAAATCAGGGAACAACTGGCCCATCAGCTCCAGGTTCAGGAACAAGTGGTCCTGGAGCTGGAGGGTCAGGAAGCCCTGGAGTCACACCTGGAGGGTCAGGGACAACTGGTTCAGCTGCTGGATATGCAGGCTCAACTGGGTCAATTCAAGCAGGATCTGGGACACCTGGACCATCAGCTGGAGGATCAGGGACCACAGGACCATCTGCTGGAGGAACAGGATCAGCAGAAGCACCTTCCATAGGTTCAGGAACCACTGCATCATCATCTGAAAAACCAGGGACAACTGGACCACCAGCTCCAGGTGCAGGAACAAGTGGTCCTGGAGCTGGAGGGTCAGGAAGCCCTGGGGTAACACCTGGAGGGTCAGGGACAACTGGTTCAACTGCTGGACTTCCGGGCACAACTGGGTCAACTCAAGCAGGATCTGGGACTCCTGGACCATCAGCTGGAGGATCAGGGACCACAGGATCTTCTGCTGGAGAAACAGGATCAGCAGGAGCACGTTCCATAGGTTCAGGAACCACTGCATCATCATCTGAAAAACCAGGGACAACTGGACCATCAGGTCCAGGTGCAGCAACAAGTGGTCCTGGAGCTGGAGGGTCAGGAAGCCCTGGGGTAACACCTGCAGGGTCAGGGACAACTGGTTCAGCAGCTGGATTTCTGGGTACTACTCGGTCAACTCAAGGAGGATCTGGGACAACTGGACCATCAGCTGGAGGGATCAGGGACCACAGGACCATCTGCTGGAGAAACAGGATCAGCAGAAACACCTTCTATAGCTTCAGGAACCACTGCATCATCATCTGAAAAACGAGGGACAACTGGACCATCATCTACAGGTTCAGAAACAAGTGGTCCTGGAGCTGGAGGGTCAGGAAGCCCCTGGAGTAACACCTGGAGGGTCAGGGACAACTGGTTCAGCTGCTGGAAGTCCAGGCACAGGTGGGTCAACTCAAGCAGGATCTGGGACCACTGGTCCATCAGCTGCAGGATCAGGGACCACAGGACCTTCTGCTGGAGAAACAGGATCAGCAGGAGCACGTTCCATAGGTTCAGGAACCACTGCATCATCATCTGAAAAACCAGGGACAACTGGACCATCAGGTCCAGGTGCAGCAACAAGTGGTCCTGGAACTGGAGGGTCAGCAAGCCCTGGAGTAACACCTGGAGGGTCAGGGACAACTGGTTCATCTGCTGGAATTCCAGGCACAGGTGGGTCAACTCAAGCAGGATCTGGGACCACTGGTCCATCAGCTGCAGGATCAGGGACCACAGGACCTTCTGCTGGAGAAACAGGATCAGCAGGAGCACATTCCATAGGTTCAGGAACCACTGCATCATCATCTGAAAAACCAGGGACAACTGGACCATCAACTCCAGGTGCAGCAACAAGTGGTCCTGGAGCTGGAGGGTCAGGAAGCCCTCGGGTGACACTTGGAGGGTCAGGGACAACTGGTTCAGCTGCTGGAAGACCAGGCACAGGTGGGTCAACTCAAGCAGGACCTGGGACCACTGGTCCATCAGCTGCAGGATCAGGGACCACAGGACCTTCTGCTGGAGAAACAGGATCAGCAGAAACACCTTCCATAGGTTCAGGAACCACTGCATCATCATCTGAAAAACCAGGGACAACTGGACCATCATCTACAGGTTCAGGAACAAGTGGTGCAAGAGGTGGAGTGTCAGGAAGCCCTGGAGTAACACCTGGAGGGTCAGAGACAACTGGTTCAGCTGCTGGAAGGCCAGGCACAGGTGGGTCAACTCAAGCAGGATCTCGGACCACTGGTCCATCAGCTGGAGGATCAGGGACCACAGGACCATCTGCTGGAGAAACAGGATCAGCAGGAGCACCTTCCGTAGGTTCAGGAACCACTGCATCATCATCTGAAAAACCAGGGACAACTGGACCATCAGCTCCAGGTGCAGGAACAAGTGGTCCTGGAGCTGGAGGGTCAGGAAGCCCTGGGGGTAACACCTGGAGGGTCAGGGACAACTGGGTTCAGCTGCTGGATTTCCCGGCACAACTGGGTCAACTCAAGCAGGATCTGGGACTCCTGGACCATCAGCTGGAGGATCAGGGACCACAGGACCTTCTGCTGGAGAAACAGGATCAGCGGGAGCACCTTCAATGGGTTCAGGAACCACTGCATCATCATCTGAAAAACCAGGGACAAGTGGACCTTCAGGTCCAGGTGCAGCAACAAATAGTCCTGCAGCTGGAGGGTCAGGAAGCCCTGGGGTAACACCTGCAGGGTCAGGGACAACTGGTTCAGCTGCTGGATTCCTGGGTACTACTCGGTCAACTCAAAGAGGATCTGGGACAACTGGTCCATCAGCTGGAGGATCAGGGACCACAGGACCATCTGCTGGAGAAACAGGATCAGCAGGAACACCTTCCGTAGGTTCTGGAACCACTGCATCATCATCTGAAAAACCAGGGACAACTGGCCCATCAGCTCGAGGGGCAGGAACAAGTAGTCCAGGAACTGGAGGGTCAGGAAGCCCTGGAGTCACATCTGGAGGGTCAGGGACAACTGTTTCAGCTGCTGGAAATCCAGGCACAGGTGGGTCAACTCAAACAGGATCTAGGATACCTGGACCATCAGCTGGAGGATCAAGGGACCACAGGACCTTCTGTTGGAGAATCAGGATCAGCAGGCACACCTTCCATGGGTTCAGGAACCACTGCATCATCATCTGAAAAACCAGGGACAACAGGACCATATTCTACGGGTTCAGGAACAAGTGGTGCAGGAGCTGGAGTGTCAGGAACCCCTGGAGTAACACCTGGAGGGTCAGGGACAACTGGTTCAGCTGCTGGAAGTCCAGGCACAGGTGGGTCAACTCAAGCAGGATCTGGGACCACTGGTCCATCAGCTGCAGGATCAGGGACCACAGGACCTTCTGCTGGAGAAACAGGATCAGCAGGAACACCTTCCATAGGTTCTGGAACCACTGCATCATCATCTGAAAAACCAGGGACAACTGGACCATCAGGTCCAGGTGCAGCAACAAGTGGTCCTGGAGCTGGAGGGTCAGCAAGCCCTGGAGTCACACCTGGAGGGTCAGGGACAACTGGTTCAGCTGCTGGAAGTCCAGGCTCAACTGGGTCAATTCAAGCAGGATCTGGGACACCTGGACCATCACCTGAAGGATCAGGGACCACAGGACCATCTGCTGGAGGAACAGGATCAGCAGGAGCACCTTCCATAGGTTCTGGAACCACTGCATCATCACCTGAAAAACCAGGGACAACTGGACCATCAGCTCCAGGTGCAGCAACAAGTGGTCCTGGAGCTGGAGGGTCAGGAAGCCCAGGGGTAACACCTGCAGGGCCAGGGACAACTGGTTTCAACTGCTGGACTTCCGGGCACAACTGGGTCAACTCAAGCAGGATCTGGGACTCCTGGACCATCAGCTGGAGGATCAGGGACCACAGGATCTTCTGCTGGAGAAACAGGATCAGCAGGAGCACGTTCCATAGGTTCAGGAACCACTGCATCATCATCTGAAAAAACCAGGGACAACTGGACCATCAGGTCCAGGTGCAGCAACAAGTGGTCCTGGAACTGGAGGGTCAGCAAGCCCTGGAGTAACACCTGGAGGGTCAGGGACAACTGGTTCATCTGCTGGAATTCCAGGCACAGGTGCGTCAACTCAAGCAGGATCTGGGACCACTGGTCCATCAGCTGCAGGATCAGGGACCACAGGACCTTCTGCTGGAGAAACAGGATCAGCAGGAGCACATTCCATAGGTTCAGGAACCACTGCATCATCATCTGAAAAACCAGGGACAACTGGACCATCAACTCCAGGTGCAGCAACAAGTGGTCCTGGAGCTGGAGGGTCAGGAAGCCCTCGGGTGACACTTGGAGGGTCAGGGACAACTGGTTCAGCTGCTGGAAGACCAGGCACAGGTGGGTCAACTCAAGCAGGACCTGGGACCACTGGTCCATCAGCTGCAGGATCAGGGACCACAGGACCTTCTGCTGGAGAAACAGGATCAGCAGAAACACCTTCCATAGGTTCAGGAACCACTGCATCATCATCTGAAAAACCAGGGACAACTGGACCATCATCTACAGGTTCAGGAACAAGTGGTGCAAGAGGTGGAGTGTCAGGAAGCCCTGGAGTAACACCTGGAGGGTCAGAGACAACTGGTTCAGCTGCTGGAAGGCCAGGCACAGGTGGGTCAACTCAAGCAGGATCTCGGACCACTGGTCCATCAGCTGGAGGATCAGGGACCACAGGACCATCTGCTGGAGAAACAGGATCAGCAGGAACACCTTCCATAGTTTCTGGAACCACTGCATCATCATCTGAAAAATCAGGAACAACTGGCCCATCAGCTCCAGGTTCAGGAACAAGTGGTCCTGGAGCTGGAGGGTCAGGAAGCCCTGGAGTCACACCTGGAGGGTCAGGGACAACTGGTTCAGCTGCTGGATATGCAGGCTCAACTGGGTCAATTCAAGCAGGATCTGGGACACCTGCACCATCAGCTGGAGGATCAGGGACCACAGGACCATCTGCTGGAGGAACAGGATCAGCAGGAGCACCTTCCATAGGTTCAGGAACCACTGCATCATCATCTGAAAAACCAGGGACAACTGGACCACCATCTCCAGGTGCAGGAACAAGTGGTCCTGGAGCTGGAGGGTCAGGAAGCCCTGGGGTAACACCTGGAGAGTCAGGACAAACTGGTTCAGCTGCTGGACTTCCGGGCACAACTGGGTCAACTCAAGCAGGATCTGGGACCACTGGTCCATCAGCTGCAGGATCAGGGACCACAGGACCTTCTGCTGGAGAAACAGGATCAGCAGGAGCACGTTCCATAGGTTCAGGAACCACTGCATCATCATCTGAAAAACCAGGGACAACTGGACCATCAGCTCCCAGGTGCAGCAACAAGTGGTCCTGGAGTTTGGAGGGTCAGGAAGCCCTGGGGTAACACCTGCAGGGTCAGGGACAACTCGTTCAGCAGCTGGATTCCTGGGCACTACTCGGTCAACTCAAGGAGGATCTGGGACCACTGGACCATCAGCTGGAGGATCAGGGACCACAGGACCATCTGCTGGAGAAACAGGATCAGCAGGAACACCTCCCATAGGTTCAGGAACCACTGCATCATCATCTGAAAAACCAGGGACAACTGGCCCATCAGCTCCAGGTGCAGGAACAAGTAGTCCAGGAACTGGAGGGTCAGGAAGCCCCTGGAGTCACACCTGGAGGGTCAGGGACAACTGGTTCAGCTGCTGGAAATCCAGGCACAGGTGGGTCAACTCAAAGCAGGATCTGGGACACCTCGACCATCAGCTGGAGGATCAGGGACCACAGGACCTTCTGCTGGAGAATCAGGATCAGCAGGAACACCTTCCATAGGTTCAGGAACCACTGCATCATCATCTGAAAAACCAGGGACAACTGGACCATCAGGTCTACAGGTTCAGAAACAAGTGGTGCAGGAGCTGGAGGGTCAGGAAGCCCCTGGAGTAACACCTGGAGGGTCAGGGACAACTGGTTCAGCTGCTGGAAGTCCAGGCACAGGTGGGTCAACTCAAGCAGGATCTGGGACCACTGGTCCATCAGCTGCAGGATCAGGGACCACAGGACCTTCTGCTGGAGAAACAGGATCAGCAGGAGCACGTTCCATAGGTTCAGGAACCACTGCATCATCATCTGAAAAACCAGGGACAACTGGACCATCAGCTCCAGGTGCAGCAACAAGTGGTCCTGGAGTTGGAGGGTCAGGAAGCCCTGGGGTAACACCTGCAGGGTCAGGGACAACTCGTTCAGCAGCTGGATTCCTGGGCACTACTCGGTCAACTCAAGGAGGATCTGGGACCACTGGACCATCAGCTGGAGGATCAGGGACCACAGGACCATCTGCTGGAGAAACAGGATCAGCAGGAACACCTCCCATAGGTTCAGGAACCACTGCATCATCATCTGAAAAACCAGGGACAACTGGCCCATCAGCTCCAGGTGCAGGAACAAGTAGTCCAGGAACTGGAGGGTCAGGAAGCCCTGGAGTCACACCTGGAGGGTCAGGGACAACTGTTTCAGCTGCTGGAAATCCAGGCACAGGTGGGTCAACTCAAACAGGATCTGGGACACCTCGACCATCAGCTGGAGGATCAGGTACCACAGGACCTTCTGCTGGAGAATCAGGATCAGCAGGAACGCCTTCCATAGGTTCAGGAACCACTGCATCATCATCTGAAAAACGAGGGACAACAGGACCATCATCTACAGGTTCAGAAACAAGTGGTGCAGCAGCTGGAGGGTCAGGAACCCCTGGAGTAACACGTGGAGGGTCAGGGACAACTGGTTCAGCTGCTGGAAGTCCAGGCACAGGTGGGTCAACTCAAGCAGGATCTGGGACCACTGGTCCATCAGCTGCAGGATCAGGGACCACAGGACCTTCTGCTGGAGAAACAGGATCAGCAGGAGCACGTTCCATAGGTTCAGGAACCACTGCATCATCATCTGAAAAAACCAGGGACAACTGGACCATCAGGTCCAGGTGCAGCAACAAGTGGTCCTGGAGCTGGAGGGTCAGCAAGCCCTGGAGTAACACCTGGAGGGTCAGGGACAACTGGTTCAGCTGCTGGAAGTCCAGGCACAGGTGGGTCAACTCAAGCAGGATCTGGGACCACTGGTCCACCAGCTGCAGGATCAGGGACCACAGGACCTTCTGCTGGAGAAACAGGATCAGCAGGAGCACATTCCATAGGTTCAGGAACCACTGCATCATCATCTGAAAAACCAGGGACAACTGGACCATCAACTCCAGGTGCAGCAACAAGTGGTCCTGGAGCTGGAGGGTCAGGAAGCCCTCGGGTGACACTTGGAGGGTCAGGGACAACTGGTTCAGCTGCTGGAAGACCAGGCACAGGTGGGTCAACTCAAGCAGGACCTGGGACCACTGGTCCATCAGCTGCAGGATCAGGGACCACAGGACCTTCTGCTGGAGAAACAGGATCAGCAGAAACACCTTCCATAGGTTCAGGAACCACTGCATCATCATCTGAAAAACCAGGGACAACTGGACCATCATCTACAGGTTCAGGAACAAGTGGTGCAAGAGGTGGAGTGTCAGGAAGCCCTGGAGTAACACCTGGAGGGTCAGAGACAACTGGTTCAGCTGCTGGAAGGCCAGGCACAGGTGGGTCAACTCAAGCAGGATCTCGGACCACTGGTCCATCAGCTGGAGGATCAGGGACCACAGGACCATCTGCTGGAGAAACAGGATCAGCAGGAGCACCTTCCGTAGGTTCAGGAACCACTGCATCATCATCTGAAAAACCAGGGACAACTGGACCATCAGCTCCAGGTGCAGGAACAAGTGGTCCTGGAGCTGGAGGGTCAGGAAGCCCTGGGGTAACACCTGGAGGGTCAGGGACAACGGGTTCAGCTGCTGGAAGTCCAGGCACAGGTGGGTCAACTCAAGCAGGATCTGGGACCACTGGTCCATCAGCTGGAGGATCAGGGACCACAGGACCTTCTGCTGGAGAAACAGGATCAGCAGGAGCACCTTCCATAGGTTCAGGAACCACTGCATCATCATCTGAAAAATCAGGGACAACTGGACCCATCAGCTCCAGGTGCAGGAACAAGTGGTCCTGGAGCTGGAGGGTCAGGAAGCCCTGGTGTAACACCTGGAGGGTCAGGGACAACTGGTTCAGCTGCTGGAAGTCCAGGCACAGGTGGGTCAACTCAAGCAGGATCTGGGACACACTGGTCCATCAGCTGGAGGGTCAGGGACCACAGGACCATCTGCTGGAGAAACAGGATCAGCAGGAGCACCTTCCATAGGTTCAGGAACCACTGCATCATCATCTGAAAAACCAGGGACAACTGGACCATCAGCTCCAGGTGCAGCAACAAGTGGTCCTGGAGCTGGAGGGTCAGGAAGCCCTCGGGTGACACTTGGAGGGTCAGGGACAACTGGTTCAGCTGCTGGAAGACCAGGCACAGGTGGGTCAACTCAAGCAGGACCTGGGACCACTGGTCCATCAGCTGCAGGATCAGGGACCACAGGACCTTCTGCTGGAGAAACAGGATCAGCAGAAACACCTTCCATAGGTTCAGGAACCACTGCATCATCATCTGAAAAACCAGGGACAACTGGACCATCATCTACAGGTTCAGGAACAAGTGGTGCAAGAGGTGGAGTGTCAGGAAGCCCTGGGAGTAACACCTGGAGGGTCAGAGACAACTGGTTCAGCTGCTGGAAGGCCAGGCACAGGTGGGTCAACTCAAGCAGGATCTGGGACCACTGGTCCATCAGCTGGAGGATCAGGGACCACAGGACCATCTGCTGGAGAAACAGGATCAGCAGGAACACCTTCCATAGTTTCTGGAACCACTGCATCATCATCTGAAAAATCAGGGAACAACTGGCCCATCAGCTCCAGGTTCAGGAACAAGTGGTCCTGGAGCTGGAGGGTCAGGAAGCCCTGGGAGTCACACCTGGAGGGTCAGGGACAACTGCGTTCAGCTGCTGGATATCCAGGGCTCAACTGGGTCAACTCAAGCAGGATCTGGGACACCTGGACCATCAGCTGGAGGATCAGGGACCACAGGACCATCTGCTGGAGAAACAGGATCAGCAGGAACACCTCCCATAGGTTCAGGAACCACTGCATCATCATCTGAAAAACCAGGGACAACTGGCCCATCAGCTCCAGGTGCAGGAACAAGTAGTCCAGGAACTGGAGGGTCAGGAAGCCCTGGAGTCACACCTGGAGGGTCAGGGACAACTGGTTCAGCTGCTGGAAATCCAGGCACAGGTGGGTCAACTCAAACAGGATCTGGGACACCTCGACCATCAGCTGGAGGATCAGGTACCACAGGACCTTCTGCTGGAGAATCAGGATCAGCAGGAACGCCTTCCATAGGTTCAGGAACCACTGCATCATCATCTGAAAAACGAGGGACAACAGGACCATCATCTACAGGTTCAGAAACAAGTGGTGCAGCAGCTGGAGGGTCAGGAACCCCTGGAGTAACACGTGGAGGGTCAGGGACAACTGGTTCAGCTGCTGGAAGTCCAGGCACAGGTGGGTCAACTCAAGCAGGATCTGGGACCACTGGTCCATCAGCTGCAGGATCAGGGACCACAGGACCTTCTGCTGGAGAAACAGGATCAGCAGGAGCACGTTCCATAGGTTCAGGAACCACTGCATCATCATCTGAAAAATCAGGGACAACTGGACCATCAGGTCCAGGTGCAGCAACAAGTGGTCCTGGAGCTGGAGGGTCAGCAAGCCCTGGAGTAACACCTGGAGGGTCAGGGACAACTGGTTCAGCTGCTGGAAGTCCAGGCACAGGTGGGTCAACTCAAGCAGGATCTGGGACCACTGGTCCACCAGCTGCAGGATCAGGGACCACAGGACCTTCTGCTGGAGAAACAGGATCAGCAGGAGCACATTCCATAGGTTCAGGAACCACTGCATCATCATCTGAAAAACCAGGGACAACTGGACCATCAACTCCAGGTGCAGCAACAAGTGGTCCTGGAGCTGGAGGGTCAGGAAGCCCTCGGGTGACACTTGGAGGGTCAGGGACAACTGGTTCAGCTGCTGGAAGACCAGGCACAGGTGGGTCAACTCAAGCAGGACCTGGGACCACTGGTCCATCAGCTGCAGGATCAGGGACCACAGGACCTTCTGCTGGAGAAACAGGATCAGCAGAAACACCTTCCATAGGTTCAGGAACCACTGCATCATCATCTGAAAAACCAGGGACAACTGGACCATCATCTACAGGTTCAGGAACAAGTGGTGCAAGAGGTGGAGTGTCAGGAAGCCCTGGAGTAACACCTGGAGGGTCAGAGACAACTGGTTCAGCTGCTGGAAGGCCAGGCACAGGTGGGTCAACTCAAGCAGGATCTCGGGACCACTGGTCCATCAGCTGGAGGGATCAGCGACCACAGGACCATCTGCTGGAGAAACAGGATCAGCAGGAACACCTTCCATAGTTTCTGGAACCACTGCATCATCATCTGAAAAATCAGGAACAACTGGCCCATCAGCTCCAGGTTCAGGAACAAGTGGTCCTGGAGCTGGAGGGTCAGGAAGCCCTGGAGTCACACCTGGAGGGTCAGGGACAACTGGTTCAGCTGCTGGATATGCAGGCTCAACTGGGTCAATTCAAGCAGGATCTGGGACACCTGCACCATCAGCTGGAGGATCAGGGACCACAGGACCATCTGCTGGAGAAACAGGATCAGCAGGAGCACCTTCCATAGGTTCAGGAACCACTGCATCATCATCTGAAAAACCAGGGACAACTGGACCACCAGCTCCAGGTGCAGGAACAAGTGGTCCTGGAGCCGGAGGGTCAGGAAGCCCTGGGGTAACACCTGGAGGGTCAGGACAAACTGGTTCAGCTGCTGGACTTCCGGGCACAACTGGGTCAACTCAAGCAGGATCTGGGACCACTGGTCCATCAGCTGCAGGATCAGGGACCACAGGACCTTCTGCTGGAGAAACAGGATCAGCAGGCGCACGTTCCATAGGTTCAGGAACCACTGCATCATCATCTGAAAAACCAGGGACAGCTGGACCTTCAGCTCCAGGTGCAGCAACAAGTGGTCCTGGATTTGGAGGGTCAGGAAGCCCTGGGGTAACACCTGCAGGGTCAGGGACAACTCGTTCAGCAGCTGGATTTCTTGGTACTACTCGGTCAACTCAAGGAGGATCTGTGACAACTGCACCATCAGCTGGAGGATCTAGGAGCACAGGACCATCTGCTGGAGAAACAGGATCAGCAGGAAGACCTTCCATAGATTCTGAAACCACTGCATCATCATCAGAAAAACCAGGGACAACTGGACCACCAGCTCCAGGTGCAGGAACAAGTGGTCCTGGAGCCGGAGGGTCAAGAAGCCCTGGAGTAACACCTGGAGGGTCAGAGACAACTGGTTCAGCTGCTGGAAGGCCAGGCACAGGTGGGTCAACTCAAGCAGGATCTGGGACCACTGGTCCATCAGGTGGAGGATCAGGGACCACAGGACCATCTGCTGGAGAAACAGGATCAGCAGGAACACCTTCCATAGGTTCTGGAGCCACTGCATCATCATCAGAAAAACCAGGGACAACTGGACCATCAGCTCCAGGTGCAGGAACAAGTAATCCAGGAACTGGACGGTCAGGAAGCCCTGGAGTCACACCTGGAGGGTCAGGGACAAGTGGTTCAGCTGCTGGAAATCCAGGCACAGGTGGGTCAACTCAAACAGGATCTGGGACACCTGGACCATCATCTGGAGGATCAGGGACCACAGGACCTTCTGCTGGAGAAACAGGATCAGCAGGAACACCTTCCATAGGTTCAGGAACCACTGCATCATCATCTGAAAAACCAGGGACAACTCGACCCTCAGCGCCAGGTGCAGGAACAAGTAGTCCAGGAAGTGTAGCGTCTGGAAGCCCTGGAGTAACACCTGGAGGGTCCGCGACAACTGGTTCAGGTTCTCGATTTCCAGGCACAGCAGGGTCAACTCAGAGAGGATCTGGGACTCCTGGACCATCAGCTGGAGGATCAGGGACCACAGTACCATCTACTGGAGAAGCAGGATCAGCAGGAACACCTTCCATAATTTCAGGAACCACCGCATCATCATCTGAAAAATCAGGGACAACTGGACCATCAGCTGCAGGTACAGGAACAAGTGGTCCAGGAGCTGGAGTTTCAGGAAGTCCTGGAGTAACACCTGGAGGGTCAGGGACAACTGGTTCAGCTGCTGGATTTCCAGGCACAGGTGGGTCAACTCAAGCAGGATCTGGAACACCTGGACCATCAGCTGGAGGATCAGGGATAGCTGGAGAATTTCTGTTGGTTCAGGGAACAGTGGGAAATTAATGAAAACATCAGGAACATCAGTAACTTTTGCAGAACATATGGTGAGAGCACCATTTTTAAATGAAGTGTGTAGGAGAAGAGGGATAACTAGTGTCATAATTGCTGAGGTAGGAAGAAATGGGAAGCCAGCAACTGAGATTACTACATATGGACGCAAGTAAGTTAGCTAAAGGCATACCTTTTAGTATAGGCAATGTTTATCTTGCCTGACTCTTAATTTTTGAACCAAATATGTAAATTTATCATACTGAGAGTATGTACAACAAATATTTTTGAAAACCGGTAAGATTTTTGTAGAACATTATTGCTCTGAATTGATATTTTAATAACTTAATTGATTTTTTCATTCCTACTAGTTCATTTGTTTCCACCGGGTTCCTTCTGAGGGTCGGTAGGAATTATCACAGTGCCCAGCAGGGGAAGCACAGCAGCAGCAGCAACCATTGGGAATGGTGCAGGCAAGGCTGACCTGGGTGACACAGCACAAGCACGGCTGAGACCTAAATTATGATGATGTGTTTATGTTAATTACTGAGGCCTGAATTTCTGGAGAAATGATTAAAATATGTTCTAGGTTTATCATGAACATGTAAATTTGAAATTTACTTAAATAGAAATAAGCTTATTATTTTTACTAAAATGAATCATGTCAAAATAATAATTATTTCTTTAACCAGGCACAGCTGAAGAACCATACAGAGCAACCACTGAACCAGGTGAAAACACAATGAGATTAATAACACAGGGTAAATCACAAGAGTTGGGAAGGGAGTTATTGACTCAGGTTGTAGCTCAACGTGAGGTTTTCTGTTAAATCTAATCATAATATCAGTGTATTGTAAATATAAATGTTGAGAAAATCAGTTCCAAGTCATCAGATATTTAGGACCTTATATTCTCTTATATATGTTCTCACCAGTACTGAGATTATAGCAACTGGACTCAAAGTAGTTACATTGACACTGTCCAGGTAGTAGCCTCCCAAAATAAAAATACTGCTTGAGACTTTCTACTTTTTACCTCAGGTTCCATAAGAAGCACTTCTGGCTCAACAATTGCACCAGAAAGTTTCAGTACTGGTAAGTAAACAGGGGGATATTAGATGTATTTTCGGCTTGCTTTCATGCTCTCGGCCTAGATAAAAATGGTCAAATGATTAATCAAAACACTTGTTATTAATTACAATGCCTTTAAGTATATTGTTTCATTGGACTGGTTGAATAAGAATTGTTATCTCATTTCGCACATGAGGAACCTAAAACAGCCCTTACCTAATTCGGTCCAGGTTCTACAGCCAGTCCAGCAGTGGCGCCAGTATTTGTATCCATTGTTTACTGACTCCAGAGCTGTGTTCCTCACAGCGATGTCTTCCTGCAAGGCAAACATACAATGATCTTAAAGACCAACTAATAAAATGTTGCCTTTAATATGTATCAAACAAATTTTCCCCATTTCTCACTGTAATAACTGCAACAGCAGCTAATAAAAAGAGGATTAAAATATTTTATGGAAGTTAAACTGTGGCATTTATTTTGGCATAGAAAGATTTGGGGTATTTTACTTGACAAAACTATAATTCTATTGTTTTATAAATAAAAAATTAATCACTTCCCTCTTTTTACAACTACTCAAACCTGACATAAAATTTACAAACACTTTTAGTACACTTTTTATAACAATATGTGAACCAAATTGTTTATTCAAATCTACAGTACATTATTATTTAAGTTTCTGCACTAGTAATGCATCTCAGTGGTTGAGAAAGACATCATTCCTCAATTTGCAGGTTATTTAATAGAACCTAAGCTTTAGTGACTAAATTATTGATGATGTAAGGAATAGGTTGATTATAAATTTTTCTGGTAAAGAGTTTTGCTACATATATTCTAACTATTGAAAACACCATTTATGTAAATTTATTTTACAAACTAGCCACTAGAAAATAATTAATTCAAAGTTTTGATTCACACAAAATTCATAATTATTCTTTACTCAATCAATGGTTATGTAAGTGAATTCACATGCTTTATATTATTTATGGAACACCATAATTATAAAATGAATTAATAGCACAGATTCTAGGATATGTGGCTTTTGGGGCACAGTGTGTATTTTATCATTTTGGGTTTTTTTTGCATTTTTCAAATTTGAGATTTTAGTCTTTAATTAAATGAAACCAAACAAGAGTTGCTGAGTGTAAATATTTTACTTGGGAAAAAGGCAATGGATTTTGTTTCAGTTTGATATCATGTAACTCACCAATGATTCCTTGCGAGAACACATTGCAGTTTCTCTTCCAAAAGATCTCTCATCCTGACTTGAATATTAAGGTAAACTTCTATGGAAATAACATTTCTGTTTTTATATTGAAAAAAAATCATTTATATAAAATGGCAGTTGAAGCACTGAAATAAATTATTAAAATGAAAATCAAGAAGTATATTATTTCATTGAAACATGAATTTAATTTTCCCTCTTTTAGGGTCAAATATCAAAATTCCACCAGTACTGATTGAAGGTAAATTGGAATAAAAATGATCAAAATATATTTCTGTACAATGCAATTTGAAATAATACTTTTATCTTTTCAATTTGTGTTGTAAAAAATAACTATAGACTGTGATGTTCTTCCCAATTATAAATTAATGCAAATTAATCTTTATGAGACAAGATATATATATATCTCTTTTCAATTTTTAATTCCTTCTGTGGAACCTAAAGGAACAGGTAAGTTAATATAAGATTATAAATGTACACTTAAGAAATTGTGTTGCAGTAACTAGAATAGATTTATGATAGTAGAAGTTATCATTTATAAACTTAATGAAACATGGCATCAAATTAGATTTTGGTAGCTTAGGGTTTTTTCTTTTCCTATCTTATGCCTTCAGAAATCATAGCAAAGGTGTATTGAATTCCTTACTTAATATTTAAACTTTACACTGGTTGTTTACAAACATGCACAATCAATCAAATAAATAATAGTAACTCTAGAACTATACCCTTTATTAAAAAAGTACCTATTTCTCAGAATATTAGCTTTGTCACCTACAATTTTCACAAATATTATTAGCTTTTATTGCATCCTGATATCTTTTTTTAATATGGAACAGTTTTAAAAGATAAGAAAAAAATAAAGTTTGCTCCGTAGAACATTTCACTTTTTCTTAATTGTTTTCTGCATTCTTTTAGCATTTACATTCAAATATAAGTTCCAAGAAGGCAGGTATTTTTGTCTTATTTTGTCCACTGATATAAAACCCTTTCTGGTCCTTACATTTCAATAATTGTCCACATGATCCACTGGATTCATCCTCTGTTGAATGGAGCACATTCAACATGCATCACTCAGTGTGCCACTCAGGGCCTAAACCAGAGAGCTGAGACATCTATAAACACAGGTATTTACAACACAGGTTCACCTGAAATGATAAGAAAACTTATCACTATGGACATGATGGAAATGCAGCTTTTGAAGACTTCCTGAGATAAACAATACAAAATACCTCTTTCCATCATCCCAAACACCCAGACCTTCCTCTTCTCCTATTTTCTCCCTCAGAGGCCACAACTTCCACAGAAGGTGTGGGCCCCACTGCGGGTACATTCAAAGCAGTGTGTACCTTCTAATAACCACTAATTATGATGCGAATAGGAGACCCAAGACAGAGAAAATGTTTCTGGAGAGCAGTTCACCTGTGCTTTAGTGATACTGCATTTTGGGTGAACTAATTCTTTTTGAATTTTGAAATCTTGTCCTGTGAATCTACTAATAACAGAATTTGGAATTATAGCTATAATCCTTCAACATAGCATGATTGTGCCCATAGTTCTAAGTAATTTCTCTTGTGAAATTACAAATAGTATAAGATTTGTGGAGAAAAGTGAGGATACTTTCTTTCATGAAAAAGGCAGAAGAGCTACATAAACCCTGGAAACATGTCTGCCCTGTACAGATGTAGGCATTTTACAACAAAGGAAGAAAGAACACAATATTTTCAGATAGTCTGCAGTTTTCAGAGCACTCATGTGTTCCTTTTACTTCCAACCCACAGCAGGTACCACTGTAGCATCAGAAAGTGAAGTCACAGGGAGGAAAACAGGTGGGTGTGGAAGAAACCCAACAGTTTCCCAAAACAGAATGATGCCCGGAAGTTTGTTTCAGGTAGAGAACACACACCCTAGAAAATTTTGGTAACAAAATAGTTAATGAGGAAAAGCGTGGGACTCATATCAAAGGAGAGGTGGACAGTGAGTCAGTGAGGTAAATGAAAATATACTTAGGTTCTTTGTAGGTGCATGGTTTTAAAAAAGAAACGTTACTCTGTGGTGACCGCATTCCCTTTTGTGTTTCAGGCACCACGGGTGTAGCCCCGGGCACAACTGTTGCCCCAGGAAGTTCCAGGACAGGTGAGGCAGCAAGTTGAAAAGACTCTTCCCCATCCTCTCTCAGAGACTAGATGTCTTCTTTGGGATTATGCATTGCAGGGGTACCACCATATCTTTCCATGATCCTGAAATGTTCTCCAATCACCTTTCTTCATTCTGTCCCCCAGAGGCCACAACTCTCCTTGGAGAAAGCAAAACAAACAGAGTTGGAATAGTCACAGGTGAGTGTTCTAAACTACTACTTGTCCGTAATAAAGTCAGGAAAACAACAACAACAACAACAACAACAACAACAACAACAACAACAACACATACCAGGTCTTGCAGTGCACTCTTTTATGGCTGAACTTACAATAGCCTGAACTAGACCACCATGAAGAAGAAATTAATGATACAAAAATTGTACTGCGGAGAAAAAATTCTCTCTTCTCCAAAGTAATAGGCAGGATGGTGAAGAACTCAAAAAGAGTTATAAAAACTTTTTACATGGGGTACATATGGATGAAATCTTAGAACATAAAATGATAGTTTGGTGTTACATGGAGACTTTAGGTTACTATTCCAATCAAGTTGTGAATAGGCAACAGAATTAGTGACAATCCCTTCTCCCTCTCTTCTTGTAGGCACTACTGGCATAGTCCCTGGAAAAACTCTGGAACCTGGAGCTTACAACACAGGTAATGTGAGAAAACACATGCAAAAAACAGATTTGGCATGTTAGATATTATGTTATGAAATATAGAGCTTAATTTCCCACACTCCAGACTTTAGTCCTTCCCTTTTTTTCTCTATCAGGGGCCACAACTTCTGTGGTTGGAAAGGGGACAAGCCCAGCAGGACTTACAGGGGGTGAGCTGTTTATGTCTGAGTCTTCTTCATCTTCTCTTCTTCCAATACAGTCTCTGTTAGTGTGGCTATGGTAAAAACCTGAATGGAAAGGTGGGCTGAGGACATGTGCCTACATTTCTTCTGGGAACACAATATGCCAAGTCAGAAAACCACCTCAGCATTGAGATTCTCTAGCTTCACATGACCCTATTATTATTTTCAGAGGCCCAAGCTTGTAAAGCAAGCTGTTGAATGGGAGGGATGAGGCCCAGGTGCAAGCAAGGCCCTCTTCATTATGTATGATTTCCCACAACACTCATGAACAGATATGAAACTGACTTATCTGTCATATTTATTATTCACAGCTGGTCTCCAGCTGCCAGAATGGAGCCAAATAGGGGAGAAATCTTTGCATATTATATTCAGTGACATATGCAAAGGCCTAAATAATGTTGTACAGAAGACTTGCTTAATAAATTTCAGGGAATGAAGAAATGCGTGCTTATATTGAAGGTTCACTGTCCTTGTCTTAACAGGTGCCACCATGCTTTTGCCTGGAGCCAGCGGCAGCTCACAGAGTTCCAAGCCAGGTAGGATACCCGGAGTATCAGGTCCATGAAATCAGAACACAATGTACATCCTCGTCTAAACACCTGGTTTCAGGCAATGCAGCTGAGTACAATAGTTCGCAAAATAAGGATAGCTGACTTATGTGTAATAACAGAAGTAGGTGTTCTTTATATGTAATTAATATGTAGAATATTTAGTTTTTACACAGCTTGGTTCCATAGTGTTTGTCACATTGTCACACTTATACAGACACTTTACCTGGAGCATTGATAGTGCCAGTGCACTTGGTACTAGCATGTGTGTGTTTTTCCTTTGTCTTCATCAGGGACCACTGGAGCATCAGCAGGTGCAACCACAGGAGCCAACAACAAAATTACAGGTGACACAGGCTTCAGAGAAGGTGAGAAAAAGAAATGAGTCAAATGCTTTTTCTCCCACAGCTGCTTCTCACAGGTCATTATCTGTTCTACTCAGAACCATTGCACCCTGAGTATGGCATTAGACCCTGGGGGGCCAATGTCTACATCACACGATGCAGACATTTTAGGAAAGCATTCAATAATTCATCTTTATTTACCAATAAAATAATAATGACGTATTTCTCTGGTATGCCAATATTTCTGTATTATGTTCATATATATATATATATATATATATATATATATATATATATATATATATATAATGTGCTATAATTCACATAAAGCCATGCAGTGAAGTCTATTTATTGCAATTAAAAAGGAAATAATAAAAGTTCTTAAAGCTGACAGAAGCAGGATTAGAACTCAGAATCTTTAGCCTTCTTGCAATCATTCCACCATTCCCTGGGGTATGCTTAAGAGCAAACATCCAAACAAAACAAAACAAAAAACAAACAAGGGAAATACAAGAGAAAGCCAAAGCCATATGAGTATATGCTTGGCCATGTGCATCACTGGCTACATTTCAACTATTGTTAGTTTCATGAATAAAACAAGCATTGTTATTCTTTAAACATAAATAATGTTGTGTAAAAGAAACATGATTGAGTTCACCCCTGCCCCTTATGGAGTAGTGAATGTAAGTACCTCTTGCATTTTCTCCTCTGCATCACATTGGCTCTGCTTGTGTTCACTTGTTAAACATTTTCCGCTGATCTCGGCAGTGGTCCACCCAACTCCCCTTCCCTTCACACAGTGGTCATCAAAGTGTGCTTCCCAGTCCAACAGCATCTACTTGTCCTGAGAACATTTCAGAAATTCAACTCTCGAGGTCCACCTCTCTAGAGCAATCAGAAGCACTTAAGAGTGGAACTCAGCACAGTGTGTTACTTAACAAGCCCCTTCAGCAACTGGTGCTTATCAAAGCTGAGAACATTTCCATTCTCCACTTCCTCCCAGTTTACACTGTAGTCAGTACCCCAGACCAGAACAGAATGGACTCAGCTGTCGTCATGTCACTCCACTACTTAAAATCCTACAGTTGTTCTGATTGCTGTTAGGATTAATAAAATATCTTTGCATACCACTAAAAGCCATGTCTTTAGAGTATGCATGGGACTTCTCTTTATGCCTGTGTTAACTAATTCTTGGTCTGATTTCATTGAATACTTTATGTTCTGATTTTGTATTAATACATTTTTCCTTTAGTAATTTTCTTGATTTAAAATTATGTCACATATTTTTTGGAACAAAATATAGTTACATAAAAATAATGTGTTAAAAGTTGGAATCTACAGCAGCACAAATTAAGAAATGGGTTAATTTCCACTACAGCAGTGATGGCAGTGTAGTCTACATTTCCTAAAATTTGAATCAGAAATATTTATGTAATAATGACAAGTCAATCAGGTTTTTCCCATTTTCTTTTCTTTTTTCTTTTTCTTTTCTTTTTTTTTGTTATCAGGCAGTAAGTACAGTTGTTTTAAACAGGGCTATGAAGGTTTTCTCCTCAAGTGTGTGCCATCCAGAACTGTTTGTGCTTGTCTGTGATGACATAGTAATTGAAACAGAGAACTGGTCTTTAGAAACAGCAGGTTTACCTGGGGATTTTATACCTCTTAGATAAAAGTGTATGTGGTGGATGATTTGATTTTAAATAATTTTATTTCTCTATGTTATGGTATTTTCCCAACACATTGATCAGGGCAGATGGAAATGTTTACAGTAAGGCTCCTTTACAACAGGTCATGTGAGAAGCAAAGTTTAGATCAGGAACTCTGGGACTAGACCACCTGGGTTTGGCTTCTGCATGTGCTACCAATCAACCCAGTGACCTGGAGATGTCACTCCACCATGACTGTTAAATGGGAAGAATAACATTACCTGCCTCAGAGGATTCATGTAAAACTAAATGAGTAGATTCATGTCTAGGGTATTTTTTAAGTGCTATATATATTTTTTACAGCTGGATCAGGGGCCCCTACTGCACCAGTGATAGAACCCAAAGAAGACACTACGCCCAGAGAACCAAGCACAGGAGCAGCAAGCCCAGGAAATTCAGGCAAGTCAGGATGCACACCTTCATGCCCATTAAATGGTACTAAACATATTACAGGTTGAGCTAAGGGTTAAACTATGTGTGCGATGTTAGACCATCTAGTTGCAGAAATCCTAGGCACCATTTTAAGATTTGTTTTGTATTAGAAACCTTGATTCTGTCCCATTAGAGAGTGACAGGTAGAATCCTGCAGCTCTAGAAGCAATGTCCCTTCCTTGCTGTTATGTCAAGCATCTCAGGAGAAGCAGAGGCCTTCACAAGAGCACCTGGGAGCAAAAGCACCAGTGGAGACTCAACTGCCCCAGGCACAGCCTCAGGAGGCAGAGCAGTGTGGAAAAGGGGGGTATGAAGCATCTTCTTACTGACCTTAGGGTAGTCACCAGCAGCTTCAATAAGTTATTAGTTATTAGTAAACACACATATTTGTGACTTCACCTTCCCTACATTTATGGGCTTAATGATGGTGTTTTTCTAACATTAGCTCAGAGGTGACTTAGAGCAACACATACTATATTTGTGATTCCAAGACTCTTAACTTAAAACTTCTGAGACTCTGAGTGTGGAGTGGGGTTTGGGTCATGGTTCTCAATGTTCACTACCTCAGCCTTGATAGAGGAATTTTTGAAAATACTGACGAGCCCTTTATAGACTAATTGAATATGAAATCCAGGAGGAACTGTGCAGGCTTAAGTAATTCTTGAAAATGTTATGGTTGATATCAACAAATAGCCTGTGTTGAGAACAACTAGGCTAGTATATCTGTCTATTTAGTAAGAAGCCAGGTAATTCTCATGATTAGTTTTTAGAAATAGTGAACTTGAAATGGGTGTGAACAAGTATTTAAAAGTTTATTTCAAACAAGAGAATAGGAAAGTCTGTTCTGTCTAACCAAAGATCGTGATATATGTTGATTGTTTATCTTGAAAGGGGCTACAGGACCCTCAGCTGGTGAACCCACCAGAGCACTGAGCAGTGAAGTGACACTGCTGCTATTGCAAATTGTGCTGCTATGAACATTGGGGTGCATAGGTTCTCTTGGATTGGTGTTCCAGGACTCTTAGGGTATAATCCCAGCAGTGGAATTGCTGGGTCAAAAGGCAGTTTCATTTTCAGTTTTCTGAGGAAATTTCATACTGTTTTCCATAGTGTCTGCACCAGTCTGCAATCCCACCAACAGTGCACTAGGGTCTCCTTTTCTCCACATCCTCTCCAACACTTGTTTTTTGCTTTGTTTATGATGGCCATTCTGACTGGTGTGAAGTGGTATCTCATTGTGGTTTTAATCTGCATCTCTCTGATGGCTAATGATACTGAGCATGTTTTCATATGTCTCTGGACCCTCTGTGTGTCTTTGCCCATTTTTTAATTGGGTTGTTTGTCTTCTTAGTTTTGAGTTGTGTGAGTTCTTTATATATTCTGAAGATCAAACCCTTGTCTGAGTTATCATTGGCAAGTATGTTTTTCCCATATGGTTGGTTCGCTTCTTATTTTAATGCTTTTTCTTTAGCCATGCAGAAGCTTTTTATTCTGATGAGATTCCATTTATCTATTCTTTCCTTTACGTCCCTTGCTCTAGGGGATGTATCAGTGATAACTAAAGTAAATGTTCCTTTTGTTCTAACAAAAGGAAGGGGGAAGACTCTTATTTTCAACAGAGACAATTAAGCCTCTCATTTAAAATTATTTTTCCTTATACAAGCCATCCTCATAAAATGACCAATTTTGTATTTTAAAATTATAGCTTCCTTTTTTATTTCTATTATGAAATGAAGCCATGATGGGGTATCACCTGGAGCTGGAGGCGGAAGCTCCGCTGGTCCCACAAGTTCTAGAAAGTCAGACCTGTCTGTACCTGAGTTTTCATTTGTTCCCAACCATACCTCCCTTAGCAGGGTGTGATATGAATTAAGGGACTGGTCCTTAATTTGCACTGATGCTCTTAGATGTGAGTAGCATTTAAACTCAAGGAACCAACAGAAAGTGAAAAAAAGTCACAAAAATTGTGGCTGTGTTATGATCTACACATACCTCTTAAAACCATAAATATCAACACAGATCCCATACCTACTCATTTGCGGGGATGGCAGAGAAAACTTAATACTCTAAAGAATAGGAAAGATGTCTCTGAGTGGAGGTGAGATTTGGGTCAGGGTGTGCCAGAAGACAGAGAAGTAGAGGGAGGTGCTTCATAGTCATAGAACATAGAAAGCATTAACCAGGGTTCACCCCCAGAAGAAGTGGGCCCCACCCTGAATGGAGAATACTGAGAAAATCAGAGCACCTGGAAAGTCAGAGTACTCGTGGATGTGGAGTTTCCAAGATGGCTGGGGAGTTCATGGAAAGAGAAAGGCAGTCTTGGGAAGTCACTTGACCACTTGTCAATGAGAGGGAGGCATATTGGAAAATGAAGAAATCCTTTGAGCCTGAATGTCAGTGGGAAGAAAAAATATTTAAAGTAAAGGGTCTCAAGAAAACTGGGTAATAGTTAAGAATTAGAAGACAGCCCTGGTTGGTGTGGCTTAATGGACTAAGTGCCAGCCTGTAAACCAAAGGGTTGCTTGTTTGAATCCCAGTGTAGGGCACAGGCCTGGGTTGTGGGCCAGATCCCTGGTGCGGACCACATAAGAGGCAACCACACATTGATGTTTCTCTCCTTTCTCCCTTCCCCTCTCTAAAAATAAATAAATAAATAAAATCGTAAAACAAAGAATTAGAAGAAAGACAAAGGAAAACTGCCACTTACATAAGAATCTCCCATTTACTGTAACAAAATAAGAAGCAACAAATCAAAACAGAATCTTCCACATCTCTTCCCATAAATTAGATGTCTCCTTTGGGATTATGCATTGCAGGGGTATCACCATATCTTTTCCATGATCCTGAAATGTTCTCCAATCATCCCTTTCTTCATTCTTTCCCTCAGAGGGCACAACTTTCCCCGGAAAAAGCCAAATGACCAGAGTTGGAATAAACAAAGTTGAGCATTCTAAGCTAACACATGCATGTCACAACTTGTTAAAACTGTCTTCTAGGAGGGTGGAAGCAAGGGAGGGAGGTGGGTTTGGCTGGGGTGGGGGAGTGTAGTGGGGAGAAAATGCAGACAAGTGTAATTGAACAACAATAAAGTAATTAAAAAGAAACCATCTTCTGAAAATACCTGAACTATTTATATATAATCAATCAAGTAAATTCTGAAAAATAGAAAACATGCCAATTTTTACATAGCCTACTTACTGCCTAGGCTGATGAGAGCCTTCACTAAACCACCATGAAGTCAAATTAATGACTCATAAGTAGTAGTGTGGGGAAAATGTTTTTTTCTCCCCTCCAAAGTAAGAGACATGATAGTTAAGAACTCAGAAAAAAAATGGTAGAAAACAAAACTTACATGCAGCACAATGGATTACTTATTGGAACTAAATGTCACAGGGTTATCATTTGCTGCTATGTGGAGACTTTAGATTCCTGTTTAAATCACTTGGTGGACAAGCAATGAAGTTGTGACCATGGCCCCTTTCTTGTTGTAGCTACTGCTGGTGTCGTCCCTGGAAAAACTCTGGAACCTGAAACTCATAACACAGGTAAAGTCAGAAAATGTATACAAAATCTGGACATTTGCGCCTTAGTCAATATATTCTGACAATAGCATATGGTATACTTTCCCCCAACCTAGTCTAGAATCTTTCGATAATTTCCATAGAGGAAGTGATACCACCTAAGCAGAACTCTTAGAAGCTGAACTTTTGAGTTGGAGGCTTTGGAGTTTTTATCTAAGGCCTGTTTTTGTAGCTAGAGTGAACACATGAGTGGCAAAGAAGGCTAAGGAAATAAGCCTGCATTTCTTCTGGGAACACATCATGGCAGAATCACAAAAATTCCATGAACTCACATGTCCCCAACATTATTTCCAGCAGTCTAGGATTGCAGACCTAGTTGTTGGATGGCAGGGATTAGATACACTTGGGGGCCAGGTGCTGCCTGCCAAGACCCCATTCCTCATATATGGCTTGCCATTTTCCCATTTATTTATCATGCTTGTTGTTTACCGCTGAATTCAATCTGCTAGCATGTAGCTGCATTAGGATAGAGGTCTATGAGTATACCGCTCTCTGATGCATCCAAAGTCCAAAACACATATTGCACAGAAGACTTTATAAATATCTATGGCATCATGACGTGTCTTTATTTTGAAGCTACACTCCATTTGTGTCTTTATCTTTCTGATTGTTAGATAATATGCATGGATACTCTATAATAACCGTTCTACCTGGGAGTTCCCACACTGATAGGTTAGCAAGAAGAAATCTCAATACATTACCTCCTAATATAGTTTGTAGATCTGCTTGACACAGTGTCAATGTAATTGTCTCCTCGTATGTTAAATCCTCCGACCTCACCACTCCCCATATTCTGCCTTCAGAGACCACGGCGTTGACAGAAGGCAGAGGCTCTTCTGGCAGTGGATCCAGTCCTGGTGAGAAAGAGTTCCTGCAGTTTGGTGTTCACCACGAAGGATGAGTCTTCTTAGGCTGGCCTGCCGGGAGGGGTGCTTTGCCGCAGAGTGTTTTGCAGTTGTGCCTAGGGTTTCTTAGATTGAAGAGACGTTGGGAAACTCTCCATACTGGCTTCTAGTGTCCCAGTGGAAGGTTGGAAAGAAGGGCTGCTGTCAATCCAGGATGAGCGCTTCAGCCTGTGATGACACACACATCACCAACAGGGCGGGTCAGGGGCTGATGAGACACAGTATATCTCTGGGGAGAGGAGAAAGCAATGTGAAGCTATAAACAGGCATATCTTATTCAAAGGTTTACTTGTTCAAAAGGGCAATAATGATATCGATATTTCTCTGGGACATTGCAATCTTTTTCTGCATTTCCCCCAATGGTTGGTACCTTGTGAGTGTAAATGGTGAATCTAGGCTATAGCCATGTTTTTAACCATATATGTAAAAAGTGGAATTTCTGGGATGGTTGTTCATGTTGAGAACATGACTATTTTTGGAGCTTTCTTACTGGTATTGGCCATGGAAAAGACCGACATTCTCAAGTCATTAGGACGGAGGGACAGGGCGCTTTGCTATAACAAAGACACACCTGGAGTCATTCTGGGGTCAGACTTCCAGGGACAAACAGGAAACACGTTGAAGATCTCAGACCCTTTGTGTTTCAGGTACCACTGGGGTTACCTCAGGCACAGCTGTTAGCCCTGGCACTTCCAACCCAGGTGAGTTACCAGGGTGACAGAGATTTTCTTCATGTCCTCTCTAAAATCTGATGCCCCCGGGGTTACTGTTTTCTTAATCTACCACCGAATATAATATAAGATACCACCATATATTACCATCTTCCTGAAATATCCTCCAATTTACTCCTTTCCACGTTCTCTCCCTCAGATGCCACAGAACTCCTTGCAGAAAGTGAAACAACCCAAGATGGAATAGTTACAGGTGAGGTCTCCTAGTTAATAGCCACACTTCATAATAACTACTACAAGAAATCTTCTAAAAGTACAAAGCACACACCAAACCACATCATAATTACATTACCCAAGATTAATGAGAAGGAGAGAATCTTAAAAGCAGTAGGAGACAAGGAGACACTTACCTACAAATGAGTTCCCATAAGACTGTCAGCTGATTTCTCAAAAAGAACCTTATAAGCAAGAAGGGGCTAGAGAGAAGTATTCAAAGTCATGAAAGGCAAGGACCTTCATCCAAGATTGCTCTATGGAGCAAAGCTATCATTTAGAATGGAAGGGAAGATAAAATGCTTCCCACATAAGGTCAAGTTAAAGCAGTACATATTCACCAAGCCCGTATTATAGGAAACAGAGTTAAAGGGAATTATCTAAGAAAATGAAGATGATGAAAATTATCAAAAGTAAAATGACAACAAACTCACAATCATCCACAGCTGAACTTAAAAAAAAAAACTAGGCAAAAAACGAGAATACGAAAAAAATCACAGAAATGGAGATAACATGGAGAGTTTTCAGTGGGGAAGTGGGGGAGAAGCTACAGGGAGTAAGTAGCATAAATGGTAGGTTCAAAATAGACAGGGGGAGGTTAAGAATAATAAAGGAAATGTAGAATACAAAGAAATTACATGTACAACCCATGGACATAAACTATGGGAGAGAATGCAGATGGGGGGCGTGCAGGACAGAGGGAAGGGAAGTGAAGGAGAAAAGGAACAACTATAGAGCATAATCCATAAAATATAGTTACAAGAGAAAAAAGTCTTCTAAGACATGTCTACAATATTTATGTATGTGTAGCCTTTTCAGAACAATGTGTACACGATGCAGCAAATACAGAATGAAAAATGCAAGACTATCTGTCCAGGGATTCCTTACTGTCTGAAACCTCAAGAGACTTCACTAGACCAACACAAAGTAAAACAAATGAGAGATGAATAGTAATACAGAGACTTTCAAACGGCCTCAAATAGAGAGGTTCATTAAAAGACAAATAAACAAAAAGGATTAGGAATACATGTTACATGGGACAAACATGCGTAGCTTCTTGGTACTAAAACCCACAGGGCCATAGATCCCTAGGATGTGGAGAATTCAGGTTTCTACATAAGTCACACAGCATGCACACACTGAGTTAGGAAGCACTGAGCCTTCCTCGTGGGCACTACTGGTATAGTCTCTGCAAAACTTTTTGCCACTGGGAAGTTCTGTCACAGGCAGGTGTGAAAGGGCGTGGAAAAGCCGCACACTGGCGTCTTGGGTGATCCATGGTGACGGTGGCGCAGTGTGCCCTTCCCCACCACCGAGTCCTTACTCCTTCCCTTCTTTTCTCTGTCAGAGTTCACGACCTCCTTTGGAGGAAGGGGCACCCAAGCAGGACTTTCAGGAGGTGAGTGTCTGTTGAAGCGAGCCTTTGGGGTTTTTGTCCAATCCCTGCTCGTGTGGCTAGAGTGGGCACATGACTGGGCAGGTGGGCAAGGGAGAGGGGCCTATATTTCCTCAGGGAGCACAGCATGCCTGGGCCCCGGCAACTGGGTCAGCCTAGAAACCGCGCGGCCTCACACTTCCTCCTCCAGGCCCGCGAGGCCCAGGCCTCAGAGCCAGTTGTCTGATGGCAGGTATGAGGTCCACCGAGGTCCTAACCCTGCCCGTGAAGGCCCCAGTCTTCCCGTGTGATTTGAGCGTTGCCTCCATAGCTCTCACGAATGTCGGTGATGGTAGTGTGCCATGTACGGCGTGCAGATTTTTTGCACTAGTGTTTGAGGGAAAAATAGGGAAGCACATCATACGTGGGTCATCCCTGAAATACCCTGGGCCTGCTGTTGTGTTTCGTCACTGTTCGTTACTTCAAATTTCTGGTACCATGACACAATGAAAACTAAATGGTAAAATTCTTCCATGATACAAAGAAGAGCATCTATATATAAACAAATAAGAAGTTGAAGTACAGCTTAAAAGTAAGTTCTTCCCGAGAAATTGGGTCAGGATCATGGGTGCGCCTTTTACGTGGCCGGAGACACACTTAGCAGTCTGTATGGTGTTTGGGGCTCACCGCTGGTCTCCTCCGTCTAGCCTGTAGCCATGGTAGGGCAAGAATCTTTGACTATTGTGCTCGGTGCTGCACTCGAAGGCCTAAATCAAAATTCCACAGAAGATTTTCCGAACAAATTATAGCGGAATCCGAGACGCACACTTATGTTGAAGCTTCCTTCTCCCGTGTTCCCAGGTACCACCGGGCTTGCCCCTGGAGCCAGCAGCGGCTCGCCGAATGGCCAGCCAGGTAGGTTATGAGAGTGTGCGAGTCCCAGAGGTCCGCCTCCTCAACGACACAGGAATATCAAAAATCCCCAAATAATGCCGAATGGCATTTAGGAAGACAAGTGAATCCTCTGCCTTTACCCTCTTTTGGCACCTCGGTTGCCCCAGGGAGTCCAGGGACTGGAAGTGAACCAGGGGAGGATGGCATAAGGTCTCCTTTCCCTTTCAGTGGCAGGGGACAGGGGGTGGGGGCAGTGGGGCTGGCAGAATTCTGGGAGCACCCGTGATGAAAGGGTGGGTCAGGAAAGGAAACTGTGCAAAGCAGTGGACGGTTGATTTCTCATAGAAACAGAGGCCTCAGGAATTTTTTTTTTTTCTCGTTGCTCAAGGCCCTATCGTTCCTTTAGTTTGAAAGGGGAGAGCTTGCCGTGTTGATACCTTCGTTTTTCTCATTGGTAGGTGCCACAGGGCAGTACCTGAGGACAACCCTTCTACCCGGTAGCTCCCACACTGGTAGGTGAACGAGAAGAAATCTCCATACTTTACCTCCAAATAGAGTTAGTAGACCTGCTTGGCACATTGTCAATGTAATCGTCTCCTCGTATGCTAAATCCTCCAACCTCACCACTCCCCATCTTCTGCCTTCAGAGGCCATGACGTTGACACAAGGCAAGGGGTCTACTCGCAGTGGATCCAGTCCTGGTGAGAAGGAGTTCCTGCAGTTTGCCGTTCACCACGAAGGATGAGTTTTCTTAGGCTGGCCTGCCACCAGGGGCGGGGTGGGGGGCGGTGCTTTGCGTCAGAGTGGTTTGCAGTTGCGCCTAGGGTTTCTTAGCATTAAGAGATGTTGGGAATCTCTCAATGCTGGCTTCTGCTGTCACACTTGAACATTGTGAAGAAGGGCTGCTGTCAATCCCGGATGAGTACTTTACCCTATTAGTCCATATATGTTATCATTATCCTGGGTTTTGGGGTGTTGAGAGCTAGTGTAACTCTAGGGTTGAAGAAAGCTTGTGAACCTGTAAACAGGCATATCCTCTGGAAAGTTTTTTGTTCAAAAGTGTAATGATGATATGCACATTTTTCTGGGACATTGAAATTTTTTTCTGCATTTTTCCCAATGGTCCGTACTTTGTGAGTGTAATCATTGATGCTATGCTAAAACTATATTTTCAACCATATGTGAAAAATGTGGTTGCTCATGTTGAGAACATGAGTGTTTTCGGAGCTTTCTAATTGTTATTGGTCATGGGAAAGAGAGACTTTCTTAGGTCATTAGGAAACAGGGACAGGTGCCTTTTCTCTTACAAAGGCGTACCTGGAGTCCTTCTGGAGGCCAGACTTCAGGGCACAAACAGGAAATATATGGAAGATCTCAGGCACTTGGTGTTTCAGGTATCACTGGGGCAACCCCAGTTACAGCTGTTGCCCCTGGAACCTCCACTTTCAGTGAGTGAGCAGCCTCATTCCGAATTTCATGTCCTCCAACAAATTAGACACATCTATTCATATTATTCATTGCAGGGATACCATAAGTTGTTTTTGTGGTCTTTTTTCCTCCCTTAGGCAGTTCTATCACACCAGGAAGTCCAGGGTTGGGGAGTGAAACAGTTGAAGGTGACATGAGGTCCTCTTTCTCTTTCACTGAGATATATGGGAAAGGAATCTCCAGTAGCCTCAGTAAGCAAGAGCTGGTCGGGAAAGGGCAATGTTGAAAGTCACTGACAGTTCATTTCCTAATGAGACAGAGATCAAAGGATAGGTCCTGGAGCTACATCAGTAATGAAGAGGGCACTTACGCTGCGCTGATGTCCTTATCTTTCTCATTTTTAGGTGCCACACGGGGATTCTCTGAGACAACCATTATCTCTGGGAGTTACCAGACAGGTAGGCTATCAAAATGAATCTCCATATTTAATGACATAATATACTTAGTATTCTTATTCTGATCTAAAAGGAGCATAGTTTTTTCTCTAATATCCTAAATCTTCAGAGCTCCCCACTCAATGTTTTCTTCCTTCAGAGGCCATGACGTTAACAGATGGCATCAGTGGTCCTAGCACTGGAGCCAGACCTGGTGAGAATGCACACCTCACAGTCGGGGTTTGCCATTAGTTATGGCTCTTCACTAGCTCCCATTTTTAGGTTTGCTTTCCTGAAGAATTGTTGCATTTACTCAGTATTTCCTTTGATTTAACATGTTATCAATATACTTTCAATATCTGCTCAAGCTTCACAGGTGTAACTTTCTCAAGAAGAGCTGTTGATGAAATTCTTATGGGAGGTTTCCTCCTTGATGGTATACACATTGCTAAGCTGTCAGAGGATCTGGGAAATATTATATACCTGCGAAGTAGAGAAAGCAGTGTGAACTCTTAAACCAGCCTGTGCTACATATAGGTTCTTTTTCTCAAAAGAGCAGTAATGGTAGTCAATGTTTTTGGCAAGTTTAAATAATATTCTGGTTTTCCCCCCACAGTAGGCACCACTGCAGCACCACAAGGTCAAGAAACTGGGAGTGTGACAGGTGAACCTGGGAGAAACCCACCTTTCTTCTCCATTATAAGTCAGTGGAATATCTGTGGAGGGTGCCTTGCATTGGGAATATTACTATTGATATTTTTACTACTTTCTTAATGGTATGGGTCATAGGAAAGCCTATGATTTTGACCTCATCGGGAAGCAGTGAAAGGGCCCTTTGATATAATATAGATGCACCTAGGGTCCTTTTAGTGGCAGGACTTTAACACATAGGCATCACAGTGAAGATCTCTACTTGCTGTGTTTCAGGCACCACTAGGCTAGCCCTCGGCACAACTGTTGCCCCTGGCAGTTCCAACACAGGTGAGTCAGCCAGGTAGCAGTGACTCTGATGGGTCAGTCTTGATGAGATTCCTCTTCAGTTGTTATCCTGTGTAAGAGAACTGCCTTACCTTTCTGTGGTCCTTAAATAGTTTTTAACTACCTTTATCCTACTTTCTTCTCTTTTAGGGGCCACAACTTCTGTAGAAGATGGTAGAATAACAAGAGTTGGAATAATTACAGGTGAGCTCTGTTAAGACACTAATTGTACACTCTAATAACTTACCAATAAATTTTTTTGTCTGAAATACATCAAAACTCCTTGAGTTTCTCATATTCTAAATATGGGGCACAAATTTAGCTGATGTTTAATATTTGACATCAAGAAATTCAACATTTCATCCTTGTCCTGTGCTCTAAGGATAATTCCAGGGCATCCTGGGGCCCATTCCCCGACAGTTATATAGGTAATTTGCAAGCAGATCTATTTCATTCTAACTCATCTGTAAAAGAGGGATCCAGTGGTGGTGGACTCTCTTTGCAAATTTGTGGAGGGAAAGATGTGTTTCATGGACTATCTACAGATGGACTCGAAACTAGGAAGTCCAGAGAAATAAACTTATTTTGGGAGAAACAAAGTTTTTATTGTTGTTGTTTTTAATAGCTCACACCCATTTTTTTTTGATTGGCAATGAACTGACCTAATGACCAAAACCCTTATTTCAGGCACAACTGAGGACATCTCTGGCAAGACAACCAATCCTGGGAGTTCCAACACAGGTCTGGAGTTCTGAGTGTGTCTCCTCAAGAGATATAGCCCATAGGAGCCCAATTTGTCCTGTCTACACCTCCAGTGCTTACTCCTTTTTGCTTTATTCTCTTAGAAGCCCTGACTCACACAGGAGGCAGTGGAACTACCCAGGGAAGACTGCCAGGAGGTAAGTTTTTTAGGACGAAACCTGGGACTCCTATCGTTTGCCTATTTGTGTTGCTACAGTAATCAAATGAGTGGGGAGGAGTGTGAAGGAGGGACCTGCATTTTCGCTGAGGCCATATTGCATGATATCAACCTTATGATAATTATTCTGCTTGGGGATTCCAAGACCTCAGATGTCTCAGCCAGACTGTCCTCAGTATTCTGGCTTATGAAAATGTTCTCTTCCCCGCCCCCAATGGGTATAAGAGCACATTGCCTGTATCTCAACCTCTCAGTACTTCCAGTCCTCCTTACCCAGCTTACCTTCCCCACTACTTCCCTAATAAGTACATTTCTGTCATTTACTTCTACATAATGTTTATTGTTTATTTTTATCTCCCCTTACTAGAATGCTTCGTGAAGGCAACTGATTATTAAAATGCTCCAAATTGTAACAAAGATTATTACTTACAAAGACTAAAGATGTTTTATTTCCTCCCTTAGGCACCTCTGGCACACCAGGTGGATCTGTCCCTGGAAATGAAATAGGTATGGGATAAAGACCTGCTTTCCTTTGACTACATAGTGAAAGGGGAACCTGGGAAATAAAATGCTGTGAAGTTTATTTTCCATTTTCTTTAGAGAAGAATGTCTTCGGGGAAGGGCTTCCAGTGTTTTAGGGCCACATGGATGCTGCCAAGATGAACTAGGGAGGAAATTCTCTATTGTTCCATTCACTTTTTGCATTTTAGGTACCACTGAAGAGTTTCCTGGGACGACGATTACATTTGGAGGTTTTAACACAGGTAGGTTAACAAGAAGGAAAGTCCCCTTACTTAACTTCAGATGTCATGATCTCTCTTTTAAGGCTGCTACAGTAAAAGACTAACCTGATATCTCTTCCCAGTAGTCCCAATTACCAGACTTTATCATCTTGTTGCAGGTACCACTACAGCAGCTTCTCGCACTGCACTTGAACCTGGGAGTTCAAACACAGGTGAGCCAGCTGGCTGGAGAGAATCTTCCATGGTGCTGTCATTGAGAAGAGTACACCCTTAACTTTCCTCAGAATGGTAAATGCTCTTCAGCTCACATTTTCTACCTTTCCTCTCTCTTAGAAGCTACATCGCCCTCTAGAGGCAGTGGAACCACAGGAATCAATACAGGTGAGCTGGTGGACTTCTTTACCTCTCTGCTTTCTGATGACACCATAACTAAAACTTTAGAGCACACTCTGTTCTACATACAGCCTTCTCATTATCATTTCTTTTATCCCTCACTCCAAGCTATAAGGTAAGTATGATTTTTTTTTACAGATGAGAAAATCTGTGGCTCAGAGATATTAACTAACTTTGCCAAAGTCACATAGCAAATAAACAGCAGATTTCAGCTCAGGCAGTCTGTCGCCAAGGTCCATCCTCTTAATCATGATACTATGCTGCCATCATACAGTATCACTAGATTTCTTTATTGCATGTGTAAACTTTTCTAGAACATTAAAATTTCTACAGCATCAATATGTTACCCAAATAAAAAATTCAACAGACAGTCAATCCTGCTTTATTTCTTTTTTCTAGGGGAATCTAGTAGCCTAGTCACTGGCATTCAAACAGGTAAGAAAAGAAAAATGCCTTTGTCTATCCAGTATTGACCCCAGAAAAAAGAACGTTATCTTTTCGAGTCCCGACAGCCACCCCACATTGCACTCCAACAAATTTATATTCAGAATGAACCATTACATTAGGAAATGCATAAAACAATTCTGGAACAAGCTATTCCTGAAAATGGTCTTTTTACATAATAAAAAGTTCTGTAGTTTCCTTGTCCTATTCTAGAATATACTGTTATTATGGGAATGAAATGACATAATGTTGCCATTCAATTTTGTTTTCAGGCTCTACTGGAGTGGCCCCTGGCAGGACCGTCTCACCTGGAAGTTCCAACACAGGTAAATCAGTGAGGAAACGGGTGCTACAATTTCTGTCTTAGGGCTAGCTCTGGAGCAATAGCATATGATACCTTTTTGTAAAACTTAAATTTGTATTGTGTTTTTCCCATTATCATTTAGGCACCTTAAATCCCCATCCCCTCCACAATCACCACACTGACATCCATGTCCAGCAGTCCTTTGTCCTTTCTGCTCAGTCTCCCCACCCCCTACCTCCCCTCATCATAGGTATCATCCTGCTCTCTATCTATGAGCATTTGTAGATGATATGATACTGTACATAGGGAACCCCAAAGATGCCACCAAGAAACTGCTAAAACTGATAAATCAATGCAGAGAAGTAGCAGGATACAAAATTAATATCCAGAAATCAATTGCATTTTTATATGCAAATAACAGAAAGGAAATTAACAGGAATTGAAATTAAGAAAACAATCCCATTTACAATTGCCTCAAAAATATTTACTAATAAATCTAATCAAGGATGTAAAAGACCTCTACTCAGAAAATTATGAGACACCAAAGAAAGAAATTGAAAAAGATACAAAAGTGGAAGCACATACCATGTTCACGGGTAGGAAGAATTTACATCATTAAAATGTCCATACTACCCAAAGCAGTCTACATATTCAACACAATTCCTATCAAGTTTCTAATGTCATATTTCACAGAACTAGAATAAATATTCCAAAAATTTATGTTAAGTGTGTTAACAATTATCTAATATCTTCCCATAATTTTTTGATAGGTTATATAGTCTATTTTTCCTTTTTAAGTTTTATTAAATTTATTGGGGTGACATTGGTTAATAAAATTATATAGATTTCAGTTGTACAATTCTATAATACATCACCTGGTTTGTACTGTGTGTTCACCACCCAAAGTTAAGTCTCCTTCCATCACCATTTATCTCCCCATACACCCTTTCCTATTCCCCCCACCCCCCCCCTTCCCTTTCGTAATCACCATACCATTGTCTGTGTCTCTGAGGTCCGGCCAGCTTTGCTTCTTTCCTTTTTTCACCCAGCCCTGCAAACCCCATTCCTTCTAACAGCTGTTGGTCTGTTCTGTGTATCTATGAGTCTGTTTCTATTTTGTTTATTAGCTTATTTTGCTCATCAGATTCTACATATAAGTGTATTCTTGATGATTCTGTTTTAAAGGAGTGGCCCCCAGGTCTTTGAAAAAGACATCCTGGGTTATGAAACTGGCCAGAGGCAGGAGGAAGATTTACATCGCAAAGAAGGAGAGGAGTGGTGGGGAAGAAATAAGCCAGGGGGGCCAGGAAGTTATGCTAAATTTCCTTTTAGAAGATGACTTTGAAGTTCAAACAGGGATTTTTTCCCCTAGGTTTTTTTTTTTTTTTTTGGTTAGGCTTTCACCAGAACTCTGTTCCTGACAACTTAGTAATAAAACTCTTAGTTTGAAATCTCTGAGTATGAGACTATGAAATACTATTCCTGAAGTTTTTAATAATTTCATTTTAGAGGCTTCTCCTCAGTGTCAAATGGAATAAAAACAAGCCTAAAAGTGAATGTACTGGAATGAATTGTCTAATCCACACAAAGCTTTCCTTGAGGATGAATTTGTGTGGTTATCTGTACACTCACATATGCAGAAACTTGATATGCATACATGTCATTCTAATAAATAAAATGACAATGCCATCCTTTCATTTCTTTTCAGAAACTATGGTAGTAGCCACAGGAAATCAAGAAACTGGAAATAAAACAGGTCAGTATGGGAAAAATCCTAATTTCTTTGTTACCTATTCAACTAACATTTCTTTAATACCTTGTGGGTGTTAGACTCTGTAGCAGACACTAATAGCCAAGAACACCAATAAAACATAGTCCTTGTTTTTTATTACTTTGTGTGTGGGGGATTATTATGGGCACTGAAACTGTCTTTACAGTGTTTAACATTAACCCATAACCATGTGCAACAATTATGGTCTCAAGGGTACAGTGAGTGGAGAATAATAATTTCCGCCTATTAGTGGGTATTATTGAATGAAGGGAACAGAAAGGATGTGATTGAATTTAATAATGGCTGCGGTGAGAAGGCAATTCTACCAAACAGCCCTTGAAAAGACAGAGACATGAGACAGCATGAGTGAATTCAGGAACCAACCATAGAGTGACTCTGTGAGGTTCAGGGAAGAAATGAGATTGGAAAGATAAGAAGAAGAAAGTTCATGAAGAATCTTATTGCCAAACTCAAACAAGACTTTAATCCTTACACCAAATGGGATCCCTGTAAGAATTCTATCAAGAGAATTAATATGATCAGATAGGTGTTTGGGAGAAATTAGTCTAATAACAAGGTGGTGATTAGGAGATTGTTCCTTTAAAAAAAAGAGATATTATTTATTTTATTTTTAGACAGGGAGGAAGGAAAGGAGAAAGAGAGGGAGAGAAATGTTTATGTGTGGTTGCCTTCCACACACCCCCTACTGGGGGCATGGCCAGCAACCCAGGCCTGTACTCTGACTGGGAATCAGACTGGCAACCCTTTGGTTCTCAGGCCTGTGCTCCATCCACTGAGCCACACCAGTCAGGGCAGGAGATTGTCCTTTTTTTCCTCTTGCAAATGTCTTGAATAAATTCTTGGAATTCTGGTTCAGGGAAGATTTTTCTGCTATATTAATGCCTAATAGATGACTCCTCTCTCCTACTACTGGTTTCTGCTAATGACCTGCTGAACTTTCTTAATTGGGGAATAGCCTAGCCTCCCTTAGTAAAGAGAGATGCTTGATCCCGCCAACTCCCACATCTTTAATTTCCTTTCTGTTTTTCTGTACCTGTTATTTGTGGGCATCTCTCTGCCTAAAAATGCAGAAATTTAAGTTCTTTTCAAATATTCTGTTGCTTCTAGGCCAGACTATTTACGTGTTATGTAGAATAAAAGTATTGATCTGATTTTTTAGCTGCTTGAAAACAGAATTTGGAATTTATCAGTAAATTGTCAGGTTGACCAAAATATGTGAGGTGTAAAACTTCTAAAAGAAACACATGACCTGTTTAAAGCATTTGGTGGGGGTAGAGATAGAGCCAGATTGAAATAGTTCAAGAAGACTAAAAAGAAGATATAAGTTCCTAGTGGATTAAATAAGTAGGTAACTAAAAATACTTATATGTGTCCTGTATATGACTTATTCTTTTCCTGTTTTGATTATATATTTTCTTGTCCTATTCATCAGAACTGTCTTCCAAGGAAATCTTCAAGTTAGAGAAGTTTACCTTGAGGCTTTCTCATTTCTCCTTCAGATTCATGTATATCCCACTTTAAAATTTGTGATCCAAAGGGAACACACACTAGTCATGGAATTTCAAATGCCACAAGGAACAGAAAGAAAAGATAGATAGGATTATGTCTGTTTGTAAGACTAGCAATGTAGCTCATTATTTTCAGTTATGAGGTAACTATGTTTACCTTAAAACTATTCTAATAACTTTAGGGACTAATATGAGCTGTCTGTTTTACACAGGATGCCCAGCATCACTTCCACCACCTCCAGGTAAGAACACCTGCATTGAAAACCAGTCATTCTGCATCAGTGATGCTTATAAATCAATTTCAGAAGTCATGCTAATAAAAGTGACCATGAAAATGTTATAGGACAGAACTACTTAAAGTAGATGAATTTAGTTTTTATTCACCAAATAGTGAATAGTAGTCTGTTTTCTCCCACACAAACTGATGAAGCCAAACCAAATAAATGTTATCAATCAAAATAGTGTGCCAACTACATAAAGTGTTTCATGTAATTATATGATATCTTGATCAAAATATTATCACTTGGAAACATCTTTTGAACTAAATAATTCCAGCTGTTCTGAGAGCTAATTTTCTCACTACAAAGTGAGAAAAATTAAACTTAAACAAAGTTCAATAATTTTAGAAGGTTTTGAGTTCCTACTACTTTCAAGCCAAAGTGATAAGCTTTGTAGAAAGTGGCAAAAATTACCAAAATTTTTTTTCTCTGACCATAGAATGTAGTGGGAGATGGGAGGTTTTCAAAGAAAAATAGACAGTTTTTATATAAAGCTGAGAATAAATTTCACAGTAAGAAATGTGAAGTACATAACAGAATTGTAGTTTGAGAACAATATACAGACTAGTCCAGGGTATATAAATGAAGAACTAAGACAAGGTTGAAAAGGCAGGTGGGAGCCACATTAGGGCAGATCTGAGAAGCTAGAATGCTAAAATAAGTAATATTTTATAAAACTATTAAGGGATGTCAGAAATTTTTAATCAAAGAAATTATGAGATGAAAATTAGGCTTTAGGAGAATTATCCTAACTACAGTATAGAAAGTTGACTGGATCTGGAAGAGATCTGAATGAGAGTAACCCCTGAAAAAGCCAGAGTATGCTCCATCATTGATAATAAGATCCTAGATTATTATACAACAAGTAGAAGCAGGATAGGAAGGAATTCCAGTGAGGATGAAGTTACGGGACTGCAGTAGGTTAGATATCAAGTGATAGAAAGGAAGGAATCAAAATGACTCCTAAGTTTTAAGCTGAAGTGATTGAAAGAATAGTTTGGTTCTTAATAGGAAAAAGCCAGTTTAGATGAGAAACTGATGTTAGAAGCAAGATGAGGCAATCTTTTTTTGCACATTGAGTTTGATGTTTTTATAAACTGGCCAGCATGCTGTCTATTAGGCTGAATGAGGTCTGGGTCTGCCTCACACGAGATGTCTGGACTGGAGCCAGAAGTTTGACAGCTGTCTACTTGATATTACAGTGGACACTTGACATTGTAGTGAGGGGAAGTACCAGAGAAATGACTAGAGACAGAATGAGAAGAAGGAGAAAATGCTGATAAGGGAGGAAAATTTCAGTGTTGAATCCAAAGGAAGAACATTTTCAAGCTGAGAGTTCCAAATGTCAGCTATTCTAGGCATCTTGAAAAACTGAGAAGGCCCTTGAGACTGGTCATTATAAAGTCTTGGTGACTTGTAGGATTATGGAAGCAGAAGTCAGATTGTAAAATAGTAACTAAAACAGTAGCCATAAGATTTATGGACCACTGCCTGGAGAAATTAAGAATTCTCCTTTGGAGGGGCTTATAAAAACAGGAAATATATGAACGCTTACTAGAAAGTCTGAGCAAAGTGGGTGGATATGATTTTTCTACCTTAAAGCATCATACAGTCCTCCATAATTCTGTCTCTCTGAAATCCTAGTGCTAATTACAGTATTGTCCACCTGGTGGTAATCTACAAATAGCAGATGGTTATATTTTGCCAAATTTAATTAGCATTTATCATTTCATGTTAACAGTTTGCCATGGCCCACTGGGAGAAGAGAAATCCGTATGTACATAATTTTTCTCTACCTTAATTCAAATTTGCTGTCATTCCTGTATTTGAATAGAAGTCTAACCTTGGTTTGTTTCTGAAGCCTGGAGACATCTGGACTGCTAATTGCCACAAATGCACCTGTACCAATGCAAATGCTGTAGAGTGTAAGCCCAAGGAATGCCCTTCTCCACCCACATGCAAGACTGCAGAGAGACTTGTGAAGTTCAAAGATAATGACACCTGCTGTGAAATTGGATACTGTGGTGTGTATTCATAATACATTCTTTGAATTGAATAGTTGTTTCCTTACTCACACATTCCAGAGATATTTATTGAGATACTAATATGTGTCAAACACTATGCTAGATAGAGGTGATGAAGAAAAGAGAATCAGTACTTTCCCTCTTACTGTCTGTGGTGTGGGGGAACTGGAGTGAACAGTTATGAATATAATCAGTAGATTAAGGGGTATGATGGTGTCATGGGAAGAACATTGTATTTGGCTAATATATACATTGTCATTCACTGATATGCACAATGCAATTTCTGTTTTATAAATAAAAAGAGATGTATAATGTTTATTTTAGTATAAAATAATGTATTTGTTTTTCAGAACCAAGAACATGTTTATTTAACAATACCAACTATGAGGTAAAGGTTGTTTCTACTTTCTCTATTTTTATTAATATAATTATGAATAAATGCAGGCCCTTTCAGTTTATGACATGAAATTTTCATAAGTAATGGTGAAGCAGAATTCATTTTTTCCTGTATTCAATTTCAAAAGGAATGGCAAATGTAGCACTCAGCATGGCTCGCTTCAAAGGGAGAAAATATACTTGATCATTAACTACCTAGCAATGGAGCTTCTGAATAATATTTCCCATGGGTCTCACCAGATGGAGAAGACACACTTTGTAACATTCAAATCAATGAACAGAGTTAAACTGTAATTATAGCCAGAAAGATCAGATGGTCAAACTGTCAGAGATCAAATAAGAAAACCCCAAAGACTAGAATCTCATTATGTGCATGTAGCAATACAGTATATTCAAGGGTGGGTTTTGACAACTGATTTGGCATTTTGGAAAGTAATTTAACTTTTTAGAAAAAGTATCAGGAAGCCATAAAAACCAGTTGATTCTCAAATTGACTTTGATACATTGGAATTGGTGATACTACATATTAAAAAATCTGAAATAAAGTACTCATATATGTGGTATATTAGGGAAAACACAAAAACGAAGTCTGAGAGTTTTTAATTTGGTCACTCATTTATCACACCCAATTTTTAGTTTTGTAAAAAAAATTTTAGTGTCCAAAGGTGACCTGACTTGAGAATTTATGACAGTTTTTAAACATTAAAATATTATGATGTTTAGTGAACAAAGAAAATCTTTTACCTCTAATCATTTATATGCAAAGTAATTGAAATAAAATTCTAGTTGACCAGAAAGTTTATTTTGTGGTTTGAGGCCCTAAAAGAAATACAATTTCCAAAACAGTTGTTTGAATTTTGAGCATAAATGAATTATAAAGCAATATAGAGAACTTTAAATGTATGGAAAGACAAGAAAAGATAGAAATATAATGTAACTTGTTATTTTTGATAAGCCTACTTTATGCCATTTTTTCCCATTTGGATTTCTTATTTGTTTTCCCTTAAACTTATAAAAATTGGTCAATTCACAGCTCCAAATAAAATAACCTTTCTTCAAAATACATAAAAAGTATTATAGAGTAACAGTATGTGAATTTTAATTTGAAAATCTTGACTCATTCTCTGCTTTCAATAAGAAACTTTGATTTATACTTGGGAAATGGAAGGCCTTCAATCCATCTCTTCTTAAATATTAACCTAGTGGCTGAAAGTGCCCCTGGAAATTCACTAAACATCATAAATTTGAATTTTTAATAGGTTTTATTATCAACTTCAAATAGAAATCAAGATGAATACTTACTTTGTTCTCTCCCCCTCCCTACCTCCTAGATTGGTGCTTCATTTGAGGACCCCCAAAACCCCTGTGTCTCCTACTCCTGCAAAGAGGCTGGTTTGGTTGCAGTGGTTCAAGACTGCCCAAGGCAGACCTGGTGTGCGAAAGTAAGTCATCTTCTCAAGTAATAAACAGCAAGATTCACTTCTCATATTCAATGCAAGCACAACCTGTATTCTTCCTTATTTGGTAAAGTTTCTGCCTGGCCAATAGACCTCTTATAGATTTCATTCCAGATATCTCACCCACCTTTTATTGTCAAATATATTTTTCATATAAAGATGTACTTTCAGGCTCTATAAAACTTAATATAGTGCTATTCTAGAAGAAGTAAATTACTATAGAAAGCATATTGCTATTTTTAACAAAAAATCTAGTTTGTTTTCAAGGCTTATGGATTTATGTTAATAATTTTATATAAAGGTACAAAATTTTCATGCAATCCCATGTATGTGTACTATTCAGATTTTTCTTTGTGCTGCAGTCTTCAGTTTTATCCCCCAACATGTGGTGAAGGCTTTGTATTAATGAATACTTAAATTTAAGTTATAAAGGAAGGTTTAAGCTCAACTTATTTTTCTTTCTGAAGATATAATTGATAATATGTTTTACAGCTTTATTTTAGCACTCCAATGTTGGATTTCAACATTTCTTGTATTTTTACTCTGATACATTGATAAGTTTAAGAGTGCCATAATATGTAAGGTAAACATTCCTGCCTGTCAGACACTTACAGTGTCTAGTGGTGATGTCATTATTAAAGTATTTTTCAATTAAAATGAGTAAGGAATTTTTTTCTTATTTCTTTGCATTTTATTTTAGAGAAAAAATTGGTTGAAATATTGTTTTTTCCTTTTGACCCACTGTTGCAAAAGTTAGTGTAAATACTGTTTCATTTTTATTTCTACTCCCTCCCATTCGTACTTACATTTTTTTGCATTTTTTAAATTTTAGTTGTTGTTCAAGTACAGTTTTCTGCCTTTTACCCCCACCCCAGCCCACTCCCCAGCCCTCCCCACCTCCCTCCTATTTCCACCATCCCTTGTTTTTGTCCATGTGTCCTTTATACTTGTTCCTGCAAACCCTTCCCCTTTTCCCCTGAAATTCCCTCCCCTCTCCTTTCTGGTCACTGTGAGCCTGTTCTCAATTTCAGTGTCTTTGGTTATATTTTGCTTGTTTGTTTGTTTTGTTGATTAGATTTCTGTTAAAGATGAGATCATATGGTATTTGTCTTTCACCGCCTGGCTTATTCTGCTTAGCATAATGTTCTCCAGTTCCACCCATGCTGTTGCAAAGAGTAGGAGCCCCTTTTCTCTTTCTGCTGCATAGAATTCCATTGTGTAAATGTACCATAGTTTTTTGATCCATTCATTTCCCGATGGGCCCATTCATGCTTACATGAGATCAATATGTTCATCTGTCCCATCTGCCCCCTGTGTGATACTGTTTCAGTAAGTTAAGAAATGTTACATTATTTATAGAAAAATAGAGAAAATTTCCAGTCTTTTTTCTTTCTCTCCCACCCATATAGGTAGACCGAGTCTATGATTCAAAAAAATGTTGCTATACATGTAAGTAGAATTAAGCTCCACATGTAAAGAAAATGTAAACTGTTGAAAAAAAAATAGCTTCTTTAAAACAAAATGGCAGATTATTAAGAGAAGGTATCCTGTGTTAATAACAACAGGTATTCTAATCTATTTAATATATCCATAAACTAACAATGGATATTTGCAACTAATATACTAGATATTTATGTTGGTTGTGACATTCCCCCTAGTAAAAGACCAGTGACGTTTATAAGAAGGAATACTATTGTGAAATAGTATTCCTATAAGAAGGAATACTATTATTACTATTCTCTAATTTAATTAAGAAAACTGAGACTTAGCAATTGTTAATGTTAAACCTTTCTGACTCTCTGATCTACTTTGCTCTAGGTAATACTACTTGCAGGACTTCACTGGTGAATGTCACTGTTAAGTACAATGGTTGCAGGAAAAGACTTGAGATGGCAAGATGTGTAGGGGAATGCAAAAGGACCATCAGGTGAGTTTTTGAGTGTATACTGTGTGTTAATTTTGTAACATTGTGGGGGCAATAAACCTTTCAAAATATTACATGGAAAAATTTTTTATATGACAGCTAATTAATGATCAGGACCTTAATATGTAAAATATTTTTTTACTTTTATTTTAACTGTTGTTCAAGTACAGTTTTCTGCCTTTTACCCCCACCCCAGCCCACTCCCCAGCCCTCCCCACCTCCCTCCCATTTCCTCCCCCCCTAGTTTTTGTCCATGTGTCCTTTATACTTGTTCCTGTAAACCCCTTCTTCTTTTCACCTGAAATTCCCCTGAAATTCCTTCCCCTCTCCCCTCTGGACACTGTCAGCCTGTTCTCTATTTCAGTGCCTTTGGTTATATTTTGCTTGTTTCTTTGTGTTGTTAAGTGAAATAAGCCAAGTGGTGAAAGACAAATACCATATGATCTCACCTTTAACAGGAACATAATAAGTAAAATATTAAGATCTGAAATATAAACATTTTCAAAAGTAATGATTCATTTTGAAGTAACTTTCTATATATTTCAAACATAATACATTTATGCAAATGTATTTTCATAAGTGAATACAGAATAGTTAAGCAAATACTCTTGTTAAAAGTACATTTTTAAACTGTCACATGTACTTTAGATATAACATTTTACTTTTTTCCCTTTATGTACACTTTCACATATAAATTAATTTGTAGTGAATAATAATTTGGTTTTAGTTGTATATTTAGAAATCTGTTTTTTGTACCATAATGCTCTAATTATGACATTATAAATCTCATTTTGAATTTTTTCCTTTTTCTTTTGATTTTACCTACCACTTCAGAAAACATAATACAGGTGTAGGAAAAATAAAATGGTTGGGAGGCTTGGTCAATCACATAGACAATTAGAAGTTGAGCATCAATGTCAATTTATTTCAAAAGACTCTAAAAATATTTCTTTCTGAATTTTTTTTAGGTACAATTATGATATCTTTCAGTTGGAAAATTCCTGCCTTTGCTGCCAAGATGAAATGTATGAGTACAGAGAAATTATTCTTGACTGCCCTGATGGCAGTACGTTGGCTTACAGATACAGGCACATCACAAAGTGTTCTTGCTTAGACAAGTGCCATACGTCTTCATCTATGGCCTCATAGACCACTTAATGTTAACATTGCCTTTCTGGTTGTAACTTGCAGGCATTTATTTTACAAGTGAACAAAACTAATCACCCACTTGTGAGAATAACTAAAGATCTATAACTCAATCAAAAGGTGAATTCTCATTCTAAGACATTTTGTTCTGCTGTTGACCCAATCTGGAAAAATAAATGTAATTTTGCAAGGAGTTAGTGAGTACATGTATTTATTTCATAGCAATAAGAATTCTGCAAGACAAGGAGAAGTGGAGTGTGCTATCACGGCTCTCCCATATACCCGTGTTCTACTCTCAGTGGCCTCGTGAGGCCATTCTCCCATTACATTCCTTCCCTTCACAGTTAAACTTACTGCAAATGGAGTCTTTGTTCTCTTTTCTTACTTCTTTATGCCAGTTACATCAGCCCTTTCATTCTGCCACAACTCTCTCTGCTTAGGACATCAGCGGCCTCCTTACAATTCTTTTTATAGGGTCTGGTATCATTTCCACTCTTCCTTTCTTGAATCATTTTTCTTGCTGTTTCTGTTACATCATTTTTGATTAATGCTCCTATCTTTTGTGGACAGCTTCTCTTTTGCCAGCCCTTTAACTCTCATTTCTCCAAAGGGGCATCCTGTACCTCTTCTCATTTTACTCACGTTTCTTAGATGATTCCATCAACACCAGTAGATGTGTTTATACACTGAGGACTTCTAATCTACAACTCCAGTCCCAGCCTCTTCTCTGAATTACAGATGTTGATACAACTTGAGGAGAGGAGAGTGGAATGTAGCTAATCAGAGAAGTGAAAGAAATAAGAATGAGCCCTGGCTGGCGTAGCTCAGTGTATGGAGTGTGGGCTGTGAACCAAAGTGTCGCAGGTTCAATTCCCAGTCAGGGTACATGCCTGGGTTGCAGGCTATGACCCCCAGCAACTGCACATTGATGTTTCTCTCTCTCTCTCTCTTTCTCCCTCCATTCCCTCTCTAGAAATAAATAAATAAAATCTTAAAAAAAAGAATGAAAAAGGGTAAAAATAGCTTAAAGGATTTAGGTAACAATGTCAAGATAACCAATGGGCACACTATACGGGTCCTAGATGGAGAAAAGGGGGAAAGGAGCAGAAAGTTTATTCAAAGAAATAATGGCTGAAACCTTCCTTAACATGGGGAGAGAAGCAGAGATCCAGGTTCAGGAACCCAGAGATTTCCAAATAAGAGGAACTCAAAGAGACCCCTATTTGACAAGTTATAATTAATATAATTTATAATTAAAAGTGTCAGAAGGTAAGAGGAGAGAATCTTAAAAGCAGCCAGAGAACCATCTCCCTCTCCCTCCCTCTCTCTCTCTCTTTCTGTCTGTGAAATTCTGCTACTTACTAACAAAGTTTTCCTCTTCTATCTATTGTCTGCATTGCATTTCAAACACATTTTGGCTCAGTTAGGTAATTTTGTTAAAGCAATATGTGACTTAGGTAACACTGGTCCACCAAAAGTATTTCAGTTATTGAGCTGGGTTGTCCAAACTTTTGACATCTCTGGGTCACACTGGAAGAAGAAGAGTTGTCTTGGCCACACATTAAATACACAAACACTAACAAAAACAAAAAAAATCATAATGTTTTAAGTAAATTTATGATTTTGTGGTTGGGACGCTTTCATAGCCATCCTGGGCCACACACTGTCTGCAGGCCACGGGTTGGGCTCTGGTCCCCTGTCAGAGAATGTTCAGGAAATTCTTGGCTGTTCTATATTATTCATGGATGTTAAAGAGTTGCCCACCTATATCCTTTGATTCTCATGGGCTCAGTAGTCTTCTGACAAAGAACATGGGTTTTCTGTGAGGGCTTCAGTCATAAACAGACCTGTCTTTCCATGCATTACATTCAATGAGATTCAGATTGAGTTTGCAACAATGCCAGAACCTAATGAAGCATCAGTCACTACTTTTCATGAAGGTTACGAGAGACTTACATGCTTGAGGAAGATTGAGAAGGAACATAAGCTGCCTTTATACTGTTAGTCAGAGTTGGCCTTGGGACATATGTAAAATAGACCCTTCTCTTTGGATGGGAGCAGAGGTCAGATAAGGAGGCAGAGTTTTCAGGTTTTCTCAAATCTCTTCTTTGTGAGTTCATTCAGTGGTCTTAATGCCAAGTCTTTGGTCAGTTAGGGTATGGCTGTCTCAGAAAAGAAAAGGAATAAATAGAAGTACTGCTAGTATATTTGTATAGCTCTTTCCCAAAGTTTTGCTCTGTGCCTGTGTAACCACCTGGTTCTAACAATAAAATGAACCTTTTATTTCATTATCTTGACAAACTTCTCTAATGGAAAAGTATCAAAGATATAGTGTAGGTTGCTATTAAGGTCTCATAATACTCATAAGGCTGAGAATTCACCTGTTGCATTTTGTTTCTCAAATCATATTCAGCTGTATAATCCAATCTGGTACACCAGCATTTACAATGTAGCATATTGATTCCTTCAGGAAATATTTACTGAAAAACTGCTATTTTAGGCACTGGTGATACAAAAATGTATAAGTAGATAAGATTCCTTATGTAGAGTTTATTTCTAGTTGAGTGGGAGTGGGAGTCTAACAGGAAATAAAAAATGTTTTTAGGAGCTATGGGGAAAGTGAAACATTGTTAGGATGAAGGAGAGCAATATGAAGAAGCAACTTAACACTTATTAGTGTATCAGTTAGGACAGGCTAGGATATGCTGTAGTAACAAATCAACTCCACAAATGTGGTGCCTAATAACAACAAAAGTGTATTTCTCAGTATGCAAAGTCTACCTTGGGTTTGTAAACTGTCCAAGTCAGTGATTCTTCATGTAGTGACTCAGCAATCCAAGCTACTTTAATCCTGTGGTTGCCTTTTCACCATGAGACATTTCTGATTGTGATGGTAAGGGAAGAAGGGAGGTTCAAATATTGAGCAGGGTGTCCCACTGACTCAATCTAGAAATGACACATTTTATTTTGCTCATGGTCCACTAACCAGAAAAGGTTAAATATCCTTACCATAATGCAATAAAGTTTGGGAGTACAAACTTCCATGTGTCCTGCAAAGAGAGGTTGTACTAGTGATGTTTACTGCACCTGAGACATCCTCTCTGAGATCTGAAACAAAAAAAGCCAGCTTTTGGAAGCTAACTGAGAGAAACATTTTAGGCAGAAGAAACAAGTGGAGCAAGGGTCCTAAAGTAGGTACAGAAATAAGAGCAGTACACTAAGGGAAGAATGGCATGAGATTGTGTCAAAGAGGAAATCTAGGGACTGATCACATAGGGCACAAAGCACAATTAGTTTGGTATTATCATAAATAGGATAAGAAATCTTTGAAGGTGTTTAGAAAAAGGAATGACATGTTTTGATGTATATTTTTAAAGAACAGACTAACTGATATATAGACACCTGCATGAAAGCAGAAGTGGAAACAGTATTGATTGCAAGTATTCACATGAAAAATAGCAGTGGTTTAATCTTGTGTACTGTGGTAGATTGCAAAATGGCCACAAATTGCTCCCATCCCTTTATGCACAATCCCACCACATGGATTTACTTTTCTTCCCATCAAAAAGTAGAGTCTATTTCTCCAGTCCTTGAATCTAGGTTTGGCCTGGTGACTTGCTTTGGTGACACAACTGAGGCTTGGTGGGGGGAGGGGAACAAACAACCGGCCTGTTGGAATTTTGCTGTTCTGACTCTGGACATTTTTTACTGTACTGTGAACCAAGTCCCTGTACTGTGAACCAAGTCCCAGACTAGCATCATTGCAGATGCAGGACCATGAGGACAGAGGCTCCAGTCATCCCAACCACCCCAGCCACCTCATGTATGACCTCAAATATGTAGATAATGTCATTTAAAATCGTCCAGTCTTAGTTGGGCCAGCCCACACCAGTAGAATCACCTGTGTAATACACATAATTGTGAAAAAATAATAAATACTTGGTGTTTGAGACTACTAAGTTTTGGGGTGTTTTCAATGCATCAGAAGTTAACTAATGGTTGGCAGGTAGCAGTAGGAGTAGTAGTAAATGACAATGGGAGAAAGTGAATAAATTTAAAATATGTTTTGGAAGTAAAATTATAGGATCTGCTAACAGTTTAAAAAACAGAGTACAAGAATGTTTCCTATTAGATTTCAGTATCATTTATTAAGATGAGTAAATCATTCATAAGTAAGGGGTAGACCACTTACCATAATTACCCACAATACCAACAGTGTGATATTTTCAGAATTTATACAATATTTACCCTTTTGCATTATCATGTTTTCAATGAAAACCATATATCTCATAGCAGAATCAAGATATAAGTGGTTATAAGATATGTGATATAAATATAAAATCAAATAATTAGGCAAAACCTCTATATTTTTATTCATTTTAATTGGAAAAATCAGTATGAAGCCAGAACTTATTTTTTTTCATTCTAAAAATATATATATTTGGTAACTTCATCTACTCACTTGTCTAGAAGGAATAACAACCAGTAGAAACATACAACCATTGTGCACAGATATTCATTATCAAACATTTTTCACTGAAAGAAACCAGGTCTCCTTAGACAAATGGCTGATTTGTCATCTGGGCTATAAATCTGAGATACCTTGTCATCTCTGACAGCAAGGAAACTATAAAAAACTCTTGAGATCATGTGAAAAAGACACAGTAGCCAGTTTAAAAGTGCTCACACTGGTGAAAGGTAAATGTGAGCATTAAAATAACAATTACTTAGATTCATTGAAAAATATCAAATATATATATTAAAATCCATGTGTTTATAATGATACCAAAAAGCAAAAAAAACCTCTTTAGCTATTTTAGGATAGTTGCTAGATATCAACTGTTTTTTCTAAAAATTGATCAAGGGAAAGACTCAAGCATTTATCCAGCCTCTGCTGTATGTATATGTGAGATAACCAAAGAGTTAATGAGAAAAATTTCTTTAGTATACAAACTAATACATATAGGAGAAATAATAAAATTCAAAGATAGCCATTTATAATT